TGGCAGGTGGCCAATGAATGGAATGAGCCAATGAGGGCCTCGGAGATGGGCATTATGATCGCATGGAAAACTCTAGAAATGGGTGTCAAGTCTCAATATCAGAGTGGGTCAAGGCTGAATGGTTGGTGTGCACATCCGCTGACCCATTTGGTGGGGTCATTCTGCACTCATTCTCTTGGGTCAACACTAACAGTGTTCTGGTGGCCTGTTCCAGCATGACCCTGACTTCTATACACTGGACAGGAAGTCCTCAGACTCAGGGGGGGCAGGCGATTGCAGGGGATAGAGGACATGGCTTTGGAAGGACTGCGAGGTTCAGGGCACAACTGTTGTGTCCACCGGAGGTCATGTGCACGGCGCCAGTTCAGTATGTTGAAGCTGAGGGTCATCAACCTGGGATCTGGGCCGGGCACCTGAGAGCTTTGTGTCTGACTATCTTTTTATTCCAACAGCTACTCAGTCTTCCACACCCTGGCATGGTGAGTCCTGGCCACCTCTCCTGGCATGTCCCTATCCCTGCCGACATCTGCCGGTTGGCCCTTCCTAGCTGACCCATGACTTCTTGAACCCTATTGGGACCACACTTTTGCCCACTGTCTCCTTAACTAGCGGGGGGATTCCAAAGACCCCGTCTGTCCATCCTTCATCTGAGTTCCTATCAGATAGTTGGCGGTCATCCCTGGGGGAGAGTGGCCGATGGTCAGAGAAGGTGGCACTTCCATGAAGGTGGCCCTGTGACTCCAGGCTGAGTAGGGCATTGTGGGAGAGTGGGCATTGATGCTCATTTGCTTTCTGATGATGGGACAGCAGGCTTCTGGCTTCTCTCCTCCTCTCACACCTGCCACCCTGAGGGCCAGTATGGTCACATGTGCATCCTAAGGTGGCTGAGACAGTGCTGATGGCAGTGAACACGTGATGAGGGTCCTCTGGGTACCAGGACATGTGATTGCCTCCCAGTTCAATCACCAGGCCCTGACTCTTTCTATCCCAGCTTCAGAGTCAGGCCCAAGCCTCAATCCACCAGTGTGTGCTTGGCTCATGCGGGAGAGATGGGAAAGGTCTTCTGATGGGAGGAACATGGCGGTCAGAGACGAGGAGGGATGCTGTGGTCTCTCACAGGCCTTTGGCCCCAATGATCCATGGGAGCGGGAGGCTGTGGACAGGCAGGGGGCACGTGCAGGAGGCACATGGGAAAGTCATGGGGACTGGCCCATTTTAGGGAAGAACTCCTTTCCCGAGGCCTCACCAAAGTCTTCTCTTTGTTGTGTCTTCCAGACGTGTGGACAACTACATCCACAGCTGCCTTTCCTACAACAGAAACAACAACAGCAACAACAGGTAAAGGACCCTTCCCCATCCCAGGGCCCATCTCTGCCCCTGACTCACAGCCGGGATGGAACGTGACAGGAAGGGACTCCACATGGGCCATCCTCATCCTTGTCCCTGGAGGGAGGGTGCAGGGGAGGGTCCCAGATTCATGGAGCTCTGCCCTGGGTGGCCAAGGAGGCAGACTGGGACGGTCCTGCTCACCTCCATGGCAATCCTGGGCTCCCTGCCTGGGGCATCCTTAGACCTGGCAGCACAGGATGTGCCCGCTCCCTTCCTGGGATGGCGATGAACCCCTGGGCGTGTGGAAAGCTGACGCCTGCCCTGGGGCGTGGCCCTGAGGGAGCCCCTGAGTCTGGACCCTGCCTCGGGCCGGGAGCTCAGCACAGACATGGAGGGGTGTCCTTGTGCCGTCCTCCAGGGTTCGGGACCGAATCGGGTCTGGCCCTGAGGCTGGTGAACGGCGGTGACCGGTGTCAGGGCCGCGTGGAGGTCCTCTACCGAGGCTCCTGGGGCACCGTGTGTGACGACAGCTGGGACACCAATGACGCCAACGTGGTGTGCAGGCAGCTGGGCTGTGGCTGGGCCAGGTCGGCCCCAGGAAGTGCCCGGTTCGGGCAGGGCTCAGGGCCCATCCTGCTGGACGACGTGAGCTGCTCGGGGCATGAGTCCTACCTGTGGAGCTGCCCCCACAGCGGCTGGAACTCCCACAACTGCAACCACGGGGAGGACGCGAGCGTCATCTGCTCAGGTGCGTGTCTGCCAGCCCTGGGGTCCTTCTGGGCTGATCTGCTGAGATCACACCCACTGCCCTCGCCAGGATCCATCTGAGCCTCCCATGTCCCCCAGGCACTGGAGGGACGCAGGGCAGCGGGCTCCCAGGGGCTAGGGCACGTGCTCAGACTCCATGTCACTGTGGTTGGTCCATGCCCCCAGCACCCTGAAAGCTGAGCCCGGAATGGGCTCCAAGCGCTCTGAGCTCCGGGCTCATGCTCAGCAGGCACCTCATGAGCACAGAGAGCAGACCCCTTGTGCCCCAGGAGCCAGCTCACTGTCCCCTGAAGGGGGTCTGGGCTTCCTTCAGGGAAGGTCGTCCCTGGTGTGGGGGTTGGGCAGCTCCTCCCTCTGTGAGGATGGGGGCACTTGGGGGCTCCAAGATGGTGACAGAGAGGGGACATCCTGAGAGCACAGAGGTCCTCTGTGAAGGAAAAAGAGGGGGAAGGAAGCAGGGGAGGCGGGAGATGGCATGTGGCCAATGAATTGGAAGGAGCCTGTGAGGGCCTTGGGGATGGGGCATTGTGACCCCATGGAAAACTCCAGAAAACTCCTCTCAATATCAGAATGGGTCAAGGCTGAATGGTTGGTGTGCACATCCATTGACCCATTAAGTGGGGTCATTCTCTGAGGTCAACACTAGGTACCAGAGGGCTTGTCCCAGCATGACCCTGGCTTCCTTACACTGGACTGAAGTCCTCGGGCTCAGGGGGCAGCCGATGGCAGGGGACAGAGGGCGTGGCTTCGGAAGGACTGGGAGTTTGGGGTATCACTGCTGTATCCACCCCGAGGCCATGTGCACGGCGTCAGCTCCATGAGGGGAAGCTGAGGGTCATCACCCTGGGACCCGGGCACCTGGGGGTTTGGTGTCTGACTGTCCTTTTCTCCCCTCAGCGGCTCAGCCCTCCACATCCTGGCCAGGTGAGTCCCTGCCACGTCTCCTGGGATGTTGTTCTCTCTGCCCTCCGCTGCAGGTCGGCCCTCTCCAGCTGACTCATGGCTCCTTGAACCCCATTGAAACCAGATCTTTGCCCTCTGTTAACTGGAGTGGGGATTCCAAAGACCCTGTCAGTCCATCCTTCTGAGTTACCCTCAGATACTTGGCAGCTGTCCCTGGGGAGAGCAGCCAATGGTCAGAGAAGTGCCTCCCCTTCCATGAAGGCGGCCCCATGACTCCAGGCTGAGGAGGGCATTGTGGGAGAGTGGGCACTGATGTCCATTGGCTTTCTGATGACAGGACAGCATGCTTCAGCCTTCTCTCCTCCTCTCACACCGGCCCCTGAGGGCCAGCGTGGTCACATGTGCATCCAATGAGGCAGAGACAGTGCTGGGGAAGACAGTGAACACGTGATGAGGGTCCTCTGGGTTCCAGGTCATGTGATTGTCTCCCGGTTCAGTCACCAGGCCGTGACTCTTTCTATCCCAGCTTCAGAGTCAGGCCCAAGCCTCAAGCCACCACTGCATGCCTGGCTCATGCGGGAGAGATTGGAAAGGTCTTCTGATGGGAGGAACATGGAGGTCAGAGACGAGGAGGAGTGCTGTGGTTTCTCACAGGCCTTTGGCCCCAATGACCCATGGGAGTGGGAGGCTGTGGACAGGCAGGGGGCACGTGCAGGAGGCACATGGCAAAGTCACGGGGACCGGCCCATTTTAGGGAAGGACTCCTTTCCCGAGGCCTCACCAAGGTCTTCTCTTTGTTGTGTCTTCCAGACGTGTGGACAACTACATCCACAACTGCCTTTCCTACAACAGAAACAACAACAGCAACAACAGGTACAGGACCCTTCCCCCTCCCAGGGCCCATCTCTGCCCCTGACTCACAGCCGGGATGGAACGTGACAGGAAGGGACTCCACATGGGCCATCCTCATCCTTGTCCCTGGAGGGAGGGAGCAGGGGAGGGTCTCTGACAGGTCCTTGCCTGACATGGTTGGCTGATGACCTGTCTCCAGGGCCTTATGGCAGGAGACTAAACCGAAACCCTCCCCATGGCTCAGGGTCATCCCTAGAGGATCCAGGGACCTGCTGAGACCCAGTGCTGGCTCAGCCTCAGGGCTGCTTTGGCTCACGTCAGGCAGGACCATGGAGGGAAATCAGTGGCTAAAGGGGCCATGGCGTTGTTCTGTCCCAGATTCATGGAGCTCTGCCCTGGGTGGCCAAGGAGGCAGACTGGGACGGTCCTGCTCACCTCCATGGCAATCCTGGGGCTCCCTGCCTGGGGCATCCTTAGACCTGGCAGCACAGGATGTGCCCGCTCCCTTCCCGTGATGGCGATGAACCCCTGGGCGTGTGGAAAGCTGACGCCTGCCCTGGGGCGTGGCCCTGAGGGAGCCCCTGAGTCTGGACCCTGCCTCGGGCCGGGAGCTCAGCACAGACGTGGAGGGGTGTCCTTGTGCCGTCCTCCAGGGTTCGGGACCGAAACGGGTCTGGCCCTGAGGCTGGTGAACGGCGGTGACCGGTGTCAGGGCCGCGTGGAGGTCCTCTACCGAGGCTCCTGGGGCACCGTGTGTGACGACAGCTGGGACACCAATGACGCCAACGTGGTGTGCAGGCAGCTGGGCTGTGGCTGGGCCAGGTCGGCCCCAGGAAGTGCCCGGTTTGGGCAGGGCTCAGGGCCTATCCTGCTGGACGACGTGGGCTGCTCAGGGCATGAGTCCTACCTGTGGAGCTGCCCACACAGCGGCTGGAACTCCCACAACTGCAACCACGGGGAGGACGCGAGCGTCATCTGCTCAGGTACATGTCTGCCAGCCCTGGGGTCCTTCTGGACTCATTTGCTAAGAACACACCCACTCCCCACACCACGACCCCTCTGAGCCTCCCACTGTCCCCCAGGCACTGGAGGGACTCAGGGCAACAGTCACCCAGGGGCTAGGGCACCTGCCTAGACTGCACGTCAGTGTGGTCGGTCTATGCGCCAAGCACCATGAAGTCTGTGCCTGGAAAGTGCTTGAAGGGGCATAAACTCTGGGCTCATGCTCAGCAGGCAGCTTCCTTGGGCACAGAGTGGATCCCCCCTTATGCCCCCGGAGCCAGCTCACTGTCCCCTGAAGGGGGTCTGGGGCTTCCTTCGGGGCAGCCCATCCTTGGTGTGGGGGTTGAGAAGCACCTCCCCACTGTGAGGACGGTGGCATCTGGTGGCTCTAAGATGGTCACACAGAGGGGACATCCTGAGAGCACAGAGGTCCTCTGTGACGGAAAAAGAGGGGGGAGGAAGCAGGGGAGGTGGGAGATGGCAGGTGGTCAATGAATGGAAGGAGCTTGTGAGGGCCTTGGGGATGAGGCATTGTGACCACATGGAAAACTCCAGAAATGGGTGTAACCTCTCAATATCAGAATGGGTCAAGGCTGAGTGGTTGGTGTGCACGTCTATTGGCTCATTTGGTGGGGTCATTCTCTGCTTGTTCTCTGGGGTCAACACCAGAGCCCTGGTGGCCTGTCCCAGCATGACCCTGGCTTCCATACACTGGACTGAAGTCCTCGGGCTCAGGGGGCAGCCGATGGCAGGGAATAGAAGGCGTGGCTTCGGAAGGAATGGGAGGATCCGGGCGGTAGCGTTGTGTCCACCCCGAGGCCATGTGCAGAGTGTCAGCACCCTGTATGGATGCTGAGGATCATCAACATTGGATCTGTGCTGGGCACCTGGGAACTTGCTGTTTACCTCTCCTTTCCTTCCCTCAGCTACTCAGCACTCCATATACTTGCCATTGAGTCCTGAAAACCTCTCTTGGGATGTCCCTCTCCCTGCACACTGCTGCCAGTTGGCCCTGTCTAGGTGACCCATAGCTCATTGAACCCCATGTGCACCACACTTTTGCCCTCTGTCTACTTAACTAGAGAGGGGATTCCAAAGACCCCGTCTGTCCATCCTCTTGAGTTCCCAACAGATATTTGGTGGCGGGCCCGGGGGAGAGCGGTTGTTGGATAGAGAAGTGCCTCTCCTTCCATGAAGGTGGCCCCGAGACTCCAGGCTGAGGAGGGCATTGTGGGAGAGTGGGCTCTGATGCTCACTGGCTTTCTAATGAAGGGACAGCTGGCTTCTCTCTTCCTCTCACACCGGACCCCTGAGCGCCAGCGTGGTCACATGTGCATCCCAACGAGGCAGACAGTGCTGGGGAAGACAGTGAACACGTGATGAGGGTCCTCTGGGTTCCAGGTCATGTGATTGTCTCCCGGTTCAATCACCAGGCCGTGACTCTTTCTATTCCAGTTTCAGAGTCAGGCCCAAGCCTCAATCCACCAGTGCATGCCTGGCTCATGCGGGAGAGATGGGAAAGGTCTTCTGATGGGAGGAACATGGCGGTCAGAGACGAGGAGGGATGCTGTGGTCTCTCACAGGCCTTTGGTCCCGATGATCCATGAGAGCGGGAAGCTGTGGACAGGCAGGGAGCATGTGCAGGAGGCACATGGGGAAGTCACAGGGACTGCCTCCCTCTCCTTTGGGAAGGACTCCTTTCCTGAGTCTCACCACCGCCTTCACTTTGTTTTCCTTCCAGCTGTACCGACACTTCGTCCCTCAACTGCCTTTCCTGCAACAACAACAGGTACAGGGCCCTTCCCCCTCCAGGGCCCTTCTCTGCCCCTGAGCCACAGCCGGGATGGAACGTGACAGGAAGAGGCTCCACATGGCCATCCTCATCCTTGTCCCTGGAGGGAGGGGTCAGGGGAGGGTTTCGGACCAGGTCCTTGTCCCACATGGTTGGCTGATGATGTGTCTCCAGTGGCTTCTGGGAGGAGGCTCAGCTGATTCCTCCCCCGTTGCTCAGGGTCAGTCCTGGAGCGTCCTGGGATTTGCTGAGATCCCAGTGCTGGCTCAGCCTCAGGCTGTGAGGCTCTGTCCTCTCCTATGTGTTCTTGGCCCTGAGTCTGGACCCTGCCTCGGGCCGGGTGTTCAGCACAGACATGGAGGGGTGTCCTTGTGCCGTCCTCCAGGGTTCGGGACCGAATCGGGTCTGGCCCTGAGGCTGGTGAACGGCAGTGACTGGTGTGAGGGCCGAGTGGAGGTCCTTTACAGAGGCTCCTGGGGCACCGTGTGTGACGACAGCTGGGACACCAACGACGCCAACGTGGTGTGCCGGCAGCTGGGCTGTGGCTGGGCCAGGTCGGCCCCAGGAAGTGCCCGGTTCGGGCAGGGCTCAGGGCCCATCCTGCTGGACAACGTCGAATGCTCAGGGCATGAGTCCTACCTTTGGAGCTGCCCCCACAATGGCTGGAACTCCCACAACTGCAACCACGGGGAGGACGCGGGCGTCATCTGCTCAGGTGTGTGTCTGCCAGCCCTGGGGTCCTTCTGGGCTGAGGCTGCTGGGAACTGCCCCTGGAGCCAGCTCACTGCCCCCTGGAGGGGTCTGGGGCTCCCTTCATGGCAGCCCGTCCCTGGTGTGGGGATTGAGAAGCTCCTCCCTCTGTGAGGACAGTGGCACCTGGGGGCTCAAAGATGGTGACATTGAGGGGACATCCTGAGAGCACAGAGGTCCTCTGGGAAGGACAGAGAGGGGGGAGGGAGCAGGTGAGGTGGGAGATGGCAGGTGGCCATGAAAGGAAGGAACCTGTGAGGGCCTTGGGGATGGGGCATTGTGACCACATGGAAAACTCCAGAAATGGGTGTAACCTCTCAATATCAGAATGGGTCAAGGCTGAATGGTTGGTGTGCACATCTGTTGGCTCATTTGGTGGGGTCATTCTCTGCTTGTTCTCTGGGGTCAACACCAGAGTCCTGGTGGCCTGTCCCAGCATTACCCTGGCTTCCTTACACTGGACTGAAGTCATTGGGCTCAAGGAAGGCAGTCGATGGCAGAGGAAAGAGGGCATTGCTTCAGAAGGACTGGGAGCATCCCAGTGTCAGAGTTCTGTCAGTCCCGAGGCCATGTGCACATTGTCAGCTCTGTGTGTGGAAGCTGAGGGTCATCAACATTGGATCTCAGCTGGGTACCTGGGAGCTTGGTGTCTGACTATTCTTTTCTTCCCCCAGCGGCTCAGCCCCCACATCCTAGCCAGTTGAGTCTCGGCCACGTCTCCTGGTTGACCTCTCCTTGCCCACCACTGCTGGTGGGCCTCTCCAGCTGGCCCATGGCTCCTTGAACCCCTTTGGGACCACACTTTTGCCCTCATCTCCTTAACTAGAGGGGGGATTCCAAAGATCTAATCTGTCCATCCTCCTTCTGAGTTCACGTCAGATACTTGGCTGCCGACCTGGGAGAGGGTGATCAGTGGTCAAGGGAAGTGCCTCTCCTTCCATGAAGTTGGCCGCGTAACTCCAGGCTGAGGAGGGCATTGTGGGAGAGTGGGCTCTGATGCTCATTGGCTGTCTAATGAAGGGACAGCTGGCTTCTGGCTTCTCTCTTCCTCTCACACCGGACCCCTGAGCGCCAGCAAGGTCACGTGTGCATCCCAATGAGGCAGAGACAGTGCTGGGGAAGACAGTGAACACGTGATGAGGGTCCTCTGGGTACCAGGACATGTGATTACCTCCCGGTTCAATCACCAGGCCCTGACTCTTTCTATCCCAGTATCAGAGTCAGGCCCAAGCCTTAAGCCACCACTGCGTGCCTGGCTCATGCGGGAGAGATGGGAAAGGTCTTCTGATGGGAGGAACATGGCGGTCAGAGACGAGGAGGGATGCTGTGGTCTCTCACAGGCCTTTGGCCCCAATGACCCATGGGAGCAGGAGGCCGTGGACAGGCAGGGAGCAATGCAGGAGGCACATGGGGAAGTCACGGGGACTGCCTCCCTCTCCTTTGGGAAGGACTCCTTTCCTGAGTCTCACCACCGCCTTCACTTTGTATTTCCTTCCAGCTGTACCGACACTTCGTCCCTCAACTGCCTTTCCTGCAACAACAACAGGTACAGGGCCCTTCCCCCTCCAGGGCCCTTCTCTGCCCCTGAGCCACAGCCGGGATGGAACGGGACAGGAAGAGGCTCCACATGGGCCATCCTCATCCTTGTCCCTGGAGGGAGGGGTCAGGGGAGGGTCTCGGACCAGGTCCTTGTCCCACATGGTTGGCTGATGATGTGTCTCCAATGGCTCCTGGGAGGAGGCTCAGCTGATTCCTCCCCCGTGGCTCAGGGTCAGCCCTGGAGCGTCCTGGGACCTGCTGAGACCCCAGTGCTGGCTCAGCCTCAGGCTGTGAGGCTCTGTCCTCTCCTGTGTGTTCTTGGCCCTGAGTCTGGACCCTGCCTCGGGCCGGGTGTTCAGCACAGACATGGAGGGGTGTCCTTGTGCCGTCCTCCAGGGTTCGGGACCGAATCGGGTCTGGCCCTGAGGCTGGTGAACGGCGGTGACCGGTGTCAGGGCCGCGTGGAGGTCCTCTACCGAGGCTCCTGGGGCACCGTGTGTGACGACAGCTGGGACACCAACGACGCCAACGTGGTGTGCCGGCAGCTGGGCTGTGGCTGGGCCAGGTCGGCCCCAGGAAATGCCCATTTCGGGCAGGGCTCAGGGCCCATCCTGCTGGACGACGTGAGCTGCTCGGGGCATGAGTCCTACCTGTGGAGCTGCCCCCACAGCGGCTGGAACTCCCACAACTGCAACCACGGGGAGGACGCGGGCGTCATCTGCTCAGGTGGGTCCCGTCTTGGAGTCCGGGTTCCTCTCACCCCAGCCAACCAGGAGAGTTCTTCTCACCTCAACCCATGGCCAGAGCTGCCTGGTTCCTGGGAGTTTGGGGTGGCTGTCACCAGGCCGGCCCTCAGGCAGACAGTGGCTCGATGTGCATTAAGAAACGCCCCAACCTCCTTTTTGGGAGCAGAGCCCCGAGGTTACACTTTCCAGGCCGGTCCCGTGGGCCGCTTCCCGCAGCATTTCTCAGGCCACGAGGGGACACAGCAGCCCCCTGCCCTCGTCCTGGGGGGCTTTTGCGACTCACCCTGGGCCCCGAGCCTGACCCCGTGCTTCTCTTTCTAGCAGGTTCTCCAGGCAACGCGACCACCCCAGGTGAGTGCCACGGCCCCGGCTCCCAGGAGTCCAGCTCCGTGTGCAGGAGGAGCCGGCGGGCTCCCCGCCGAATCTCTCCCTGAGGCTCCGGGTTTGCACGGGACGCACCGCGTGCCCCGGATGCTCTGTCCCCGCTCTGCCCGGGAGCCCCTCTGAGCCCGGCCGGGGCGGCCGGGGGCCAATGCCCGTCCAGGTGGACCCCGAGCGGACGGCGGCCGTTCTAGAAACGGGCTGGGTAGAGCCTCTAAGGTTCGTCCGCTGACCAGTTCCTTCACGCGACCGTCCATGGTGGAGGTGCCCACAGTGTGCCGCCTGTCCACCTGCACCCCAGCTCCCCCGCCCGCCCCGGCACCCTCCCCCGCCTGCGGGCACACAGCATGCCTCCTGCACGCGCACACGCGCTCTCCACGTGGCCCCTGCCAGCCGGGTGGCTTCCGGTGTGTGTGTGTGTGTGTGTGTGTGTGTGTGTGTACATCTAAACTACTGTTTGAAGTATCACATGTGTCTCCTTTCCCCCCACTGGCCTCTCCCAGCCGCTCCCACCTCCTCCCAGCTCAGGCTGGGAGCTCCGGAGGGCGAGGCCTGTGGCCAGCATCTCGCTGTGGCCCACAGCGTGGGCTCAGCGGTTGCACTGAGGACGGCAGGAGACTGACCATGATCTTTCCTCTCTGTCCGCAGGGCCTCACTACACCAGCACCAGGCCAACGGGTAAGCCCCAGCGCCCTCCCCTCCGTGACCACGACCCTGGGCGAGACAGCGGGAATGGCGAGGCATGGCTTCCCTCCTGTCCCTCCGCCTCCGGGACAGCCCAGCTGGGGCCCCTCCTGTAGGGTTTCTGTCTTGGGAATTGTCTAAAAATGCCCCTCTCTTGCCCGGCCAGCATGTTCAGTGATTACTGTTGACCTAGGAACCAGGAGGTCAGGGTTCGATTCCCGCTCAGGGCACAGGCCCGGGTTGTGGGCTCGATCCCCAGTAGGGAACGTGCAGGAGGCAGCCGGTCCATGATTCTCTCTCATCATGGATGTTTCTATCTCTCTCTCCCTCTTCCTCCCTCTCAAAATCAATAAATATAAAAACTGAAAGATAATAAAAAGTAAACTCCCCCGTCCCCGCGCGGTGAGGGGCCGTGTGCTCTGGGTCACGGGCGTCTGCGTCTGTCCCGGCAGCCGCGGCAGTCTGCGGGGGCTTCCTGTCACGGCCCTCGGGGCACTTCACCAGCCCGTCCTTCCCCGCGGGCTACCCCAACAACGCCCGGTGCGTGTGGGACATCGAGGTCCAGAACAACCACCGCGTGACCGTGGTCTTCAGAGACGTGCAGTGAGTGGGGTGCAGGGCGGCCGCGGGGCCTGGGGGGCCTCGGGGGGCCTCGGGGGCGTGGGGGAGGAGGGACAGAGCAGGCGCCGTGGGAGAGAGGCTGCTCGCTGGCGTTCTGCCTGTGGGGCAGCCGAGGCAGTGGGGCCAGGGCAGGGCCTTGGCTTTGGTCAGTGTGGTCACTACTGCCCAGTGTGGCCATATCATCACTCGCCTGTCCTCAGCCGAAAGAGAGGGATGAGCCGGCCGGTGTGGCTCAGGGATTAGCGTCCACCTATGACCCAGGAGGTCATGGTTTGAGTCCCAGTCAGGGCACACACCCGAGATGTGGGCTCCATCCCCAGCAGGGGGCGTGCAGGAGGCAGCCGATCCATGATTCTCTCTCATCATGGATGTTTCTCTCTCTTCCCCTCTCCCTCCTTCCTCTCTGAGATCAATAAAAACATATCTTAAAAAAATAGAGGATGGGCTGAAACCAGTTTGGCTCAGTGGATAGAGAGCATCGGCCTGCGGACTGAAAGGTCCCAGGTTCGATTCCGGTCAAGGGCATGTACCTTGGTTGTGGGCGCATCCCCAGTAGGGAGGTGTGCAAGAGGCAGCTGATTGATGATTCTCTCTCATCGATGTTTCTAACTCTCTATCCCTCTCTCTTACTCTCTGTAAAAAATCAATAAAACATATATATATTTTAAAAATAGAGAGATAAGCCCTGGCCTGGTTGGCTCAGTGGGTAGAGTGTCAGCCCTCAGACCGAAGGGTCACAGGTCGGGGTGCGTGTGGAAGGCAGCCCATCTGTGTGTCTGTCACACCGATGCTTCTCTCTGTCCCATGCCCTCCCTCCTGCTCTCCCTGAAGGCCAATGGGAAATGCTCTCAGGTCAGGGTTAACAGACCAGCTTTCTAACAGGCCGGGCCCCTGTCCGCAGGCTGGAGAGCAACTGCAACTACGACTACATCCAGGTGTTCGACGGCCCTGCCCTCAGCGCCCCGCTCCTCGGCCGCGTCTGCCACGGCTCCAGGGACTCCTTCACGTCCTCCTCCAACTTCCTGTCCGTCCGCTTCGTCAGCGACGGCAGCGTCACCAGCAGAGGCTTCCAGGCCGACTACTACTCCCGCCCGTCCAACCACAGCACCCGTGAGTCCCGGCTCCTCCCCTCCAACCACAGCACCCCTACGTCCTCCTCCTCTCCAACCACAGCACCCCTACATCCCGGCTCCTCCCCTCCAACCACAGCACCCCTACGTCCCAGCTCCTCCCTCCAACCACAGCACCCCTACGTCCCAGCTCCTCCCCTATAACCACAGCACCCCTACGTCCTCCTCCCCTATAACCACAGCACCCCTACGTCCCAGCTCCTCCCCTATAACCACAGCACCCCTACGTCTTCCTCCCCTCCAACCACAGCACCCCTACGTCCTCCTCCCCTATAACCACAGCACCCCTACGTCCCAGCTCCTCCCCTATGACCGCAGCACCCCTACGTCCTCCTCCCCCGGCATCCTCAGTGGCCAGACGGCAGACCAGAGCCACCCGGCAGGTCCCCGGGCCGGATCTGCCGCTGGAAGGGACCAGGGGCCCTGGGTCTGGGGACTCTGGCTGCCCAGACACGCGGGCCAGGGCCAGAACTGGGGTGGGCAGTGCCCGCCGCACTGTGGTCAGGGCGGGTGCAAGAGGATGAGCTGAGTGGACGCCGTGCCCGGGGGGAGGTGGCCGGGGGGGGCCTGTGACCACCCAGGTGAGGGGTCCCGGGCTGTGTCCTGAGACCTGCTGCCGGGAGCCCTGGTCGCTGCGCCGGGCCCAGCAGAGGCCGGTGGCCTCGAGCGGAGGTTGCAGGGGACGGACGGACAGTGACCGGCGGGCAGGTGCTGTCCCAGCCCTTTTCCGTCGGGACTTTGAGCCCTGCCGGCTCCCTGGCCCCCGGCCCCTGTTCCACAGCGTCCCCACGCTGCGCGTCCCTGACTGGCCGGACACCTCCTCCCACACCGGCCTCCGTGTCCTTTGCTTTTGTTTTCCTCCTCGGAGGACATCGTCCATGGATGTTTAGAGAGGGGGAGGGGGAGACAGAGAGAGAAACATCCACGTGAGAGAGACACATCGGTTGCCTCCGTGAGGCCGGGGATCAAGCCAGCCACCGAGGAACTTGCCCTTGACTGGATTCGAACCCGAGACCTTCAGTCCATGGGTTGACGCTCTACTCACTGGGCCCCAGCAGCCAGGACCTGCCTCCATTTCTCCATCCGGGCACACAGGGCAGCTGGGGTGGGGGCATGCCCTAATGGGGACCACCTTTGTCAGCCCCTCGGGGGCACAAGGGGGGCAGCCCCCGGCAGGTTTGGGGCGCGCGCTGAGCCTCTGCCCTCACCCCCAGAGCTGCTGTGCCTGCCGGACCGGATGCAGGCCAACGTGAGCCTGAGCTACCTGCAGGACCTGGGCTTCTCGGCCAGCGACCTGGTCATCCCCCGCTGGGAGGGTGTGCAGCAGTGCCAGGCCCGGGTCACGGCGAGCCAGGTGACCTTCACCATCCCGTACGCGGGCTGCGGCACCGTCCAGCAGGTGAGCCGCCCTCCCGCGCCCCCACGGGGCCCGATCCTCCCCGCGACGCCCCCGCGGGGCCCGGATCCTGGGGCCGGGGGACGGGGTTGAGTCCGGAAAACCGGAACATGATCGGGTGAAGGCGCCCGTGCCCCTCGCCGCTTCCAAACCACAGCACCCCTCCACAGGGAGGCGGCGGCGGGCGGTATCCCCACTGTCCAGCGGAGGCGCCCGGCAGGCTGCCAGGCTCGTCCATCGTCCCAACCACGGCCGCCGCCAGGGCTTCAGGGGCCTGAAGCCCCCAGGGCTCGGGGTGGGGCTCGGGGTGGGGCTCGGGGTGGGGCTCGGGGCTGGGCCCGTTAGGGGAGGGGGGGCAGGCACACCCCATCTTCCTCCTGTGAGGTGCCAGGCGGCCTCACCGATCAGGGTCCCCATGGAAGCCGTGATGGCATTTGTTTGGGGCTCTTCCTTGCATAAGCGCCCCCCCTCTCCCGGCCTGGGAACTGCGACCCGGCAAGCCCATGGCCTCTGACCCTCGGAGCCTCTGGGAAGGGGACCGCTTCCCTCTCGCCTCGCTGGGGCCTCCGGGGCCCGTTCACCTGCTCCTCTGGGCCGGTCGGGGTATTGGGCAGCGACCCTTCCCCTCCCTCCTTACCACCCCCCCTCCCCCGTGCTCTGCTCGGCGTCTGTCCCACCCCTGCCATTGTCTGGATACTCACGATGCTGCCGGCTGCTCCAGACCGGCCACCCTGGGAGGAGGCGGCCTGTCTGAGAGCTCACAGGCCTGGTCCCCAGAAACATCCCCCTGACCAGGCGGCGGGCACAGCACCGGGACCCGAGACCGACACCCCGAGAGCGTGCTGCATGCTGGGAGCCCCGGTCAGAAAGAGCCTGCGGTGCAGGAGGGACAGGAAGTGCTCCTGTCGCCATGCCAACCCAGCTGTCCGTCTGAGCTCAGAAAGTTCTTTCCCAGAAACTGGCTGCCACCTGGCTTTTATTTTTTTAATATGTTTGAATTAATTTCAAAGAGGAAGGGAGAAGGAGAAAGAGAGAGAGAATCATCCACAATGAGAGAGAGAGTCATGGACCGGCTGCCTCCTCCACGCCCCCCACTGCGGATGGAGCCTACAACCCGGGCCTGTGCCCTCACTGGGAATCGAACCGTGAGCTCCCGGTTCCTAGGTCGACGCTCACCCCTGAGCCACCCGGCTGGGCCTGGGCGGGTTGTGAAGCACTCGGAGTCCCTTACTCCGGACTCTGATGAGAGTGGCAGTGAGATGCCCCCGCAGGGCGTCCGCCTGACCCCTCTCCCGCCTCCCCCGCAGCTGGACAACGACACCATCACCTACGCCAACACCCTGCAAGCGGCCCGCCCCGCGGCCAGCGGCCTCATCCAGCGGCGGCCCAGCCTGCACCTCCACGTGAGCTGCCGGATGCTGCGGGACACCTGGGTGGACCTCATGTACGTCGCCCACGACAACACCGCGGTCCAGGAAGTGCAGTACGGCCACTTCGCCGTCAACATGTCCTTCTACACGTCGCCCGCCTTCGCCTACCCCGTGACCTCGCACCCCTACTTCGTGGGCCTGAGCCAGGACCTGTACGTCCAGGCCGAGGTCCGCGGCGCTGCCGCCATGGCCCTGTTCGTGGACACCTGCGTGGCATCGCCCTCCGCCGACGACTGGGCCTCCGTGACCTACGACCTCATCCGGAGCGGGTAAGCCGCGCCCTTGCGTGCGAGAGCCTGCCGCGGGCGGGAGCCACGGCCTCGGGCCCGGGAGCTCCGCAGAGCCCGTCGGGGCTCCGCTCCGGTCAGGAGGGGGCGCCTGGCGCGTGGCATGGCTCCCCCAGGCCACCGGGCCAGGGGACCGTCCACGGGGTGAGGCCCCGGGTGGGGAGCTCCGGGCAGGCCCTGCGTCACAGGGCGCGGGCGTGGCGGGAAAGCCTCCAGGTGGAAGCAGATCGAGAGGAGATGCCAGACGCCAGCTGCACCTTCTGGGGGGCAGTGGCACCCCTCAAGCCAGTGTGCACCCACCACGGGAGCAGGAGGACGCCCACATAGGGGCCGTTGGGGGGATGAGTGAGCGCGGAGGTGGGGTTCGGGCAGAGAGGATCCAGCGGGCGGTCCTCAGTGGGCGTGGCCAAGGGTGCCCCTTGACGCCCCAAATCAGCTGAGAATGGACGTTCTCACCGTCCTACGCTCCAGGCAGACGTGCGAGGGGACGGGAGAAGGTGGGGGTGAGAGGGGGGCGGCAGGGGGCCAGGTGGGGGGCACAGGAGGCGTGGGCGGTCCAATCCCACGCCAGGCGCATCCCAGTCGGCCGGCCGGGCCCCTGCGCGCTGACGGGCCCTCTCCTCGCAGGTGCGTGAGGGACGACACCTACCAGACCCTCCCCGCGCCAGCCGGCCTCGCCCGCTTCCGGTTCCGCTCCTTCCACTTCCTGCGCCGCCTCCCGGCCGTGTACCTGCACTGCAAGGTGCTGGTGTGCCGGGCCCACGACCCCGCCTCCCGCTGCCACGGCGGCTGCCAGCCCCGGCCCCGGCCACGGCGGGACCTGGGCGCCTTCCAGGAGCAGGTGGACGTGGTCCTGGGCCCCGTCCGGCTGCAGGAGCCGTAGCCGGGACAGCAGGAGCCTGGGTAGGTGGTCGCCCTCGACATCCCCCCCTCCTTCCCCCACCCCCACCCGCCGGGGGACGCGGGGGTCCCGGACACGTCTGTGGGGTCAGCTCCGCCGGGCGGTGGGCATGGCTGCGGGCCGGGCTGCTGGGCTGCGGGGGGCGGTACAGAGCGCAACTAGCCCCCCGGCCGCCTGCCTCCCAGGGGGTCACAGGTGGGGTCCGGCCTGAGCAGGCGGGGAGGCTTCCTTCTGCCAAGGGCCACTTGAAACTTTTTAAAAAATGTACATTTTTATTGATTTCAAGAGGAAAGGAGAGGGAGCGAGAGAAACATCCATGATGAGAGAGAATCATGGACCAGCTGCCTCCTGCACGCCCCACCCTGGGAATCGAGCCCGCCACCTGAGCGTGTGCCGTTGACCGGACTCGAACCTGGGAGCCTTCAGCCCGAAGGCTGATGCTGTATTCACCGAGCCACCTCCCCACGTCACTCCTCTTCCTCCCCCCAGACAAGTCGCTCTGACAGCATCGCCGTGCCCACACCACCATCCCACCCGTGCCCGGTCTCCGCTGGCTCGTCCTGACCGACATCTCTCCGCCCCCACCCGCCGGCCACAGCGGGCGCCACCCCCCTCGGCCCTCGGCCCTCGGCCCTCGGCCGCTCTGATGCTGCCGTGTGACCTCGGAATGCACAGGGGACAGGAAGCACCGGGTGCCCGAGCCTCATGCCAGGAGACTCTGCCCGCTCTGCCAGGCACATGGCGGGTGGCTGTGGTGGGGGTGGGAAATCGGGGGCTGGGTGCCGGGACTGAGGGTCAGGCAGGCAGGCGCGTGTCCGGGACCCTCGGGGCAGCCGTGAACCACCCTTCCCTCGGCCAGCCCTCCCCAGGGGACGGCCTGCCTGGCCGTTTAGAGCCCGCCCCCAGGCCGCCCCTGCCCGGCTGTGGCATGGACAGCTGAATAAAGGGCATTTTCACAGCACGTGTTGTCTGGTCCTGTGGTGGCTCCCCTGAGACCCTGGATCCCTGCAGACTGAGCTAAGGGGGAGGGGGGGGGGGCTGGACAATAAGAGATAAACCAGAGAACCCGCTGACCGATGGGCAGAGCCATGGGCACGGCCATGGGGGGGGGGGAGGGGGAAGCTGGGAGATATCTGTAAGACTATCCTATCTAATGAAAGAGCAATACTGTATGCAAATTGCCACGCCAAGACACAAGATGGCTGCCCCCACGTTGCCAAAGATGGCTGCCACAAGATGGCTGGCAGGGAGGGCAGTTGTGGGCAGTTGGGGGGGACCAGGCCTGCAGAGGAGGGCAGTTGGGAGTGACCATGCTTGGAGAGGAGGGCAGTTGGAAGTGACCAGGCCTGCAGAGGAGGGCAGTTGGAAGTGACCAGGCCTGCAGTGGAGGGCAGTTGGGAGTGACCAGGCCTGCAGAGGAGGGCAGTTGGGAGTGACCAGGCCTGCAGAGGAGGGCAGTTGGAAGTGACCAGGCCTGCAGTGGAGGGCAGTTGGAAGTGACCAGGCCTGCAGTGGAGGGCAGTTGGGAGTGGCCATGCCTGCAGGGGGCTGTGCCCTCGCCTGGTGCCCCAGGCCCTCGGGGCCCAGGAGGGGGCACCCCCCCCCCAGCCTCCCAGCCCCAGTCTGAGACGCTGTTAGACCCAGAGGAGGCACAGCCGGCCTGCCTGTGGCTCCGGGGGGGACGGAGGGACAGGTGGCCCCGGGACCTGGGAGGAAACAAGGACCAGGCGCTTTCCAAAAAGGCAGTGAATCTGCCCAAATGGGGGAGAGGCCAGCCCGGGGCTGCTGTGAGGGAGGGAAGAACCGAGCTCCCGTCCTGCCTGGGAACGCGCATGTTCCCCCCCACCCCCGCCCCAGCCCGACGGCCAGAGCAGCAGGCGCCAGCTGAGTGCCCGGCTTCCTCTGAGGCTGACGGGGTCCCCAGCTTTGCCCGCGTTCTCCTCCTGAGGGCAGGGGGAGTCCCGTGATTTCGGGGAGAAGGGGCCCCTCTGGGGGGAGGCGGGCCGGGCTCCAGGGCTCTGAGCGACTGCGATGACCGGACCCTGGCCCACCTCCCTGTGTCCGTCCCCTTGGCAGTGTGGCCACAGCTTCTCCCACTGAGACGTGACGGCCACGCTGGCCGGCAGCTCAGGTGGCTGGAGCATCACCCAGACACCAGGGCCTGCGGTCCTCAGGGTCTGCGGTCCCTCAGGGTCAGCGGTCCCTCAGGGTCAGCGGTCCCTCAGGGTCTGCGGTCCCTCAGGGTTTGTGGTCCCTCAGGGTCAGGCACGAGCAGGAATTAACCAACCAACACACAACAGAGGGGAGCAGTGGGCCGACGTTCCTCTCTCTCTCCTTCCCCCTCCCTCTCTCCCTCCCTCTCACTCTCTCTCTCTCACATCAGTAATTCACGGCTGGCATGGCTCAGTGGTTGAGCGTCGACCGGTGAACCAGGAGGTCACAGTGTGATTCCCGGTCGGGGCACAGGCCCAGGTTGTGGGCTCGATCCCCAGTGTGGGGCGTGCAGGAGGCAGCCGATCATGGTTGTCTCTCATCGCTGTTTCTCTCTCCAGGCCTGAGACGGGGAAGCCTTCGCAGGGGGTCTTACCTGGAGGCCCCCCGGGAGATGGGTCCCCCGAGAACACGGTGGGCGGGGGTGAGGGTCCCGGAGCGGCAGAGCCGGAGAAGGTCGCGGCCCGGACCCGGAGCCCCGAGGGGTAAATAAACTTTACTGCTGGTGACAGGCAGGCCTGCCGGGGGGCGCCCTGCAGAAGCCCGCATGCTCCGGGCGGGGGCCGGCGCCGGCCGGGGCGCTGGGCCGGAGGCCGCGCGAGAGGAAGTCCTGGTTCATGAGCATGAGGTCGCCCGGGAAGTCCGCCAGGCGGAAGAGGCTGCGGTTGGTGCGGCCGGCGATGGCCCGCTCCGCCCTCCTGGGGGGGAAGAAGGGCTTCAGGTCGCCGGGCTGGTGGGTGAGCGGCTTGGGCGGCTCCTTGGACTTGAACGTGACCTTCATCCTGATCTCCCGGCGCGGCCCGGCTCTGTCCTCGCCCTCGCCGTCCGCCACGCCCTCGCCCGTGGCGGCGGGAGGGCCGCCGGGGGGCCCGGCCCTCCGGATGGCGGGCAGCGGCCGGCGGTGGCGCAGCGCCCGCGCGAACTGCATGCGCTCCACGTGCCGGCAGATGTCCAGCCGCTCGCGGGGCGGCACCCGCAGCTCCTCGGGGGTCACGGTGACCTTGGCCGTCCAGAGCTTCTCCAGCAGCCCGCAGGCGGCGCAGGCCGGCGGGAACTGCCTGCGGTGCTCCAGCGCCTGCTTGTAGTCCGGGGACCGCAGCTGCAGCTCCCGCAGCATCTTCTGCTCCTCCTCCAGCCTGTGCCTGAGGAGCCGCCGGGAGGCCGCCGTGTGCACGCCCCCTAGACGCTGCGACCGGACGGGGCGTTAGCTCGGACCCTCCGCCGCCACGCAGCATGCAGAGGCCCGTGGGTGGGCAGAGCATGCAGCTTTGGGGTCAGACAAGCCTGGGTTCGAATCCCAGAGCTCTCTCTCTCTCTCTCTCCTCTCCTCTCTCTCTCTCTCTCTGTCCTCTCTCTCTCTCTCCTCTCTCTCTCTCTCTCTGTCTCTCTCTCTCTGTCTCTCTCTCTCTGTCTCTCTCTCTCTGTCTCTCTCTCTCTCTTTAAATGGTGTCTTTTGCCGAAACCGGTGTGGCTCAGTGGATAGAGCATCGGCCTGTCAAGGGCATGAACTTTGGACGCGGGCACATCCCCAGTAGGGGGGGGTGCAAGAGGCAACTGGTCGATGATTCTCTCATCGATGTTTCTAACTCTCTGTCCCTCTCTCTTCCTCTCTGTAAAAAATCAATAAAATATATTTAAAAAAAATAAATAAATGGTGTCTTTCTTTTATTTTTGTAAAATACATTTTTATTGATTTCAGAGAGGAAGCCGCACGCACACTGAAGATTGAGTCCTGACGGGGCATCCAGCCTGGACCCTCTGTCCGCAGTCTTACACTCTGTCCACGGAGCCACCCCAGCCAGGGCTGGACTCTCCTCGCCTCCCATGAACCGGAAGGACGGGTGTGACTCTCGGGGCCACAGGGAAGCCTCCGGAACCATCCCTGTGAGCGCGGCGGGCGCCAGGGAAGGCCCGGCCGGCGCCTCTGCCCTCGGCCCCACCGTTGCTCCCGTCCTCCCAGGGCCGTGAGATAAGAGGACACTCTGCTCTGCAGGGGCCGGAGCCACCAGCCGGCTCGCCAGCCGCGTCCTGCGTGGGGGACTTCCGTCTGGACCCAGGCTGTTCGGGACCCTCCGGCTCCCGGGTGACCACCTGCCTCAGTACCTCCCCTACCTCCCCCCCCCCCCATGGAGGTCAGGGCCTTACCAGGATCTCCTTCTCCAGCGGGGAGTACTTCCCGGGGGCGATGCTGGGGTCTGACGGGTGGACTTTGGTCCATGACCTGGGTGGTGCAGAGGCAGGTGGGTTAGAACTCTGGGGAAGGCCCTGGCCGGTTGGCTCAGTGGACAGAGCAATGGGTCCCGGGTTTGACTCTGGTCAAGGGCTCCTATCTCAGTTGCAGGCTCCTCCCTGGCTCAGACCCTAGTCAGGGCTCATACGGGAGGCAACCCATCGATGTGTCTCTCTCACATCGGCGTTTCTCTCCGTCCCTCACTCTTCCACTCTCTAAAACTCAATGGGAAATTGTCCTCAGGGGAGGATTAACAAAATAAACTTCCCAAAGGGGTTCCCTGGTGCGCCCTTTGGGAATGGAAACCTCACAAAGGGGATTCAGGGAGCCAGGTGAGATCGCCAGGCCAGGTTCCTCTGGGCACCGGCTGGGCGCTGCCACATGGCCTCGGTGGGAGACGGACGAGAAGGAGGGGATGGGGAGGAGGGGACAGGAAGGAGGAGATTGGAAGGAGATGAACAGAAAGGAGATGGACAGGAAGGAGGGGACAGGAAGGAGGGAACAGGAAGGAGGGAACAGGAAGGAGATGGATAGGAAGGAGGGGACAGGAAGGAGGGGACAGGAAGGAGATGGACAGGATAGGAGATGGACAGGAAGGAGGGGACGGGAAGGAGGGAACAGGAAGGAGGGAACAGGAAGGAGGGGACGGGAAGGAGGGGACGGGAAGGAGAAAACAGGAAGGAGATGGACGGGAAGGAGGGGATGGGAAGGAGGGAACAGGAAGGAGATGGACAGGAAGGAGGGGATGGGAAGGAGGGAACAGGAAGGAGATGGACAGGAAGGAGGGAACAGGAAGGAGGGGACAGGAAGGAGATGGACAGGAAAGAGGGGATGAGAAGGAGGGAACAGGAAGGAGATGGAGGGGAAGGAGGGGATGGAGAGGAGGGGACGGGAAGTCCGGCTGCACTCACCTCAGGGAGGCAATGGAGTCACGGTCCCCTTGGCCCCACAGGGGGTCCTGGTCCTTGGCAGCCTCGCCCACACCCAGCACCCCGCTCTTGGGGGCCTTCCGCTCTGGGGCCCGGGGGTCTTTAGCCCTCTGCTGGCCGGCCTTCAGGCCACTGTCCTCGCATTCTCGGAACATGACCGGCCACAGGCCGATGGAAGTGTCCACAGGCGGTGGGAGTGTCCACAGACCGGTAGAGGTGTCCACCTGCCGGAAGAGGTGTCCACCAGTGGTGGGAGGTGTCCACCGGCGGTGGAAGGTGTGGGCCGAGGGCTCTTCCTCTGGCAGCCTCAGGGGAGCCCAGGGCAGGCACCTGGTCTTGCATCACAAGTGGCCCCGGCGCCATTGTGAGGTCTGCGGCTGAGGTGTGAGCGCCCGGCCAGCAGGGGGCGGGGCCGTGGTTTCCCTTATCGTTCCCTAACGGCTCCGGGGCCGTGGGGCGTGGAGACGGCGCCAGGCAAATCCACCCGGTCCCGCGGGCCCCGCCGCGCCCACGGGGGCAGGGGCGCAGCGATGGCGGCTCCCTGCGTCCGCCGTGCCGCTTCCTGCCCGCCGGGCCTCCTGAAACCCACCATAGACACCGTGGAGGTCAGGGCACAGGCCTGGGTGTGGGGCTGGAACCCCAGTGTGGGGCGTGTGGGAGGCAGCTGGTCCATGATTCTCTCTCATCATGGATGTTTCTCACTCCCTCTCTGGAATCAAGAAAAATAAAACAGAATAAATTTTAAAAACTCCGACAGAAAAGACCGTTCCCCTGGAGCCCGGCCGCCAGCACCGTGAGGGGCAGTGGAGGCGCGGCAGGCCCGGCCCCGCTGGGTCCCCTCCCCAAGGCTCTGACGCAGCTCTGGCCCCCGACTGGGCTGCTCCGTGCGCGTCTGAGAAGTCAGCGGCGGAAGGAGAGTGTGGGGGGAAGCAGTGCCCCCCCCCAGTGCGTCCCGTCCCCCCAATCAGCGGATCGGGGTGCTCGCTCCAGCGGGCCTGGCGGCAGAGCTGGGTCCCCCGAGCCACGGGGAGCCACCAGGTAGCAGTGGCCACGGCCAGCACCCTCTGTGGGCGGGGGTGACAGACGGCCTGGCCACGCTGCTGTGGGCCAGCTGTGCGTCTGCAGAGACGAGATGTGACGCGTGTGGAGGCAGCGCACACGTGTGGCCTCCCCGGGTCTCAGTGATGTTGGCAGGGACCCCGCTCTGTGGATGGTGGGGTCCGGAGCAGGAGGGAGTGGGGCGAGCGGGGTGGAGGCTTGGCGGGGGGAGGGGGGCGTCTGCATGGCTGCGGGCATCGGCGGGGGAGGGCTGACCCCCACCGCCCGGCTTCCCCAGGAGCGGGCACTGCTAGCCTTTGCCAGGAGGAGGGAGGAGGTGAAACCTGCCGGGGTGCAGGGAGTGTCCTCCACCCTGGAACCCGGTTCCTCGTCCCCTCGTGGCCTCACGCAGCCCCCGCCATCTGGCCGCACCCAGCGCCGGGCTGAGGCGCTGCCCTGGCCCTCGGACTCTCCCTCCCCCACTCCCCCCGGCTCTGCCCGCCCCGCCAGGGGCCTTGGCGGCTGAACTCCTGTCCCCAGCGTGCCCTGCGGTGTGAGGAGGCCGTTGGGCACTCGGACAAAGGAGCCGGTGTGCGGGCCTCTCAGCACTGTGCTCGAGGTCACACCGTCCCGTTAGGAGAAGGAACAACACGGCCGCCAGCTCGGGGTAATCCGCCTCGACGCCGGGAGGCGGTGGCCACTGGACCGTGCAAATGGGCTGATAAGGCGCCGAGTTGGCACCCACGGCGGAAACGCGGCAGAGAAGGCGGGAGGCGGGGCCGCGCCCGCCGTGTGCCCGCCAGGGGCGGCGTGCCTGCAGTCAGGACGCCCCGAGGTGAACAGGGACAATCACTCGTGTGGTGGCACATGTGGGCAGGGGCCCGGGCGCTCGGTGCCGTCCCTCCTACGTTTCACACGGTGTCCACGTCTGGAGGCGTCTGCTGCCAAAACAAACCAGTCAGCCCGGCTCCAGAGGCTCCGACCTGTGAACCAGGAGGTCAGGGTTCCATTCCCGCCCAAGGGCACAGGCGGGGGGCGTGCAGGAGGCGGCCGATCCAGGACTCTCTCTCATCATGGATTCATTGATGTTTCTATCTCTGTCTTCCTCTGAAATCGATCTTTAAAATCTTAAAAAAAAAAAAAAAACAACAACAACTAAAAAACAAAACAAACCCGATTACAGTGCCGTGGCCCGCTGTGCGGAGCCGGTGACACGGGAACTGGTGGGGCCGGGGCTGCCTCAGCCTCAGACCCGCTGCTGTCCTCGCCGTCAGTCCGCGGCGGGGAGGTGGGGCCCAGGAAAGGACTGGGGCTCCGCGTGGTGGTGGGGGTGCTCGGGGGCTCGCTACACACCAACAAGACAGACTCACTGCGGAAACCGGTGTGGCTCAATGGATAGAGCGTAGGTCTGTGGACTGAAGCGTCCCAGGTTCGATTCTGGCCAGGGGCATGTACCGTGGTTTCTGGCACATCCCCAGTAGGGAGGAGTATGCAGGAGGCAGCTGGTCGGTGTTTCTCTCTCATCAATGGTTCTAACTCTCTATTCCTCTCCCTTCCTCTCTGTAAAAGTAAATTATATATATATATATATATATATATATATATATATATATATATATATAAGAAAAGAAAGAAAGAAAGGAAAGAAAGAAAGAAAGAAAGGAAAGAAAGAAAGAAAGAAAGAAAGAAAGAAAGAAAGAAAGAAAGAAAGAAAGAAAGAAAGAAAGAAAGAAAGAAAGAAAGAAAGAGAAAGAAAGAAAAGAAAGACTCACAAGCTCCCTGGACGGTGCAGGGGCTGCGGTCTGTTCGGGGGGCAGGCCTCCATCCTGCGTCGCCCGCAGTTTCTCAGGAACCCTTGCCAGTATCACCATTAGATGCAGGCACGCCCTCCTCCAGGCCTCCCTCCCGCCTGTCCCCGGGGTTTTCCAACGTTGGCAGGGACCCGGGTCTCCCCACACATGACATTGGGAGCCGAGGGGCGTCTTCAGGGCTTAGAGGCTGTGGGACAGGGGTCCCCGCGCCCGCCCTGCAGCCCCAGGCCTCCCGGAGGCGCTGCCCTCGGAGCAGGCTCCGGGCGGCGTGCCAAGGAAGCCGTGGGAGTTACTGGCATCCACACACGGAAGCCGCTATCTTAAACCCCTGGCTGGCAGCGGCCTGAGACACCGGGACTCCGGGGGGGATGAGAGGGCCGGCCGCCCAGCGGGATCTGACCGAAGGAGGACATGTCTCTGACCTTCAGCGGGTGCCTCGGACCCGCGTCCAGGGAAGAGGCCAGCGCGGCCGGGCTGGAGTCTCCGCAGGGCGCTGGGCCTGCATGGCTGGTTCGGTGAACAGCAATCAGAGGTTAACAGTTCGAAATGTGTGTTTACGGAACTCAGAGAGGCGGGAGAGGGAGAGAGAGAGGGGTGGGGGGAGAGAGAGAGGGAGGGAGAGAGAGACATCCATGATGGGAGAGAATCAGGGATCGGCAGCCTCCTGCACGCCCCCTACTGGAGATGAGCCTGCAACCCGGGCCTGTGCGCTGACTGGGAATCGAACCCTGACCTCCTGGCTCCTAGGTGGATGCTCAGCCACTTATCGGTTGGAAAAGCACTTCCTGTCCACGTCTTGCCACAGCCCAGGCCCCCAACACGGGCTCCGGGGGGCGGGCTCTGTGGGAACCTCGGCCTCCGGGGCTCCGAGCGGAGAGACCGCGGCGGCTGCGGACAGAGTGGCTGCTGGAAGCCACACCGCTGAGAGTGTCCGCTGGGGAAGCAGCGTCTGCGAGCATCAGGGGGAGCGGGTCCCCCCGGCCCTCGGCGGACACGCAGCCCAGGCCTCGGCGGGGAGCAGGCCGGCCAGCAGGACGGGGAGGCGCTTGGGGAAGTGCCCCTCAGAGAGCCGGCCAGCTAGTGGGCGTACGACTAAGACATGTGAGCTGCCATCAGGCAGGCGGTCAGGGGAGCCAGCCGAGAGGGGCCAGCGGGCGCGGGGGGAATTCGGGGAGGTGGTTGGGGAATGGGGAAAGCCTTCGAGGACGCAGGAGAGGCAGCGTGGGTGTGGAAAGACGAGTCCAGCCCTGACCGGTGTGGCTCAGTGGATAGAGCGTCAGGCTGCGGACTGAAAGGTCCCAGGTTCGATTCCGGTCAAGGGCATGTATGTTAGTTGCGGGAACATCCCCGGTGGGGGGTGTGCAGGAGGCAGCTGGTTGATGTTTCTCTCTCATCGATGTTTCTAGCTCTCTATCTCTCTCCCTTCCTCTCTGTAAGAAAATCAATAAAATATATATTTAAAAAAAGAAAGAAAGAAAGAGAGAGAGAGAGAGAGAGAGAGAGAGAGAGAGAGAGAAAGAAAGAAAGAAAGAAAGAAAGAAAGAAAGAAAGAAAGAAAGAAAGAAGGAAAGATGAGCCCATTCCCACCACTTCTTCCCCTTGGAGGTGCCACAGGCAGGAGCATATGGGGCGTCCGTGACATCTGGGGCCCCTGGAACTCGGGGTCCCACCTGCCCAGCCAGGGCCAGCTCCCCATCTGCCTCGTCACCCCTCCGGCCGCACCTCCCACCCCCTCGGCCTCGTGCAGGCCTCCAGCAGGTAGCACCCACCACCCTCTCCCGCAGGGAGTGCCCCGCCCGTCCAATCCAGGGCAGGCATCGAGTTGCAGGCCAACCTGGAGCATATAAGGCTCGGCCCGGCCCGCAGAGCCGGACTCCTGCGCCATGGGCTGCCCGGCCCCCCTGCTGGGGCTGCTGCTCCTGCCCGGCGTCTTTCTCCTGGAAACAGGTACGGCCCTGGGTGCCGGCCCCTCGCTCCTGCCTGTCCCTGGGAGGACAGGGGACGTGTGGGCACCCCCACAGAGCCCCCCGCCGCTGTGGGGAGCTTAGAGTGAGACCAGCCCCACAGGCCTTCCCTGCGGAATGCAGCCCAGCTCGCGGAGACACCGCTGGGACGTTCTCGCCGTGCTGGTGGGGCGGGGGCGCTGGTCAGGGTTTCTGTGGGTCTCTGCTCTGGGCGAGGCACTGGCCCACGGACTGCTCGGTAAAAGGCGGGCTCTCTTTGAGGGTTCTGGAGAGAGGCGGGCACAGAAGGAACACTTGGCCCAGCCGGCGTGGCTCAGTGGTTGAGCGTGGACCCATGAGAGTGGCCGGTTGCGGGTTCGATCTCCAGGGTGGGGTGTGGAGGAGGAGGCAGCCAATCAATGATTCTGTCATCCTGATGCTTCTCTGCCCTCTCCCTCTCCCTTCCTGTCTCTGAAATCAATAAAAAAATTTTTTTTGAACCCCTGTAGAGTTCCGGGTTCAATCCCCGTCAGGGCACCAGAAAACTCAATTTTTTTTTTTAAAGAAGAAGGAGGAGCGCTGGCCGGGGGACGTCAGGGTTTTGACGTGGTCTCTGGCCGCACGCTGACCGAGGCAGTGGAGGCACTGAGTTACGGCCCCGGTTTCTTCCCTGTGGCCGAACGGAACTGCGTTGGAAAATGCACCGCAAACGAATGCCTTCACCTGAGACGGCTGATGTGACAGAATTCTGTAGCTCTGACTCATGAGGCCTTCTAACTCGAACACCTCTATCTTTTTATTTCTTTTTATATATATATATTCATTGATTTCAGAGAGGAAGGAAGGAGAGATAGAAACATCCATGAAGAGAGAGAACCGTTGATCAGCAGCCTCCTGTACGCCCCCTTCCGGGATGGAGCCCACAACATGGTCAGGGCACATGCCTGGGTTGAGGGCTCCATCCCCAATCGGGGGTGGTACTTCTCTCTCTCTCTCCTCTCCCTCCCTCTCTCTCTCTCTCTCTCTCTCTCTCTCTCTCTCTCTCTCCCTCAGCCTCTCTGAAACCAATTATAATTAATAAATAAATAGGAAATGAATGGGGCTCCCGGAGGCAGAGCGAGTTCCGAATGCCTGAGGGAATGGGACATGCAGGTTCCGGGTAAGGGCTCCGCTGAGGGGAATGTGATGCTGGAGGGGAAACAGGACCGGGTTGGGGGTGTCGTTACAGGCACGGCTCAGGGGGCCCCAGAGCTGGCGGCAGGATCCTCAGGGCGCTCTGCCCTCAGGCCGTGCCTGAAGACGTGCGTGCTGCTCTGGGCAGGCAGGCGTGGACGGGGACTTACTCTGTGTGGAGTCGGGTGTCCAAGGGATTGAGGCCGGCCTGGCTGGCGTGGCTCGGTGCTGGAGTACCAACCTAGGAACCAGGAGGTCAGGGTTGGATCCCCAGTCAGGGCACAGGCCCAGGTTGTGGACTCGATGCCCAGTGGGGGGCGTGCAGGAGGCAGCCGATCCAGGATTCTCTCTCATCATGGATGTTTCTCTCTCTCTCTCTCCCTCTGCCTTCCGCTCTGAAATCAATGTTAAAAATGTACGTGTTTTAAAGGATTTAGAATAGACGTGGAGGGTTCGGGTGGAGACAGCCCCCAGTTTGGGACGAGTGAGGTGAAAGGTCGCTGGGAACTGGAAAAGGTTCCCTAAAACCCAGCACCTTGGTAACGACTCGATGCTGCACTGCACACGGCCCCAGCAGGTTCCTGGGCGCGAAGGTCGAAGGTCTCCTCGCCTCCTGTCCCGCCCTCTTCCCATCCCCCCGAGAAATCAGGTCCCAGCGCAAAACCGGCCAAACGGGCGATTTGTCACCCTGAGCTGGGCCTTTGGCAGGGGGTTCAACCCTCTCCTCCTCCACCCCGTCCTGCCTCCCTGCCAGTCCCGCACGCCGAGGGCACACGGCGACCCGCAGCCCGGGTCCCAGCCCACAGGGGCACTCCAGAATGCTCAGAGCCAGTGAGCGGGAACAATGCCCAAGGCTCTCCCCCACGGCTGCCGCGGCCCGGCTCCTCGGAACAGGCTGGCCAGGGTCTCGGGTGTGTCCTGAGCTGCCGGCATCCAGGCGTTTGAGAGGCACAGGGAGGGGGGCCGTGCAGACAGCCGAGTAGCCGTGGAGGGCGTTTTCTCCGGGACGGCCTGGGCCCTGCTCCAGCCTCGCCCGCCCCGCCCCCCCACCTGTGCTCTCGCGCCTCTGCCCCCAGCGCACTTCCCGCTACAGCTCAGACGGGAGCTGCCGGGGCGTGGGGTCAGCCATGCGATACGGCCGGGGGCGCCTCGGCGGTTGCACAAGCTCCTTGAGGACAATGGGCCCGAGAGCTTCCGGGAACAGCGAGGGCAGAGGCGGAGGTGTGCCTGTCCCCTGCGCAGAGTTATCTGATCAGCGGGGGCCAAGGCAAACAGGGACCCGCTCTCCAAAACCACAGCGCGATCGAGTTGCGATCCGACCAGCTGGGCGCACCTGCTCTGCTTCCAGGTCCCACACTGCCAACCCCTCCCGCCCACAGCGCCCCCCCCCCGGGGCACTCAGCCCGGTCGCCCCTGGCGCCAAGGTCCGGGTGGGAGTCTGTGGTGTCAGGTCTGGGCTGGGCTCCCAGCCGCCTGCTCTCATTGGCCCCGGTCAGGCGTTCAGCAGCGCCACGCTGTGCTGTGCCGCTGGCAAGCTGACAGCTCTGCGGGCCAGCCTCCCCCTCCCACCCCCACGCACGTGTGCTCACACACACACACTCGCGCACACACACTCACATGCGCGCGCACACGCACATGCACACACGCACGCTCTCTTGCTTGCATATAGCCACACACATGCTCTCACATGCACACATCCATGTGTGCACCGCGCACATGCTCTCACATACATGCGTGTGCACACTCTTTCACATACATACATTCGCACCCATGCACACAGCCACACACATACAGAAATGAATTTCCACCAAACACGTGGCTGGCGTTCAGCTGGCCACGATGAAAGATGCCATGGCCGATGGGGAGAAGGCAGTGGCTTAGTGGGTCCGGAGCAGAGAGCGGGTCCCGGCTGACATTCCCCGAGGGGCCCTGTGTGTCCGGCATTAACGTAACTAATACAGCCTCAGAGTCCATCCACACAGGCAGACATTGGGCCGAGCGTGTGCGCGTGTGCACGTGTGTGTGTGCGTGTGCGTGGGGGAGGCTTGCTTACGTTCACCTTTGGTTCCTCCCTCTCGCCCTCGATCGGTTTGCTCCGTCGGGGGTGAGCTCTGTCGGCGTCTGTCTCACGGCACGCCGCCTGCCCGTGGCATGAGGAGTGTTTGCCACGTTGTCACGGAGCCTGCAGGGCGGACACACGCAGCACAGGGGAGTGGGACACGTGTGGCCGGGCACGCTATCCAGCTCATCACGTGTGTGTGATGGCTGATGAGCCGCCCCCTGCACTGCGGCCAGAGGCCGATGTTTTATCCGGGTCACGTGCTCTCCGCTGAAGCTGGTTCTGGCTGGAGCTGTTCCGGGCCAGCACCGGCCCTTTCCTAAGTGACCCCTCTCCCCACGCAGCCGCCGAGACCGAGCGCCAGAGGCCGGCTCTGGGTGAGTCCCCTCTGCCCCTCGGCCTGGCACTCCCATTCTCCTCCCCCTCCCTCCCCCCCCCTCGCCCCCCACCCCCCAATCCCCGCTGCAGGGCCCAGAGGAGACCGCGGTGCGCAGTGTCGGTCCTTGGACACGTGTAGCGGATGCATGTATGCGACACAGAGAGCAGCCGTGTTCGCCAAGGGCCTCTGGTCCCCAGAGGCAGGGCTGGGAAGGGGCTCGGATGTGGACGGGCCGTGGCACCGGCTCTGGTCCCAGGTGGCCCGCTGCCCTGGCCAGCAGGTGGCGCTCTGGCCCGGGTTCTGCAGAGCTGGCCTGCCCCATGGCGAAGCTGAAGCTCTAGGGCAGTGGGTCTCACCCTTCCTGATGCCCGCCCTCTAACGCAGCTCCTCGCGCTGACCCCCAGCCATCACATTATTTCCGTCGCTACTTCATAACTGTGACTTTGCTTCTGTTATGAATCGTAATGTAATATCTGTGTTTTCCGATGGCCTCAGGCGGCCCCTGTGGAAGGGTCGTTCGACCCACAAAGGGGTCGTGACCCACAGGGTGAGGAGCGCTGCTCGAGGGTCCCTTTAGAACAGCCCCGAGGGCGAGCCCGGTGATGCCCGGGGGGCCCCGCTCCGGGTCCCGGTCCTCGGCCCGTTTCTCACCCGGCCCCTCCAGGCGGTGCTGACGCTCAGAAGCAGGCGGAGTGAGCGTCGCCCCTGAAATCACACGAAACCGTCTCCGTTCTCTCCTGCCCACAGATGACAGGAAGTCGGACACCATCCTCTCAGGTAAGGGGCGCCCACTGGGTGCTGTCCCCCGGGGGTCTCACGGTCCCCCCAGACTCAGGGAGGAGATCCACAAGGGGCGTGGCCTGGAGTCCCTCCCGGTGCCCCCCGCGCCCCCGTGGCTCAGTCTGAGGGAGCTGGTTCTCAGGGGGCGCCCCAGGTCTCCTCGTCCTCAGAGGGCCGGCCTGTGATGTTGGAGTGAGTCCTGAGAGCTCCGGGCGACAGTGGGTCCGAGGCTGCCGGTCGGCGTTGCTCGGCGGCTGCTGGAGGCTCCGGGCCCTCGGCGTTTCCCGGCCTGTGCTCTGTGCCTCAAGGAGCAGCATCGGAGCTCAGATAACAGGGCCCGTGTCTGCGTGTCCTGTGCCGTGTCACCAGTCCCGCAGACCTAGTGCGTGAGCCACACCGTGTGCTGCCTCAGCTCTGGGGCCGAGTCCGGGATGAGTCTCTGGGCGAAATCGCCGTCCAGCGTCCCGTCCACCTGGCGGCCGCAGGCAGGACCACGGCCTGCCTCTCCCGGGTCCGAGGCCGCCCCCTCCTTGGCTCGGGGCCTCCTTCTCCCGCCTTCAAAGCCAGCAGTGCCGTGTCTTCCAGTTTCTCTCTGATGCTCCGACCTCCAGCTCCACTGTTAAGAACGCTTGTGGCCTGGCCGGCGTGGCTCAGTGGCTGAATGTCCTCCCAGCACCAGGAGGTCAGGGGTGGAGTCCCAGTCGGGGCACAGGCCTGGGTTGCAGGCTCTGTCCCCAGTGTGGAGCCTGCAGGAGGCAGTGATCCATGATTCTCTCTCATCATGGATGTTCCTGTCTCCCTCCACTTCCCTTCTGCTCTCTTCAGAATCATTAAAACATTTTTTATTTATTTATTTTTTAAAATATATTTTATTGATCTTTGTACAGAGTGGAAGGGAGAGAGATAGAAAGTTCGAAACATCAATGAGAGGGAGTCATCGATCAGCTGCCTCTTGCACACCCCCTACTGGGGATATGCCCACAACCAAGGTACATGCCCTTGACCGGAATCGAACCCGGGGCCCTTCAGTTCCCAAGCCGATGCTCTATTGATTGAGCCAAACCGGTCCCGGCTAAAACATTTTTTAAAATACGGGGGAGAATCATGGATCGGCTGCCCCCTGCGTACCTCCTATTAGGGATGGAGCCTGCATCCCAGGCCTGTGCCCTGACCGGGAATGGAACCCTGACCGCCTGGTTCATAGGTTGATGCTCAACAGCTGAGCCCCGCCAGCCAGGCAGCACCTAATTCTCATCACAAAACACCAAACACCTGCCTGGGACACAGTCTGGGAGGGAGGACGGGGAGGGAGCTGGACAGGCCCCGGGGCCCGTGGGTGAAGGAGACTCAGCCCGCCCATCACTTCCCAGCTGGGCCCTTCAGAGTTGAGGCAAAACCACAACCTGGGGGGAGGTCCTGGGGGCCCTCGCTGGCCACAGCCCGCTCAAGTCGCTGTGAGAACTTCCGTTCGTGTTTCCTTTCGGGGGAATTCTCTGTTTTTTAAATATATTTTTATTGGCCTCAGACCGGAAGGCAGAGGGAGAGAGAGAGAAGCCTCCATGACGAGAGAGAATAGTGGATTGGCTGCCTCCTGCACGCTCCCTGCTGGGGATCCAGCCCGTAATCAGGCACATGCTTTTGACCAGAACCAAACCTGGGACCCTTCAGTCCACAGGCCGCTGCTCTAAAGCACTGAGCCACACTGGATAGGGCCTTGGGGGAGAATTCTTACTATTTTTTGTTTTCAAATTTATCTTTATTATTTTTTTTATTATTATTTTTATTTTTATCTTTATTATTTTTGAAAGTATTAGAGATGTCCCCCTTGCCCCTGCCTTGACCCCGCCCACCCGCTCCTGCCCCACCCCAGCCCTCAGCACACTGCTGCCCGTGTCCATGTGTTAGGCACCGGTGCCCACAGGGTCTGTGGTCCATCTCTCTCGCTCACCGACCCCCTTCCCTCTGAGACGCGTCAGTCTGTGGAAGCTAAGGAACCACACACACAGTGCCGCATGCACCAGACTGATGCCTCTGTCTTTCCTGCAGTGCTGCCGGCCGCCGGCTCCACTCCTCTCCCGCCTCTGACTGCGGCGCCCTCGGCATCGCCAGGTAGGACCCCCACCCCCTGACCGAGTTTATCACAGCTGCCATCGCTGGTGACTGCTGTTCCATTGGAGAGGGCACGCTGCTCAGAGAAGGACCCCCCATGAGGTGCCTGGATTCTCGCTGTCCAGCTTCACTTTGTGTTTATCCACCATTTCACTCTCAAAGAACATCATGCCCAGCCAGTGTGGCTCAGGGGTTAAGCGTCGACCTAGGAACCAGGAGGTCCCAGTTCGATTCCCGGTCAGGGCACAGGCCTGGGTTGTGGGCTGATCCCCAGTGGGGGGCGGGCAGGAGGCAGCTGGTCCATGATTCTCTCTCATCGTTGATGTTTTTCTCTGTCTTTCCATCTCTCTTCCTCTCTCTCTAAAAATCAATAGAAAAATATCCTCAGGGGAGGATTAACCCCCAAAATTTATTTTTTTAAATAAAAGGAGCGAGGCATTTGGGGAAAGCAGGGTGGCATTGGTATGTCCTCTCTGCCACCTGAACTTGACCCCAGCCTCGTGACAGCGGGTCCCTCTCTGTGAACACATGGCCAGGCGGTGGCTCTTCGGCAGGGGCCAGCTGAGTCCTTCTCTGATGGGTCTCACCTGTGTCTCAGGAAGACGCTGCGGCCCTGACCACTGCTTCCGTGTCGTTCTAGAAACACCTGTCATGGACCCGCCACCTTCGAGTCGCAGAGCCGACGATCCTTGGCCCAGCCCGCCAGGTCAGCCACCTGCTCACAGGGCACGCCACTGTGCGCGTGAGCCCCAGGGAGGTCGTGGCAGCCAGGGAGGGGCGGGGCTGCACGGGGCCAGAGCGAGAGGACCACGCCCCCAGCACCCGGCTGAGCTCTGAGCACCCCACTTTCCTGCCGCTTCACAGACACATTGGCAAGTTCAGACAATGAGGAGAACGGGAAGCAAACAGCGTGCCCCTGTGCCTCCGAAGTGGCGCTCAGGGTTTGTCTCACGGGGTTCCATCTTGTCAGGAAATAAGACATGACAGGCAGCTCTAAAGTTCCCCAGACTCCCCATCGCCGCTCCTCTGTTCTCTCCCTTCCGTGGAGACAAGCACTCTCCTGGATGCGGGGTGTGTCATTCTACACAGAGTGGCCCGATGATGATGATCTCTGAATGCATAATAATCTGGCCACTCTGTGTGTGTGTATTAGAGGCCCGGTGCATGAATTTGTGCATGTGTGGGGTCCAGCCAGCCTGGCCAGGGCGAGGAGACATGGTCAGTTGGCTGGCCTGCCTGTTGGTCAAACTCCTGATCGAGGGGACAATTTGCATATTAGCCTTTTATTCTATAGGATAGACACTGAGTAGCCAGATGATTATGCATTCAGAGATCATCATCATCTGGCCACTCAGTGGACTTCATTTTAAGACTTTTACAAATAGGAACTGTGCGACTTTAGGTGTGTTATTTTGTGTTTTCCTTTCACACCGATGCTATCAGTCCCCGTCTGTCTTCCACTCCCTTGTATTCTTTACTCAGTGTCAGGTTTTTGAGATGTATCCGTGTTGGTAGCTATAAAGATTTATAGATATATTTTACTGCTTTTAACAGTCGGGGTGTTGGACCTTTTTGAGTAAACCACATAATGGGCACGTTTTCCCACGGATAAAAGTACATTTCTGCTATGTTGCGTGTCTGCCCGGCTGAGGGCAGGTCCCAGCTCAGCAGTGCATGTTCTGCAACCCGATCGCTTTGTGGCGCGACCGCCAGGGGCCGCCTCAGCAGCAGCGGGATTACTGAGCGGTGGTTTTCTAGAACGCACTCATTGATGGGGAGTGATAAAAAAATTCCCCCTCCTGCCAAAACCGGTTTGGCTCAGTGGTAGAGCATCGGTCTGCGGACTGAAAGGTCCCAGGTTCGATTCCGGTCAAGGGCATGTACCTTGATTGCGGGCACATCCCCGGTAGGGGGTGTGCAAGAGGCAGCTGGTCCATGTTTCTCTCTCATCGACGTTTCTAGCTCTCTATCCCTCTCTCCTACTCTCTGTAAAAAAATCAATAAAATATATTTTAAATAAATAAATAAATAAAAGTCCCCCCTCCTTCGAGAGCTGGGCAAATGGGATGAGAGCAAAAGGCAAGTTTCCCAAATGGACCTTGTTTTTGTTTCCACAGAAGACCCGCCGCGGATGAGGCTGGCCAACGGCACCGGGCGGTGCTCCGGGCGCGTGGAGGTGTTCTACCAGGGCGCCTGGGGGTCGGTGTGCGGGGACAGCTGGGGCCTGCGGGAGGCGCAGGTGGTGTGCAGGCAGCTGGGGTGCGGCCGGGCGGTGTCGGCCCCGCCGGGCGCCCACTTCGGGCCCGGCTTCGGGAAGATCCTCCTGGACAACGTGCACTGCAGCGGTGAGGAGCGCCACCTGGCCCAGTGCGCCCATGACACCTGGTTCACGCACAGCTGCGGCCACGAGGACGACGCCGGGGCCGTCTGCGAGGGTGAGGGTCCTGTGCTCTCCCGGGGACTCGGGGCGGGCGGGGCTGTGACAGGAAGTGGGAAGGGAGCCGGGGCCTCTTCCTGTGGGGGCTGACGGTTCCCTCTCTCCACACTCACAGGTCCTCTAGCGGCAGACCCCTTCCGGCCAAGTGAGGCTGATTGGGCTGTTTGTAGGCCCCGTGCTTCCCCTAGTTCTGTCCAGCCAACACTCACAGTAGAAATGGAATGAAGATGACCCTGTCAAATCGAGCTTGACACAGTTCACAGGGGCTGGTTGGATTGATCTATTTGACTTGACGTCTACCCAGCTTTCCCAGTCTCTGTGTCTGCCCACCATCACGGATAGGGCTTAGAACTCAGATCTGTGGTGTTGACCTTGGCCTCCTGCTCTCAGGAAAGCTGCTCATCCTGGCCTGACAGCCCCTCTGCGGGGCGGCTGCCTGAGGAGAGGTCCCAGGCTCAGCTTAGGGTGTGGCCTGGAGGAGAGAGCAACATTGATGAATAACATCAGCAAAAGCGGGTTTGGAAATAAGCTAGCAGGACACAATGCCTCGGTGCAGGGACCTCCCAAATCAGAACTGCATTACCGGGCAAGACAGGGCTTTTCTGGGGCCATTGAAGGACTACAATTAACAGTCACTGGCTTTAGGGTACAGTTTTCTGTGACTATGCCCATCAATCATCACAAATCTCTTATTTGAGAGAAAAATTGCCATTTATGTCCCAGAGTGATTAGATCAGAAAATCATCTGTCTTGAGTCTGTGATGCCTGATTTTTTTTTTTAAACAGACAGTGAAACAACGTCAGTTGAAAAATTATAGTTATGCGATTTTAGAGTAACTTTGCCACTAGAAGAAACCATGGGGCTATTCTAATCCTTTCCTTTTTATCCTAAGCCAGTGGTTTTTGAGCATTACTTTTCATCAGAATTACCCTGTGGGTCCACCCAGCATTTCTAGTTCAGTAGGCCCAGAGTGGGGTGTAAGGATTTGCATTTCTAACAAGTCCAGATGCTTATATGTACTGTGGTAGGGAACCACACTTTGAAAACCACTGTCTTAAAACAAAGAGGATTTTTTTTATAATCCTGATATGCAGAAGCAGCGTTACCATCATCTTCATCATCACCATCCTTGCCATTGTCAGCATTGTCATCATCATCTTCATCATTAACATCACCATTGCCATCATCATCATTACCACTATCATCACCATCATCACCATTGTCATCATCAATATCACCATCATTACCACTATCATCATCAACATCACCATTATCATCATCACCACTGTCATCCTCATCATCACCATTATCATCATCAATATCACCATCATCACCACTATCATCATCAACATCACCATTATCATCATCACCACTGTCATCCTCATCATCACCATTATCACCATCATCACCACTGTCATCATCATCATCATCACCATCATCATCATCACTACTGTCATCATCATCACCATTATCACCATCATCACCACTGTCATCATCATCACCATCACCATTATCACCATCATCATCATCACTACTGTCATCATCATCACCATTATCACCATCACCACCACTCTCATCATCATCATCACCACTGTCATCATCACCATTATCATCATCACCACCACTGTCACCACCATCATCACCAACACTACTGTCATCACCATCATCACCATTATCACCATCATCACTACTATCATCATTACCATTGTCATCATCACCACTCTTAACATCATCACCACTGTCATCATCAGCACTGTTATCATCATCACCATCATCATCATCATCACCACTGTCATCATCATTACCATTGTCATCATCATCACCACTGTTATCATCACCACCATTGTCATCATCACCATTGTCATCATCACCATCATTGTCATCATCACCATCATCATTATCACCACCATTATCATCATCATCACTACAATTGTCATCATCATCACCATTGTCATCATCACCGTTATCATCGTCACCACTGTTATCATCACCACCATTGTCATCATCACCATTGTCATCATCATCATCACCATTATCATCATCACCACCATTGTCATCATCACCATTGTCATCATCACCATCATTGTCATCATCACCATCATCATTATCACCACCATTATCATCATCATCACTACCATTGTCATCATCACCACCATTGTCATCATCACCATTATATTCATCACCATTATCACCATCATCACCATTATCATCATTGTCATTATCACCATTGTCATCATCACTATTATCATTATCACCATCATCACCACTGTCATCATCAACATCAACATTATCACCACTATCATCATTACCGTTGTCATCATTACCATTGACAGCAGCAGCATCACCATTATCATCATCACCATGGTCAGCATCATCATCACTATTATCATCATCTCTACCCCTGTCATCATCACCCCCATTGTCATCATCACCATTATTAACATCATCACCATTATCATCATCACTATTGTTATCATCAACATCATCATTACCACTGTCATTAACATCTCTATTATCATCACCACCATTGTCATCAATACCACTATCATCATCATCATCATCATCACTTCTGTCATCATCACGATTATTGTCATCATCACCATTGTCATCATCATCATCACCATTGCTGTCACCAATATCACCATCATCATTACCATTGCCATCACCATTGTCATCATCATCATCATTACCATCACCATTATCACCATCATCATCACAGCTGTCATCATCATCACCATTGTCACCATCATCACCATTATCATCATTACTACTCTCATCAACATCTACATCATCACCACCACTGTCACCATCATCAACATCCCGGTTGTTATCACCATCACCACTGTCATCATCTCCATTGTCATCATCACCATCACCATCATCACCACTGTCATCATCTCCATTGTCATCATCACCATCGCCACCGTCATCAATATTAAAAGCAGCACTGTCATCATCAACATCAACATTATCACCACTGTCATCACCATTGCCATCATTACCATTGTCAGCAGCAGCATCACCATTATCACCATCATCACCACTAACATCATCATCACTACTGTCATCATCATCACCATTGTCATCATCATCATTATCATCACTACTACTGTCATCATCACCATTGTCAGCATCATCATCACTATTATCATCATCTCCGCCCCTGTCATCATCACTATCATTGTCATCACCATTGCCATCACCACCATTATTAACATCACCACCACCATCATCATCATCATCATCATCATCATCACTATTGTTATCATCAACATCATCTCCACCACTGTCACCATCATCAACATCCCCGTTCTTATCACCATCACCACTGTCACCATCTCCCTTGTCTTCATCACCATCACCACTGTCATCGTCATCTCCACCACTGACACAGTCATCGGTGTCACCGTCATCGATGTTAAAAGCAGCATTGTTACCAGAAGCAGCGCTGTTATCAGGGGAAACTAGTTTACCTGGTAAGTGAAACTTCGTGCTTGTGAATCACTTCCGTGGCTAGTTTTAGTTTGTGTGTTCTTATGGTTATGTATATGCAGACCTAAGCACTCAAACAAGAATATTTTAGGTGAATTATTAAGATATCTGGCAACATCTGGTACGATGCAAACAGACAGGTCTCAGACAGACAGGTCTCTGTGGATGAATTAATTTTCCACTTATAGCTAAGAGGCTGAGGTGGCATTCATGGCCTTCTCTTCATCAGGCACACGTCAGGAAACGGACGCTCACGTGCCTGTGGCAGAACAAGAATTAGATTCTGGAATTGAATAATCATGCCTTTAGGCTGGAAGGTCACTAAGCTCTTTACAACTTGCTCATATTATTCTTCCCATTCGAAGCATATTTATGAATACATCACAGCACTATCAATTTGTAGAGGCTGCTTTCCTTTCCTTCAGGTTTCCTCAAATATGATGTTCTTAAGTTTGTTTTCTATTTTTTAAAGACTTATTTCTACTGGGCCAGGAATTCCAGGACCCCTTTACCATGAATGTAATATATTATAGATGCATAAAAAGTTAGGCAGCCTCGTTGGATGGTGCTGATGATGTCTTCCTTAGACGAATGTTAAGAAAACCAAAGGCTTCAGAGCAGAGCGTCTTGTAATGCACTGTCCACTTGTTCTTTCCCCACTGCTGACCGTGACCTCACACTGCTGTTCTTTCTAGGGGAGGGCTTCTCCGAGCCTTCGCTGACCACAGCCCCGGAGGCCCCGACACCTCCACCTGCAGGTTTGGGAACCAGCTCCTGAGTCCATTTGACCTTCCTGTCCTCTTCTAGTTCCAAATTCCCAGCAGAGAACCTGACCTGATTCAGTACGGGGACTGGTTCTCTGCAGCCAAACGTATACTGGAGCCCACTGGGCAGCCTCAGTCATGGGGCACACAGCACTGGCCGGTGCCCCCTCCTGGCTTCGGGTAGGACAGGTCATCTAAGAAAGGGATATGGGTAAAGAGGACATGTTCGAGTTCTCTACCGTCACGTAAAACCACCCCAAACACAGTGGCTTAGGACAGCACCGTCTGTAATTGCCTGTGAGTCTGGGGGTCAGCTGGGCTGCCTTGCAGAGCTGGGTAGGCTTGGCTGGTCTCGGCTGATCTCGGCAGGGCTCCCACTTGCATGTCCGGTTAGCTGGCAGGTCAGTGGAAGGCCGTCTGGCCTAGGACGGCCTCCCTCACAGGCCTCCCATTTCCAGAGCTGTTATCTGAGGTGACAGAGGTGACGAGGCCACGTGTCTTTCATTACCCCGCCCCCGGCTCAGGCTTATTCTCTGATTGTCCCAGAGGTTCCATGGAGCCCAGGGGAGCCTCTCAGCCCTCTCGGACTCAACTCTGCATGGCTTTGGGTGGGACAGGTTATACACCACGTTATTTCTGCTGCATTCTATTGACAAAGCGGGTCATGAGCCACCAGCCCAGAACGAAGGCGTAGGACAATGAGAGGGGGAGCTGCGATGTCGCATCTTGGAGAGCAAAGCTATGAGGAGGAGAAAAACTGGGGCCGCTGGGGTGAAGGACCGACCCCCAGCAAGCTGTCTGTCTTCAACGGGTGTGGGAGAGGAGGATGCTAGGTTCTCCTTCGAGCGTGGGTCTCTCCCAGCGGCGGGAAGGGTGTGAGTTGCAAAGTCATGGAAAGCAAGGAAGGCTAGGCCGGGTAGACGCCGGTCCAGCCATCCACAGGCAGAGGGCGCTGTTCTCACCCCGTGACCCCTGCTCTCCCCAGGAGGCTGGGCTCCAGTGCGGCTGGCGGGCGGCCCGGGGAGCTGCGCGGGCCGCGTGGAACTCTTCCACCAGGGCGCCTGGGGGACCGTGTGCGACGACCTCTGGGACCTGCCGCAGGCCAGCGTGGTCTGCAGGCAGCTGGGGTGCGGCCCGGCCGTCTCAGCGCCCGGCGAGGCCCACTTCGGGGAAGGTTCCGGCAAGATCCTGCTGGACGACGTGCGCTGCAGGGGCGACGAGGGGCACCTGGGGGAGTGTGCCCACCGCGGCTGGCTCTCCCACAACTGCGGGCACGGGGAAGACGCGGGAGTGCTCTGCTCAGGTAAGCCGCCCCTCGCCAGGCCAAGGGGTCTGGGCTCTTCCCAGGCAGAGCCTACCAACGGCAGGAAGAGCTCACAGCAGCCGCTCTCCTCTCTCTGCTTACAGATGCTGCACACACGGCGGGCACACCACCAGGTAGGAGGGCGCTGGCGCCAAGGAAGGGCAGGTGCCCACCCCTCGGGGCAGAGGCTGTGCTGGAATTAGGTGTCCGTTACTCTCCTGTGGGGGAGGGGGGGCGGCGCAGAGCCTGGAGCCCCTGAATGTCCGTGGCGAGGTGGGGAGCACCTTAGGCTCACGTCCGTCTCCCCACCACGCCACTGCACACGCCACACGCTCGGCTCCCGTACAGCACGCGTGGCCCGTCACTCTGAGGGTGCGAGGGGATAGCAGTGAGACTCGGGTAGCGGGCTAAGATCTGAGGGGCAGAACCCTGGCCAGCGTGGCTCCGAGGTTGAGCGCCGACCTAGGAACCAGGAGGTCAGGGTTCGATTCCCAGTCAGGGCACAGGCTGGGGTTGCAGGCTTGATCCCTAGTAGGGGGCGTGCAGGAGGCAGCCCATCTGTAATTCTCTCTCATCATGGATGTTTCATTTTCTCTCCTGCTCCCTTCCTCTCTGAAATCAATAATAATTTTTTTTTTTAAAAGACTTGAGAGGCAGGTAAGGAACTTCCCACCCAGGGGCCGGTGGCTGGCGGGAAGGAACTGGCCAAGGTCAGGGTTCCCCATTCTGCCCCCCTTCCTCGCCTCTGCCTCGTTCCCGTGCAGCCGGCCCCTCGGAGCTCCGAGTTCTCGGTTTCCCCATTGCTCTCCGTGCTGACACGCAGAGATGCCAGTGCCCTCTCCTTCACCGCCCGTCCCGCACCCTCAGCCAGCTCTGCTCGTGGTCTAGGGATGCTCGGTCCCCCTCGGGGTGGTGGGCTCTGGCAGGCGGGAGTGGCCTGGTCCTGGAAGACTCTCCAGTGGGAAGCTCTGGGCCAGCTGCCGCTGGTTGCAGAGGCATTGGGCAGGAGGAGGGTCAGAGCGTCCTTGGTCCCGGCTCCCGGGCCCTGAGCAGCCGGTGGAAGGGAGCAGCGCACCGGCGCCTCTTGCTATTCGTCCATCGAAGCCGCGTGGCACCCCCTGGCACTGGCGTCAGAAGCCAGCATCTCGCATCTTTCATGTTCTTACCCCCGATTCAAACACAGCTCGTGTGTGTGTGACGAGGGAAGGGTGCGCCCGCGTCGGGGAAGGGTCTAGACCGGTGCCTCCTCCCTGCCCACACCAGTGTCTGTCCGGGCGCCGGCTCACCCCAGGCTGGCTCCGTGGCTCTGGGAGGGGCCTGGACAGCATGGGCCTCGCGCCCGCTGACAGGCATGTGCCCCTTGTGTGCGACAGGTCGCCCGTCGGCTGCCACAGCACGGACGGCCACTGCAGGTGAGACTGCGGGCGCGAGCGGTCTGAATCTGGGGAGAGAAGATAAAGTGTGTGCGCGGTAAAACGCGTGAACCGAATGAGGGAACGTGGAGACCTGACCCCCTCCCGCCTTTAGAGAAACCGCGCTGCGGTGGCGTAGTCACCAGCCCGTCGGGCGCCGTGCGGAACCCGCCGCGGAGCGACATGCGCGACAACATGACCTGCGTGTGGGAGATCCGGGCCAACGCGTCCGACCACGTGCTGCTGGCCTTCCCCTACCTCAAGTAGGTCCCGCGGCCCTGAGCCGAACCGTCAACGCCAACACGGCTCCCCTGGTGGGTTCCCACAGCCACGGCTTCTCCGTGTCTCCAAGCTCTAGTTCAAAACAATCAGAAACACACGAGACGCTACAAAAACAAGGCGAGTCCCGTGCCTCCCCAGCTCCCCAATCGGAGGCTCTTACTGTACCTGCGGCGCAATTATCAGAAGCATGGACTTGATGTGCTGCGTACAACACTGTTAGCTCAACTACAGACCTCTTATTCAGTGGGCACCATTTTCATATGCATGTGTGTGCACATGTGTTCGTGTGTGTGCATGTGCCTGTATGTGTGTGGACGTGTGTGCCCGCATGCGTGTCTATATGTGCACATGTGGTGCACGTGTGTGTGTGACAAAAGGTGAAGATTAAGACAAAGTGTGTCTGTATATATGTGCGTGTACATGTGTGCTTGTGTGTCTCTGTGTGCACATGTGAGTGCATGTGTGTACGTGTGTACGTATGTGTGACAGAGGCGAAGATTAAGACAATGTGTCTGTATTTCAGCCTATGGTTAAAGGTGCAGAATCCAGGGGACCCAGACCTCAGACATGAGACATGTTCAAGTGTTAATGTCGTCGTCAAGGTGGACGTCCTCCATAGATCAGTGTCTTAAGTAGACCGCCCTCCAGAAGTAACTTAACTTGTTTATTACTCTTGAATTTTTCTTGACCAAAATATGACTTGGCGCGGAGACTCAGGGCCGGAGGCATAGGCACGGGTTTCTGGTGAGAGCACTAGAGGCATCTGGACAAAGCTTGACAGCGGAGAGCAGCAGCTGACCAATCAGATCGCTTCCCAAGGCGGGCTGGGTGGGTGTGGGACCTCCCTCCCTCCAGGCAGGCTGGTGTCAAGAGCTCATCCATGGCTGGACTGGACCTGGGAGTGTGTCCACGCGGGCAGACCCAGCAGGCTCTGCCCGCGTCTGCCCAGCAGCTCCGTGGCCTTGATTCGCCAGCCCTGGCCTGGGGCTGTGAGGCGCCGTGTCCTCAGGGCACACCTCCCTCCCGTCCCAGTTAAAGCCCCGCTCCTCCTCGGAGGGGAAAGTGGGATAAAAGGAATGCACCCTTCGTCTGAAGGCAGCGTTTCATCTGCCCACGGCCTCTTTGTGGTCACGACATGAGGGCCTGCCTCAGGCTGCTGCCAGGAGCCTGAGGCGCCGTCGCTTCCTTCCCAGCCTGGACTGCACCAACGAATACTTCGACATCCTGGACGGCCCCCCGTCCTCGGCCACATCCCTGGGGAGGACCTGCTCTGGCTTCTACCTCACCTACGCGTCCTCCTCCAGCTCCATGACCCTCAAGTACTTCCGGGGCTCCAACAGCATCGGCAAGGTCTTCATTGCGTATTTTTACTCCACGCCCAAAGGTAAGAGGGTGGCAGGTGCGAGCACGGGAGCCGGCCTGTCTGCCTGGGGAGCAGGCCTGTCCGCCTGGGGAGCCGTCCACCTGGGGAGCCGTCCACCTGGGGAGCGGGCCTGTCTGCCTGGGGAGCGGGCCTGTCTGCCTGGGGAGCCGTCCACCTGGGGAGCGGGCCTGTCCGCCTGGGGAGCGGGCCTGTCCGCCTGGGGAGCGGGCCTGTCCCATCGCTGCGCCGGGACCTCCAGCCACAGACCCCCCCTCTGCCTGCCCCCTTCCCCTCCCCCACCCCCGAGAGTGAGGATGATAGATGATCAGATGACAGCAGCTGTGAGCGGAGGAACAGCTGGCGTCGGCCCGATGCCTCATTTGAGCCGGGCAGCACCCTGAACTCTCTGCCTGTGCTGCCTCCTCCAACCCTCCCGCACACCAGCGCTTCCTCCCCTTTGACAGATGGGGAAACGGAGGCTGGTGGGTCAGTCACTGCTCCGAGGCCCCCAGCGATGGGTCCGGCACTGGTGTCCCTGAGAGGGCTGAGCTCAGGGCCGGTTCTGGCCGCCTCCGCCTCGGGCCGCGCTGCTCAGAGCAGCCTCCTCCTCGGAAGCGCCCGGAGCAGCTCGGTCACAGCAGATCAGGAGGTCGCCGTGACTGACAGGACCCGTTGCTGACCCACGTTTTAATTTTTTGAGGGAGACACTTGTTGGTCCGTTTATTTGTGAGCTCGCTCATGTTGACTGTTTTCGGTGCCCCGGCTGGGTCTGACCGCAGCCTAAGGCGTGTTCGGAGCGGCCCAGCCAGGGCCACGTGGGGCGGTTACTGACAACGGTCTCCTTGTGTTTGCAGAGCCGGCTCCGCAGACCCCACGGCCCACCGGTGAGTCCCGTCTCCAGTTGTGGCTTAATCTCTGCTCTGCTCCTGCTTCCGTGTCCGCCTCTGCCCAGCCCCTGGTGGGGCTGCTGCCATAACCCGATCCCTCTCATGCACGTCTGCCGATCGCCTGCACTTAGCTGCCGCAGCCGGGAGGCCTGTGCACACGCGTTTGCACACGTAGGATGCTCGCTCGCAGTGGAACAAGGCTACGCATAGCGACAACTGGGTCCCTGCCTATGGATCGTCATTGATCTGGTTTCAGGTCAAAAGCAATGAGGCACACCCAACCAGACACCCCGTGTGGGGACCGTGGAAACCACAGACGCAGCAGCGCTGACGGGTGCCTCCCGCGAAGGGTGGCATGGCTTAACCCACGTGTCCAGGGACTGGGCAGGGAACGGGGTCACTTCTGTGGGACCCCACACATCTGAGAGACACCGAGACCCCCACGTAGGGAAGTTCTATCTCAGAGGTTCCTTCTTTTTTAAACAAACATTTATTATTGGTTTAAAGGGGAAGGGAGAGGGAGAGAGAGAGAAACATCAATAATGAGAGAGAATCACCGATTGGCTGCCCGTGCACACCCCACACAGGGGACTGGGCCCACAATCCGGGAGTGTGCCCCGACCGGGAATCGAACCCTGACCTCCTGGCTTTTAGGTTGACGCTCACCACTGAGCCACGCCGGCCGGGCGGAGGCTGCTCTGGTAGAGAAGACGGGGAGAGGGCTCTGCCGGCGTCTCTGCCTCGGAACGCTGCCTCCTTGTCTGTCCGCGTCCTCCTTTTTATTTGAGGCGTTTTCTTGCTTCCACAGCCACCCCAGCAGCAGCACCCAGGACGGCGACAGCAAGGCCAGGTGAGCCGCGTGCAGCCGCCCGCCGCCGGGTCCTTTCCTCGTGCACCGGCCTTTGTGCCTGCTTCCTGGGCAGACCCCGGCCAACCGCACGTGGTTCGTCTGTGTGCATAGGGGCCACGTGTGGCCATAGCTGGGCCACGTTCAAACCCATGGGCCACGTTCGGCTCTGGCACCCAGGGAGCAGAGTTCATTTTTCCAGAGCCTTTTCAGACCCTGAGCAGGACCCACAGCCTTCCAGTGAGGCCCTGTCTTTCCCGTCTGGGGCCACGTGTGGTCATAGCTGACACGTCTCTGTGTCACTAGAAATATTGTAAGGGGAGCAGAGTGTCAGACGTCCTGGAGGCAGTGAGATGGAGCGGCAGAGAAGAAGGAAAAGCAGTGACCTTTGGAATTAGACCCGCATTTAGATCTGTTACTCACCAGGTGTGAGATTGGGGGTGAGCCACTTTGCCTCAGTTTCCTCATAGATAAAGTTGGTAAACTGATGCTCTTCCTGAGTTACTACAAAGATGAACACACACACACACACACACACACATACACACACACACACACACACGTACGCACACACAGAACCACAGGTGACTGTGCACATTGTTCATAACGTTCGTCTGCATTTGCCCAGAGTGGCCCAATAACTAGTCAGTTAGTGGACAGTTTTAAAATATGTTTTTATTGGTTTCAGAGAGGAAGGGAGAGGGAGAGAGAGAGAAACATCCATGATGAGAGAGAATCATGGATCGGCTGCCTCCTGCACGCCACACACTGGGGATCGAGCCTGCAACCTGGGCGTGTGCCCCAACCAGGAATGGAACGTGACCTCCAGGTTCATACGTCAACGCTCAGCTACTGAGCATGCCAGCCGGGCTAGGCTAACTGGCGTTTTGACAATCCCGGTGTCTATCAGACCGGGAGGTTGGCCAGCTGACGGCTCGGTCCCTGATGGTGGTGCGGGGCCGGGAGCCGGCCAGCCGTGGGGAGCGTCCCGGACGGTAGTCGTCACCAGGTCTCTGTCCGCAGGGGACTGGCCGGCGCTGCGGCTGGCGGGCGGCTCCGGCCCCTGCTCGGGGCGCGTGGAGGTCCTCCGTCAGGGGGCCTGGGGCACCGTGTGCGACGACCTGTGGGACCTGAACGAGGCTGAGGTTGTGTGCCGGCAGCTGGGCTGCGGCAGGGCCCTCGCTGCCCTGGGGAAGGCCCCGTTCGGCCCGGGCTCCGGGGACATCCTCCTGGACAACGTCCAGTGCTCGGGGGCCGAGCAGCACCTGGGCCAATGCGCGCACTCGGGCTGGGCGGAGCACAACTGCGGCCATCACGAGGATGCCGGCGTCACCTGCTCCGGTAGCCCCTTCCCCTCAGACGGTCCTTTCCGGTTGTGGGGAAGGCAGTGAAACCACGCACCCCAGATGGAATGTCATCCTTTCACCCATCCTCCCATCCTTCCATCCCTCCATCCTTTTTTCCATCCACCATCCCTCCACCCATCCCTCCTTCCATCCCTCCATCCCTCCATACCTCCATCCCTCCCTCTATCCTTCTATTCTTCCATCCATCCATCCATCCATCCATCCACCCATTCTTTCATCCATGCTTCCATACCTCCCTTCATCCCTCCCTCAATCCCTCCCTTCATCCCTCCATCCATCCATCCATCATTCCATCCTTCCATCCATCCTTCCATCCATCCCTCCCTTATCCATCCACCCATTCTTCCATCCAGGCTTCCATCCCTCCCTCCATCCCTCTCTCCATCCTTCCATCCATCCATCCACCCATTCATCCTTCCATTCTTCCATCCTTCCATCCACCCTCTTCCTCCATCCCTCTCTCCATCGCTCCATTAATCCACCCATTCTTCCACCCACCCACCCATCCATCCATCCATCCCTCCATTCATATGCTCATTCTTTCATCACACAATCCTCGAGCTTGTCCCTGGCCCTGGGCTCAGACACACTCCCTGCCAAGGGCAGCTCCGATTGCACATGGTGGGTGGGGGTCTCAAATGTTCCTGTGCACCTGCCCCACTGGGAACATGGCAATCAGGATGCAGGATCCTGACCCTGGAGAAGATGGCTAACTCAGTTTGAGAAGGGGCTCTGGGGTCTGCATTTTAACACATATCCCAGGTGGTTCGGGATTAGAGGGGAGAGGAAATCCAGCCCTGAGTCCCTGCCCCCAAGACCAAGGACCCTGGCAGAGGAGGACTGGACTGGTTCAGGGGCAGGTCTGGTCTCTGGTCTCAGAAAGACCATGGTCCTTTCCCCTTCCTCCCCCCCACCCATGCCCATACCCCGTGTCCTCCATGCTTTGGACTCACTAACGAGAGAGACCTCTTCTCATTATGCTCCCAGATGCAGAAGACCTGCCTCCTCCCACACCTCCAGGTATGTCCATGTTTTTCTAGTCCAAGCAACTTGGATAATTATCATAATAATAATAATATCAAATACGGATGAATGTTGAGAATCACACACGGTTCTGAGCTCTTTGCATTTGTAACTCGTTTAATCCCCGCAACAACCCTTGAGGTAAGGACTTTGATTACTCCTGTTTTTCAGATAGGTGCATTGAGACAAGAAAGTTGGTAATGTACCCAGGACTAGCCAGTGGATTTGAACTCAAGCTGTTGCCTCTCTTGGGCACCAGCCTCACTGACCACACTGTCCACCGCCCCAGCTCCACAAAGACCGGACAGAACCAGGACAGAGAGGGGGCGACATTTTGCTCAGATTACTGGTTGTCCCCAGGACACTCCTGCAAAAAGGGATTTGCTCTTGTATTTCCCAGAAGGGAAGTTTGAGGCTCAGAAAGGTTGAGTAACTTTCCTGGGGTCACTCAGGAATGTGATGGTGGAACCAGCCTGACCCTTACGTCCACGATCTTGGGGACCTTGTAACTTCCGCCTGTGTTCCATGACCTTATAATTTATTGATCGAATGGTATTCACCTGTAATAAAAAACAAAGTTTAACTGGCCCTGTGGCTTAGCAGTTGCACGTCAGGGCACATGCCCAGGCTGTGGTCTTGATCCCCAGTAGAGGGCATGCAGGAGGCCTCTCTCATGGATGTTTCTCTCTCTCTCTCTCTCTCTCTCTCTCTCTCTCTCTCTCTCTCTCTTCCTTTCTGACATCCATTAAAAAACATTTAAAAAATAAAAGAAAAGCATCCACATGGTATATAGTCAACATTTGAAAAACACACAAAGTGAGAAAAGTCAGGCCTTGCTGCAGGGACGCAGCATCCTGCCAGGTCCAGTGAGAGAGCTCCCCTCCCCTTCCCGGCCGAGTGGCGGGGCTGGAGCGGCCGAGCTCCGTGTCCTGCTCCTCGAAGGCGCCTGCTGTGCCCACCGAGCCTCAGGGGCACACGCAGGCCACCAGCCATCGGCGTTCCGGGCGCTCCCGGGACGGCGGCTTCCTGCCGTGACTGAGGGGGTGAGGCTGCTGATGCGAAAGGGCCCTGGTGAGGGTCAAGGGCTCGGACATTCAGATGCACGTTCGTCTGTGGATCTCTCATTTCATGTAACTCAGCTCAGCGTGGACTTCCGTGGTGCCAGGGATGGAGGAGCCGTCTGGTCACCACGTTATCCCCTTCTCTTCCTTCTAGGTCTTTCCACGGCGTCTCAGGATCGCCTAACAGGTAATCGCTCATTTTAATTGGAATGGAAACTCCATTTGACTCATCAGAATCGGATGGAAAGGACGCTCCTTCCCAGCCGATGGCCTTGTGCGTGCCCACCAGGGGGCACTGCTGCCCACAGCACCCACCCGGGGCAGGGCCAGTCACTGCTGGTCATGCAGGTGTCTCCTGTTGTTGCAGGAGGAAGTCGCTCGTGCGGAGGGGTGCTGACCAGGCTCCCCGGCTCGTTTTCCAGCCCCCGGTACCCCGAAAACTACCCAACCGACACCCAGTGCGTCTGGGAGGTCCACACGGATAAACAATCCCGCATCAAGCTCTGGATCCCGAGTCTGCAGTAAGGACACGGCCTCGGACACGCCTGGGACCCGGTGTAACCACCAGCCTCGCTCATGCCTCCAAGGGAGCAAGAGGGCGGGTCCCGAGGCATCCGAGAAAGGGAGCTGATATGTCACATGTCTGTGGGCCCCATAAACCACAACCCGGACCTGGAATCCCGGGACCATCCTACTGTGCGCGCGTCCCCGTCTGGGCGGTCCCGGCGAGGCGCTGACTCTCCGCTTTGCCCCCCCCCCCCTCCAGCCTGGAAGACATCCCGGGGTGCCCCTTCGACTCGGTGGAGGTCTTCGACGGGCCGCGGACGGCCGCGCGCTCCCGGGGCCGGTTCTGCGCGCCCGGGGCGGTGCTGGTGTTCTCCTCCTCGGACACCGTGACCGTGGTCTTCCGCAGCGACGCCGTGGTCACCGGCTCCGGCTTCCAGGCCCTGCTCGCCACGATCCCGCCCGGCGAGGGGGAGCCAGGTGGGAGCCCCGGTCGTCCTGAAACGTCAGGGCAGCCTGGCCGGCTGGCTCAGCGGTTGATGCTAGTCAAGGGGCTGAGGGCATGAGCCTCCGCTGCGGACTCCATCCCCAGACCCTGCAGGAGGCAACCAATCGATGCTACTCTCTCTCTCTCCCTCTCTCTCTCTCTCTCTCTCCCCCCCTCTCTCTCTCTCTCTCCCTCTCTCTCTCTCTCTCTCTCTCTCTCTCTCTCTCTCTCCCCCCCCCTCTCTCTCCCTCTCTCCCTCTCTCTTTCTCTTCTCCTCGTCCCTTCCACTCTGTCTAGCAATGAATGGGGAAATATCCTCAGGTGAGGGTTAAAAGAAAGAGAGAGAGAAACAGTTTGCTAACCCCTATCCGCAGATGTCTAAGATTCAGGTTTGTTTTTGAAGAATTAAAGGATTTTTTTTAAATATATATATTTATTGCCTTCCGAGCAGAAGGGAGAGGGAGAGAGATAGAAACATCCATGATGAGAGAGAATCATGGATCGGCTGCCTCCTGCACGCCCCCTGCTGGGGATTGAGCCTGCAACCAGGGTCTGTGCCCTGGCCAGGAGTCAAACCGTGACCTCCTGGTTCCTAGATCAACACTCAACCAGAGCGACGCCGGCCGGGCCGGGGGTCAGGGTGAGAAGACCCTCGGCTCAGTCCCAGGCTCTGCCCTGTAGCTGCGGGCTGTCCCCGCGGAGTGCCACGGGGCAGGGGAAGGGAAGGCGGCTGAGGCTCCTCCCTGCCCGCCCGGCGGGAGCTGTCCGGGGTGCTGAAGCTGGGAGCCGCCTTCCTGAGGAGCCTGCTCCTCTCCCGCCCCCCCCCCCCCTCCTCTAGAGCCAGAGGCGTGTTTGTCTCCCCGCCGCGGCCCTACAGGCGGTCACTGCAGGGCCAGGGCCGGTCGGCACCCAGCAAGCACGCTACCCGCCGCCCAGGGCCCTCGGACACCCGGGGGCCTCTGCGGGAAACGTAACTTTTCCAGAAAGCCAAGTAGTGAGGCCCTGGAGGACGGTGGGGTGTGGGGATGCGGATGGGGGCGTGTTTGCTTCTGGGCAAGGAATTTCCCCGTATATTGGACCCTCAGAGGCATGTTTATTGGGGAGGCTACGATCCAACATTTGAAGTCTGCCGTTCCCTGACATAAGGTCACCAGTCACTCGCCACCCGTGCTCACGGAGGCCCTGCCAGGCCCCGCCTGCTGCACGTGCTGGAGACACAGCCCCCCGCATTTATGAGCCATGAACTGGGAGCTGGAAACCCTTTCTTTTTAAAAATAGATTTTTATAGATTTCAGAGAGGAAGGGAGAGGGAGAGAGAAACATCAATGATGAGAGAGAATCTCTGAGGGTGCTGAACGGCTGGGAGGCTGCTGGGTGCTGGTAGGGTGCTGGGTGCTGGGTGCTGGTAGGGTGCTGAGCTCTCCTGATTGCCTCCTGCTTTGCTTTTTGCAGCTGTGTTTCCTCGAGGGTCTACCCCACCAGGTAACTAAGTCCTTTTCAGCGCACATACCGCCTGCCAAGGACGGGGTCCCTTTGGTCAGCCATCCCCAGAGGGCTCCCGTGTCCGGCTGCCCCGAGGGAGGAACTGGGGGCTCTGTCGGTACCAGCTCCATCCGTTCCCATTCGCTGTGGAGCCCGGAGGAGTCTGGCTCCCACGCCCGGGAAGGGCACAGCCCGGGCCTGGGAGAGCCACGGGCTCCGTCTGCTTCGCAGGAGGGAGCAGCTCCTGCGGGGGGGTCCTGTCCGGCCCCGGGGGCTTCTTCTCCAGCCCCTGGCACCCCGCCAGCTACCCCGCGGACGCAGACGTGCGGTGTGTCTGGCAGATCCGCGCGGCCGAGGGGCTCCTCGTGGTGCTGACTGTCCGGCGGCTGCGGTGAGAGCCCTGCTCCCTCCGCTCCCGGTGGGAGAGGGGCCCTGTCTCCCTCAGCACGGGGAGCCCGGGCCCCGGGAGGCAGAGAGGGAGGGAGGCTGGGAGCCGGGGAGTGGGGGGCTGGGGGCTGAAGAAGAGGAGCAGGACGCGATGAGAGGCTGGCTGTCCCGGGGTCCCCCTGGGAGGGCAGGAGCGCAGGTCCAGCGATATTTGGGGGTGATGTCCCAGGGGGGGCCTGGAAGGCGGTGGCCGGAGGACGGCAGTCTCTGGCCAATCCCGGCTGCACGCGAGGCGCTCCTGCGGGTCCCGGGCTCACTGCGCGCTGCCCCCCAGACTGGAGGACGCCTTCGGGTGCCCGGACGCCATCGAGGTGTTTGATGGCCGGCAGAAGGCCTCGCTGGCCACGGGCAGGTTCTGCGCCGGGGCCGCCGTCACCGTCCTCTCCTCCTCCAACGCCCTGACCCTCGTGTTCCGGAGCGACGCGCCCCTCCACAGCCCCGGCTTCCTCGCCCTGTACCGCGCCGTGCGGCCGGACCAGAGCGACACGGAGAGCGAGGAGCACGAGGAGGGCCAGGAGAGCAAGGGGCACGAGGACGAGGACAGCGAGGAGAGCGAGGAGAGCGAGGAGAACGAGGAGAACGAGGACGAGGAGAGCGAGGAGAGCGAGGAGAGCGGGAGCGGTGGGTGTCCTGGCGGGACCTCAGGGCACAGTCCGGGTGCCTCCTCTCCCGCTGAGGGGAGCCCGGACCTCCTGGTTCATTCTTGAGCGTGTGTCGCCGGCTGTGGGCACACCTCTGGGTGAAGGAGGGAAGGCCCCGGAGCAGGGACGTGGGGAGGGACGCCACTGAAACGCAGACGCTGCTGTGACGCTTGGGGCCACCCAGGCTGACGGCACCTCTGGGTGACTGCTTCTCCCCCCTCTTCTGTCGCAGCGCCCCCTCCGGAGCCCCCAGAGATGCCGCCGGCGACAGGTGAGCCCTCCTCACCACGGCCTCCCTGGGAGGGTCTCGGCGTTCCTGAGACAAAGTGTGACGTGTGTTCTACCACCATTAGCGTTTTTTAACAAGTAACCAGGAAACTATGGGATCTTCCGAATGTTATTGAGAAAGTGGTCCCGACATGGCTCAGGGGTGGAGCGTTGACCTATGAACCAGGGGTCAGGGTTCGATTCCCGGTCAGGGCACAGGCCCGGGTTTCGGGCTCCTCCCCAGTGGGGGGCGTGCAGGAGGCAGCCGAACAGTGGTTCTTTCTCATCACCGGTGTTTCTGTCTCTCTCTCCCTCTCCCGTCCTCTCTGACGTCAGTAAAAAATTTAAGGCAAACTCAGGCACGCGGTGTCGACGGCATCGGAGAAGCCTGTGTGTTCGGAGCGTGCTGACGTGTGTTTCCTTTCTCCGTGCAGGTCCTCCGGCTCCTGAAGCACCGCCGCCTGGTTTCCACCCGCTAGGTACGTGTGCGCTGTCACCTGCGGGGGCGGGCTTCTCAGGCCGGGTCCCGGCAGGACCGCCACGGCCCGGGGCTGTGTGCTGTAGGCGTGTGCCCGGCAGGGGCAATCCGGTGACGCATGATCTCTCCTCGCCCGGTCCCCCTCGCCAGGGAGACAAGTCCGCCGCCCTCCTAGCACCGCAGGGCAGCCCCGGGCCCTTCTCCACGGGGACCCCGGGATCTGAGAAGCCCCTGCTCTGGGTTCAGGGCCGGGTCACCGGGCCCTTCCTCACCTTCGGCAGGAGCAGCGCGCCCTCTCCCCCTGCTTGCCGCCCCCATCTCCCTCCCCAAACGCCTGGTAACGGCTGAGTGCCAGGGAAGGAGATTGGGTTTTGTTTGTTTGTTTTTTAATATGTGTTTTATTGATTTTTTTACAGAGAGGAAGAGAGAGGGATAGAGAGTTAGAAACATCGATGAGAGAGAAACATTGGTCAGCTGCCTCCTGCACACCCCCGACTGGGGATGTGCCCGCCACCAGGGTACATGCCCTGGACCGGAATCGAACCCGGGACCCTTGAGTCCGCAGGCCGACGCTCTATCCACTGAGCCACACCGGTTTCGGCGTGAGATTGGTTTTGTTCTAAGAGTTTCATCGTATTCTTAGAGCGCCCTGGCTCAGACTCGCAAAGCCCTAGACCCAGGCATCTGGCCGCATTGCGGTGAATCTGTAGAGAAACGGCCTGAGGAAGGACAGCCACGCGGACGAGGCAGTGGTTCTGGGGGCCCGGGCCTCCTGGGAGCCCGCGGGCGGCTGGCCCCGGACGGAACGGCCAGGGGGAGGAGGCTGTGGTCGGTGCCAAAGCTCAGACAGGAGAGCGGGCATCCTCGGCGGGTCCCTCCCGGGCCGAGGGCCGCCCGGCGGACGGGAGAGCAGGGGAGGAGCCGCTAACGGAGCGCTGTCCGCAGATCTGCCCAAGGTGCGGCTGGCGGCCGGGCGGGGCCGGTGCGAGGGCCGGGTGGAGGTCCGGCTCCGCGGCGCCTGGGGCACCGTGTGCGACGACGGGTGGGGCCTGCCCGCCGCCCAGGTGGTGTGCCGGCAGCTGGGCTGCGGGGCGGCGCTGGCGGCCCCCGGGGGCGCGCGGTTCGGGCCCGGCTCCGGCCCCATCTTCCTGGACGACGTGCTGTGCACGGGCAGCGAGGCCAGCCTGGGGCGGTGCCGCCACCTCGGCCTGTCGGTGCACAACTGCGGGCACCAGGAGGACGCCGGGGCCGTCTGCGCAGGTACGGGGACCTCCGGACCGCGTCCCCCCACTGTGTCCCCCCACCGCGACCCTCCGGCAGCAGGGCGCAGGGCGCAGGGCCAGGCGGGAAAGCCGGGCCCCTCGCTAGAATCTTCCCAGATCTCAGAGGAGAAGGTGGAGTGAGATACAAAGTCAATGATGAGAGGGAATCCTGGACCGGCTGCCTCCTGCACGCCCCCTACTGGGGGATCGAGCCCGCAGCCCAGCACCAGCCCCGACCAGGAGTGGAGCTGTGACCTCCTGCTCCGAGGTCCACAGGACCCTGGTCAGAGTGCCCACACACGGGGGGGGGGAGAGTTGCAGCCATGGTGTTGCCCTGGGCCTTCAAGGCAGCGGCCAAGGGCGGGCAGGAGGGAGGGAGACCCGGGTGGCGGGTGGCCAGCGGCAGCGGAGGGGCGGAGGGTCTGTGTGGACCCCGTCGGGGAAGCAGGAAGCCGCCCTCCGTCCCCTGCCTCTGACGGTCCCCTGGGCCCGGGCGGCCTCTCCCTGCATCGTGTCCTTTCTGTCCTCTTCCAGCGGCCACGTCCACGGCCCCGACCTCCCCACCAGCTCACCTCCCGTCCACCCTCCGGGGCCTCCCCTCGGCGCCCCCGCCGTCAGCCTGGGCTGCTCCCGGGCGCGTCCCCAGCACGGACTCCGCACCGACAGACCCCGCGACCCCCGCCCCGGAGTGTGAGTCCCCCCCGTTTCTGCAGATGCCTCTGCCCCCCCACCCAGTAAAGGCTCGCCACCACGTTCACATCCACGGGACCAGCTTCCTGCTCCTCACGTTCTAGTTAGAAGATGGTGGGCTGAGGGGCCGTTTTAAATATATATACCCTGATGTCGGGGAGGAGGGGAGAGGGGGAGGGAGGAAAACATCCACGGTGAGAGAGCACCACACACTGACTGCCTCCTGCACGCCCCCCACCGGGGATGAGCCCACAGCCCAGGCCTGTGCCCTGACCAGGAATGGAACCCTGACCTTCTGGTTCCCAGGCTGACACCGGCATTAGTGACCGGCCGGCATTAGTGACTATTGTGGCCACAGAGTCACTGTCAGTGAGAAGGACGGGAGTGTCCTCCCTCACGTGCAGTCTCCCCTCCTCCCTTTGTCCACACAGATTCCCCGTCGCCCCCGGCGGACGCGGACGGCCCCGTGGGTAAGGTGCCCGGCTGTCGCTGCTCTTAGTTAAACATGACCCACCCCCCTCCCTCTGTTTGGCAAATGGGCCTGTGTAGCAAGCAGTTTTAGAGGGGACATTTATTGGGCAAACCACGGAGGTGGGCGTGATTCCGAGGAGAAATGGGCTGAGGAACAAGTTACAGAGGCAAAGGGGGCCCTTGGAGCTCGGGGGACGAGGGAGCTGTGGGTCAGGTGCAGGGGGGGCGGGTAAGAAATGGGGGGGCGTGGCCCTGCTCCGGGGGGAAGGCCCGGGTCCTGATCCTGAGGGCTCTAAGAGGAGGGGAGGGGGGGAGGGTGGTAGGGAGGCCCGGGGAAGATCTCCATGGAACGCTCCGCAGCTTTCCAGGGGTGGCCTCTCAGGGCCCGGGGCCGCTGTTGATTGGCGGCCGGGGCAGGGGCATTACTTCCTGCAGCTGGTCCTGCCCTCCCTCCGCTGGGGCTGCTCTCGTGGCTCCTCTGGGCCGGGGGGTGAACTACGCGAGGTTCCGCTTCCTCTGAGCCCAGCGGCCTTGGGGACGACCGGAGGGACTGGGTTATCTGGCATCAGGGCAGGAACTCGGGCGGCTGGCTCCCAGCCGGGGTCCTGGCAGGGGCCGTTCCTGTGCCGGGGCCTCCCCGTGGCAGAGCCGACTGGCAGCCACAGCGGAGCGTCCGCCAGCGAGGCCCACACTCCACTGAGTATTTGCCCACGGTGCAGCCCACTGTGAGCGCAGGCCACGACCACACCTTTCCCATGACCACGTACCCTTCCACGGGCACGCCCTTCCCACGGCCATGTCCTTCCACGGCCATGTCCTTCCACGGCCATGTCCTTCCACGGCCACGGCCCTCCCACGGCCACGGCCCTCCCATGGCCACGCCCTTCCCGTGGGCATGCCCTTCCCACGGCCACAGCCTTCCCACGGCCACGGCCCTCCCACGGCCACGGCCTTCCCACGGCCATGCAGCCTCCTGCTCTCTCTGCTCATCCAGACACAGGCAGGGTCTTTGCTGGCTGGATCCTGGTGACACAGCCTTCAGCAGCTGGGCCAGGGCGGCGGGCGGCGGGAAGGCTGGGCCCACACCCACCTGGGCGGGCGGTGCGTGACCTGCCTGCTGCCCATCACCCCGAGCACCAGACTCTGGTGCCTGGAGAACCGGGGGAGGGGGGATCGCTTCTGCCCGTCGTTCCCGGTCCTGCCGGCTGCGGCGTGTGAGTCCGGCTCTTTGTTTGCAGAGACAACCCCCACCTCCGGCGGAGAGCCCCCGCCCCCAGGTACGGCCCTGCTCCCCGGCCTCCAGGGGCTGCCCTCCCCCCTCCCCGCTTCTGGGAACCCCGGCCAGCGAGCCCCAAGCAGAGGCGGGCGGGCCCGGGAGGCTGAGCGGTGACAACGGGCCCCTGCCCGGGGTGGCCGGTGGGTGGCCGGTGGGTGGCTGGGTGGGTGGCCGGTGGGTGGCCGGTGGGTGGCCGGGTGGGTGGCCGGTGGGTGGTCGGGTGGGTGGCCCATGGGTGGCCAGTGGGTGGCCGGGTGGGTGGCCGGTGGGTGGCCGGGTGGGTGGCCCATGGGTGGCCAGTGGGTGGCCGGGTGGGTGGCCGGTGGGTGGCCGGGTGGGTGGCCGGGTGGGTGGCCGGTGGGTGGTCGGGGGGGTGGCCCATGGGTGGCCAGTGGGTGGCCGGGTGGGTGGCCGGTGGGTGGCCGGGTGGGTGGCCCATGGGTGGCCAGTGGGTGGCTGGGTGGGTGGCCGGTGGGTGGCCGGGTGGGTGGCCCATGGGTGGCCGGTGGGTGGCCGGGTGGGTGGCCCATGGGTGGCCGGGTGGGTGGCCGGTGGGTGGCCGGGCACCGGGTGAAGTGAGGCGGACTCGGGCCTCCGGTGCACCGGGGTCGGCACTGCTCACCGGCCCCTCACCCGCCTGCAGACCCGGCCCTGCGGCTGGCGGGCGGGCGCAGCCGCTGTGCGGGCCGCGTGGAGGTGTGGCACGGGGGCGCGTGGGGCACCGTGTGCGACGACGGCTGGAGCCTCCGCAACGCCCGCGTGGTGTGCCGCCTGCTGGGCTGCGGGCCCGCGCTCAGCGCCCCCGGCCGCGCCCGCTTCGGCCCCGGCGCCGGGCCCATCCTGCTGGACGAGGTGCGCTGCGCGGGCACCGAGGGCGCGCTGGGCAGCTGCCGGCACCGCGGCTGGGCCCGGCACGACTGCCGGCACCGCGAGGACGCGGGCGTGGTCTGCGCAGGTACGGCGGGGCCTCCCTGCCCTCCCTCCCGCCCCTCCTCTCCCCCACCTCCCCCCACCCTCCCTCTCCGCTCCTGGGCCTGCCCCAGGGGCTGCCTGCTCAGCAGGACGGGCTGGGGCCCAGGGTGTCCAGGAGGCTGGGGAGTCTGGCCCCACGTCCCGCCCCGGCCTGCGTCTCCACGTGGCCACCGGAGGGGAGGACCCCAGCGCTCAGACGGGACAGCTTCTCAGCGGCAGAGCCCCTGTGTGCCAAGCTCTTGTCCAGCAAAGCCCCGTGTTGCCGGCTCGTGTCCTGACAGCGGGCACCTCCCCTCGCCCCCCTCCCGGGCATCGCCCGGAGGCCCAGGCCTTGGACCTGCCCTGGGCTCGCCGGCTCCTCTCCGGCTTCTGCGCAGCTGACCCGCCTCTCCTCTTCCCCCTCCAGACGAAGCCCGCCCCGCCGCGCCCCGGGACCAGGGTAACGTCCGCTCTCCCGGGCCCGGGGCTGCGGGGGGAAGGGGCGCCCCTCTGGGTCTCCCTCCTCGCGTGCCCCTGGCGTCGGGGGCCGGGAGGAAGCCCTTGGCACCGGCCCACCTCGGGGCCGCTCTCTCCAGCCCCCAGGGGCTCCCTCAGGCTCCCGTGTGCCCCGTCCCCAGCTCCTTACGGGCGCTGACCCGCCCACGGGGCCTGCTGTGGGCTGGGTCCCCCCCTTGTGGCTTAGGAAAGGGGGAGACAGATAAAGTCCGTGACAGTCAAGTCCAAAGTGGGGGGACGAGAGCTGAGCCAGCCAGGGCCCCGCGGGTACTGTGCCCACAGCCCTGGCTCGCCGCCCGGGGACCAGGCTTCCTGTGTGAGCTCCCCCTGACACCCCCCCCCCCCCCCCGCAGCCCAGCTGTCCTGCTTGCCGCACCTCTTCCGGGTGACCGTGGACCGCGGCTACCTCCGGCGGCTGGGCTACTCCTCCTGGGACGTCCACCTGAACGACGAGCTGTGCCGCCCCCGGGTGGCGGGGCGCTTCCTCGTCTTCAGCATCCCCTACGGCCACTGCGGCACCGTCCGGCAGGTGAGACCGGCCGGCAGGCGAGACCGGCCCGGCCCGGCCCGCGGTGCCCTCTGCTGGAGCCGCGGAGCGGGGCTGGGAGAGCCAGCACCTGTTACACTCCCGGTGGGGACAGAGGGAAGGGGGGCCGTGGCTTCATTCCCGAATTCGGTGAACGGCTCCCTCACTTGTCTGAGACTTCCCTTCCCGTGGGGACTGGGGGTCCAGACTGAACTTGGAACAGACAGGAACAGGTGCTGAGCACTGGGGGGTGGGTGGGTGTGAAAGTGGATGGATGGGGGGGTGGATGAGGAGTGCGTGGGTGTGAGAGTGGATGGATGGATGGGGGTGAGAGTGGATGGATGGATGGATGGATGGGTGTGAGAGTGGATGGATGGATGGGTGTGAGAGTGGATGGATGGATGGGGGTGAGAGTGGATGGATGGATGGATGGATGGGTGTGAGAGTGGATGGATGGATGGGGGTGAGAGTGGATGGATGGATGGATGGGTGGGTGTGAGAGTGGATGGATGGATGAGTGTGAGAGTGGATGGATGGATGGGGGTGAGAGTGGATGGATGGATGGATGGATGGGTGTGAGAGTGGATGGATGGATGGGTGTGAGAGTGGATGGATGGGGGTGTGTGTGGATGGATGGATGGGTGTGAGAGTGGATGGATGGATGGGGGTGTGTGTGGGGGTGGGTGGGGGTTGGGGGGTGGATGGGGGTAAATGGTGGGGTGGATGGGTGAATGAGTGGGTGGGGGATAGGTGAGTGGATGGAGGGTAATTAGTGGGGTGGATGGGTGAATGAGTGGGTGGATAGATGGGGTGGGTGGGTGGATGGGTGGATAGATGAATGGGGGAGGTGGATGGATGGGGTGGATTGATGGATCGATGGGGGGGTGGATGGGGGTGTGTGTGGGGGTGGAGGTTGGTGGGTGGATGAGGGGTAAATGGTGGGGTGGATGGGTGAACGAGTGGGTGGGGGATAGGTGAGTGGATGGGGAGTGGGTGGATGGGAGAGTGGATGGATGGATGGATGGGGGAGGTGGATGGATGGGGTGGATTGAGGATGGGGGGTGGACAGGGAGGGGGGGCGATGGGAGAGTGGATGGATGAATGGATGGATGGGGGAGGTGGATGGATGGGGTGGATTGAGGATGGGGGTGGACAGGGAAGGGGGGGATTAGAGAGTGGATGGATGAATGGATGGATGGATGGGAGCTATTCCTTTAGCTCCAAAGCCAAAGTAATTTTTACAACATGTTTCTTCATTCAGTACTGGAGGCCGGTGCATGAATTCATGCACAGGTGGTCCCTCACCCAGTCCCAATCGGGGTGATCAGGGCTGACTGGGGCCGGCTGGCCCGGGGGAGGGAATGTGGGGGTTGCCCGGCTGCCAGAGGTTGGCTGTGGGAGCACACTAACCACCAGGGGAAGATCCTGCATTGAGCATCTGCCCCCTGGTGGTCAGTATACGTCATAGCTACCAGCCAGGCATCTGGTCATTTCCATCATTCAGTCTTTATATGTATAGAGATTAGCGCACACCTGCCACATGCAAGCCGTGCTGCTGAGCTGGGGAGGCCTGGGCCTGTCTGTCTGTCTGTCTGTCTGCTGTGTTCCTAACCCAGCAGCCGGTTCTGTTTTCCATTCTAGACAGTAACTACCTCGGACATGTGTGTACAATGAAATGCATGTGTTTATCTCATTGTCCTTAACCACCTGCTTCTGTCACAAAACACTCACTGACATGAAGGCAACAAGAGCACAGACACAGCGTGTGTCATCCCAGCCACGTTTCCACACACGTCACGTGACGTGTCCCACGCGAGATGCCCAGGCTGGGCCTCCTCCTCCTCACCTGCCCCTTCCCCCCCCACCCCCCCAGGAAAGCCTCGGCTCCCTCAGCTTCTCCAACGCCATCCGCGGCCACGTCGCCCTGCGGCACCGGGTGCCCCAGCTGACACTCACCTGCTCCGTGGACGCCCCGTCGGCAGGCGAGCCTGTCCCCGGCGCCGCCTACGAAGTGTCCGTGGCCTTCCTGCAGCTGCCCGTGGCCCCGCCTGCGGGGAGCGCGGGGCCGGAGGACGGGGGCCCCAGGGAGGAGGTGATCCTGCAGGCCACGCTCCGCACCCCGGACCCCGGCCTGAGGCTCTCCGTGGACACCTGCGTGGCTTCCCCGGACCCCCGTGACTTTGCCACCGTCACACACGACCTGATCCGGCAAGGGTAAGGAGCGGGCTCCGGGCGGACGGCGGCTTCCCGCGGCCCCTGGGGAGGGGCCTTCGGGTCAGAAACACCCCCTGGGCAATGGCTGGCCCCAGGAGCACGCTGTGTTTTGAAATGATAGACTCTTTTTAATTTTTTTTATTACTTTTTAAAAATATATTTTATTGATTTTTTACAGAGAGGAAGGGAGAGAGATAGTTAGAAACATCGATGAGAGAGAAACCTCCATCAGCTGCCTCCTGGACACCTCCTACCGGAGATGTGCCCGCAACCAAGGTACATGCCCTTAACTGGAATCGAACCCGGGACCTTTTAGTCCACAGGCTGACGCTCTATCCACTGAGCCAAACCGGTTTCAGCGACCCTTTTAAAAAAAAATATTTGTATTGATTTCCAAGAGGAAGGGAGAGAGGGAGAGAGAAACATCAATGAGAGAGAATCATTGGTCAGCTGCCTCCTGTATACCCCCCCTGCTGGGGATGGAGCCCCCAACCCGGGCCTGTGCCCTGGCCGGGAATTGAACCGGGACCTCCTGGTTCCTAGGTTGATGCTCCACCCCTGAGCCACGCTGGCCAGGCGGTAAACATTTTCTCACAGAACGAAGACGGGTGGTGGGAAGGCTCCGTCTGGATGCGGAGGTCGGGGCCCAGCCTGGTTGCGGGAGCCGGGGTGGCTCACCGGTGCCATCCGTCCGCTAACCCTCCGGGGCGGGCCCTCCCCCCCAGGTGCGTCTCAGACGACACCTACGTCAGCCTCCCCTCGCGCCAGAGGAACACGGCCCAGTTCAAGTTCAACGCCTTCAGCGTCCTCCCCGGCCACGAGGTGGTCTACCTGCGGTGCGAGGTCGCCGTGTGCAGGGCGGGCGACCCCTCCTCCCGCTGCTCGCGGGGCTGTGCCGGGCGGGGCCGGGGCCCGAGGGCTGTGGGCCCCGTGGCGGCCGCGGGGGAGCCGGCTGGGCCTCTCCGGGTGCTGGGGCCACTGGAGATCCGCAGAGGAACATACCAGGTCAAGATCGAGGTGTGATTTCTCCAGTTCCCCCACAATCCTGTGCTCCTCCTCAGTAAAGCGATGCGTTTGGCACATCAGGTGGTTGCGTTTTCAAACTCTTCGCTCTCGAGCGCCTGATCATTGTCTGCAGCTGCTCGGCTTTGGGGCGATGGGTGTGAGCACAGCAGCTGTGGCCGCCTGTTCTCGGCCATCCTCTCTGTGAGCGTGCTCTCCTCGGCCTCGCCCGGAGACCGTGGCCATGGCACCCCGCGAAAACACTTCCCAGGCGCCTGTAGGCCTGGCCCGCAGTGGGCACACAGCTCTGCCTGGCCCCGACTGGGAATGGGGCCGGTGCCCTGTGACGTGTTCAGATATTGGGGAGGGGGGGGGGGAGTAACAGCATTGACCCTAACACCTTCACTGCCCTTCTCTAAACACCAGAGCCTGTGAGGGTCCAAAGAATCAAGTTAGTGGGCGGGAATGGCACCTGAGCCAACTTGGGGTCCAGCTGGGTCCCTTGGTTGCTGCCAGGGTGCTGACCACGAGGGAGAGGAGGGGTGACAAAGGACGGGGGCAGGGGGAGGAGAAAGAGGTTCAGCGTCCACTAATTTCTAGCTGGCCATGTCCATAGAACCTGAAGCAGGTGAATTCAAGTCCCCGGCACTGTGTTTGGCAGGTGAGAGAACGGAATCCTGGTCTCCAAGGTGAGACTGGTGCTGTAGTGGGAGGTGTAGCACCTGTGACATCAGGAAGTCGTGCTTAAGAGGAGCGTGCGGCTGCCCTCTTGCATCCATCCATCCATCCATTCATTCATCATCCATCCATCCATCCATCCATTCATCCATCCATTCACCCATTCATTCATCCATCCATCCATCCATCCATCCATCCATTCACCCATTCATTCATCCATCCATCCATCCATCCATCCATCCATCCATCCATTCACCCATTCATTCATCCATCCATTCATCCATCCGTCCATCCATCCATCCATTCATTCATCCATCCATCCATCCATCCATTCATCCATTTATCCATCCAACCATCCATCCTCCATCATCCATCCATTAATCATTCATCCATCCATCCATCCATTCATTCATCCGTTCATCCATCCATCCATTTGTTTGTCCATGTATCCATCCACCCATTAATCATCCATCCATCCATCCATCCATCCATCCGATCATCAATCCATTCTACTCTCACTCTCCTTACTGAGTAGTTGCCAAGTTGCAAAGTGGGTAATACACAGTTTTAAGAACATCTGCAGCTAATATCAAAAGCATCGCTGGGGCCGGAGAGGGTTGGTTCAATACTGCATTTACTCAAAAGCCCATAAATACGTTACACGGTACATAATATACACAATACAAACCCGACTGGAACAACAAAACATTCTACTAAGAAAGAAAGATCGCCCCGGAGGGCCCGTGCCCCGAGTCAGAGGCCCTCGTTCACATCACAGAGGCATGGCGGCAGGGAGTCGAAGTCGGTGAACAAGGGGCACTCCTCGCAGAACTGGAGGTTGGGGTAGCAGCTGGCGGTGACGGACGAGGCCGTGATCTTGTCCTGATTGACCATGGACGGGTGGTTTTTTAAGGCCAAACAAAAAGGCGGTTTCGAAGTCCTTAAGGAGAGACGGACACACGGGCGGTTAGAAACCTCCGGCCGGCCGTGGCCGTGTCGGAACCGCAGGTCCGAGGCCCCGCTGCGAGGACAGCGCTGCCCTGGCCCCGGCTCCGGGTCGCGTGCTCCGAGCCGCCAGCAGCCAGGTCAGACCGGCCCAGAGGGGCCCCGGGAGCTGAGGCCCCAACTGCGGAGCCCGGGTGGGGCCGGCGCCCCTCAGCGGCCCCGGGCTCTGGAGCTGACCTAGTGCACGGCCTTCCTACAACGGAGCGCCCTCATTTGAAGGGTCCTCTCCCCCAACGGAGTGACCTGAGCTCCCCTCCCTTTCCTGTCCCCTGGCTGTTCGACAGCGCCGCCCCCCACTCCTCCAGGCACCTCCCTGTCCCAAGGCCACGGGCACTGCAGGACGGAACCCCAGGAGCTCTGAGCTCAGGCAGGGGAGACAACCGAGCCCGGCCTCTGGGGAAACTGAGGCAGAGGCCCGCGCCTGCTCCGGGACACAGGCAGGGCCGGCCAGGGTGAGTCCCTGCGGAGGGCAGCTCCCCGAGGCCCCGGGCAGCGGGCAGCGCTGACCCTAGCCGCCCGCCAGGCAGCTCCCTGTGAGCTCCCGGCCCAGCCCCGCGGGAAAGCGGCCAGGACTCCGTGCTCCCCTGCCTCAGCCTCCTCCCAGCTGCCCCGCGCCTGACCCCCAGGTGCCCGTGAGGGGGGGCACTCTTCCACGTCACTTACTTCAATGCCTTGGCCACTTTGAAGTAAAGACAGCTGGTGACACATATCAGCGCCAGCAGGGCCACCAGGATCCCGGCGCCGATGCTGATCATGACGATGGAGTTGATCTGAGAAAGCTTACCTGGAGGAGACGGGCAGGTGGGCAGTGAACAGGCTCCCCCCCTCCCCCTCCCCCCTCCCCCCACAGTCCGGCAGCCCCTCTGGGCGTCCTCCTGGGAAGGAAGAGTGAACCCCAAACCACAGAGCCTTCTGCGGGGAAACATGGCCGAGGGGCCAGGGAGGCCTGGGGGACACACGTGCAGCACCCAGAGGAAAGGAGGGAGGGAGGGGGGAGGGGGGGAGGGGGGAGGGAGAGGGGGGAGAGGGAGGGAGGGAGGGTGGAGGGAGGGAGGGAGGGGGGAGGTAGAGAGGGAAGGAAAGATGGAGGGAGGGAGGGTGTTGAGAGGGAGGGAGTGGGGGAGAAGGGGGGAAAGAAGGAAGAATGGAAGGGAGGGAGGGAGGGATGGAGAGAGGGAGGAGGGAGGGAGGGAGGGGGAAGGAAGGAGGAAGGAAGGGAGGGAGGGAGGGATGGAGAGAGGGAGGGGGGAAGGAAGGAAGGAAGGAAGGAAGGAAGGAAGGAAGGAAGGAAGGAAGGAAGGAAGGAAGGGAGGGAGGGAGGAAGGGAGGATTCGCCCTCCTTCTCACAGGAGGAACCGGAGCTAAGGGAGGAACAAAGGTGAGCAGGTGCTTTACTCCCAACACCTGGGCCTAAGACGCGCTCAGAGTCAGAGAGACAGCCGCTCACTGTACGTGAGACGTAAGCATCTCCTGTGGAAGGACGAGGAGAATCGCTTTTCAAACTGTTACATCCGACAAGATGGAGAACACACCATCCTTCTGTGATCGTGTTTTAGGAGAGAGGTTTCCCTTCTCCCCCGACACCTGCCTGTCCCCCCCCACCCCCCCCAGGCAGCCAGCTTGTCTGGCCTGAGCCTCGGGCTCCCCAGACCCGGCACCGGAGGGCGGAGAGAACAGCACCCGCCGGAGCCACGTACTGTCTGTGCCGTCTGAGTCGCCCCTGCAGGGTGGGTGCCAACAGAGAAGGAAGCACACGGCTAACACGGACTTCAGGGCCCAGCACATCTCGTGGGGAATGCCTCAAGCCCCTCCGCTGAGAAAGGAGCCTCTGACTGTCCTCGGGGGCGGCTCAGGGGTCCGTCTGGAGCGCTCGCGGCCCCACCGGAGCAGCAGAATGGACAGCCGCTGTCCCGCTCGCCCTCCATGCTCACTGGGCCGAGGCTGTGTGACATCACACTGGAGGCAGCCTCGCCCCCAGTTCCAAATTCCGCTGTGAGCACCCTGGGAACCTGATCGCCAATCACCACCGTGGGTCACTCCACCTCCCCTTCCAGGCACTGGGCCCCTCGGAGAGCCTTTTAAGGTTTGACTGTTGGTCAAAAGCAAATTTGTGTTCCGAATGAAATACAAGAACAGCCCTGACCGGGGTGGCTCAGTGGATAGAGCGTCCGCCTGAGGACTCAAGGGTCCCAGGTTTGATTCCGGTCAAGGGCATGTACCTTGGTTGCGGGCACATCCCCATGGGGGGTGTGCAGGAGGCAGCTGATCGATGATTCTCTCTCATCGATGTTTCTGTCTACTCCTCTCCGTAAAAAAAAAAAAAAAAAAAAAAAAAAAAAAAAAAAAAAAAAAAAAAAAAAAAAAAAAAAATTAATAAAATGTATTTTTTTAAAAAGAAATGCCAGGTGAACCGTGAGGAGACTAGTACCTAAAAGCTCAGTGAGGAAGGCGGGCCGGGCGTGGTTTGGGCCACGAAAGGAAGCAGTACATCATCGGAGCCGTTTACCAGGATCGCACACAGCTCACTGCTTCCGAGGACCACTTTGTGGCTAAGACACAAAGGTTTGAAAAAGCAGCTGGAGAGGACACCGGCTCTAACACAGGCTTCTCTGATTTCCTGGTCCCTGCACTCAGTTGGTTAAATTAGAGGAGGGAATTGCTTTAATTCCAGAGGCCATTCCTTGCTGGTCTGGCCAAACCCTGAATGAGGCCATGAAAAGCAGAGGAGATAGCAACAAAAATAGTGGCGTAAGCCGAAACCAGTTTGGCTCAGTGGATAGAGCGTTGGCCTGTGGACTGAAAAGTCCCAGGTTCGATTCCGGTCAAGGGCATGTACCTTGGTTGCGGGCACATCCCCAGTAGGGGGTGTGCAGGAGGCAGCTCATCGATGTTTCTAACATTCTATCCCTCTCTCTTTCTGTAAAAAACCAATAAAATATATTTAAGAAAAAAAATAGTGGTGTAAGCCCGGCCAGTGTGCTCAGTGGTTAAGCATCAACCTATGAACCAGGAGGTCAGGGTTCGATGCCCGGTCAGGGCATAGGCCCGAGTTGTGGGCTGACAAGCAAGAATGCCAATGTGGCTCCGTAGGCAAATCCTTGGTGCCTGCTACGCAGTAGGCGTGCGATTCTGGGGCCGAGCCTGGGGGTCGGGGGGACTGTCCTCCGGGAACGAGGCCCAGGCAGCGCTTCCTCCCTGGCGTCTTTAACAACGAACCCGTCTGCCCTGCTGGCTCCTCACACAAACCCACGAGGCCCGCTGAGTGTCCCCGGAGGCCGGGGCGCTGGAGCAGGGAGGGAGAGGAGTTCAGGTCTGTCCACCCTGTGTCTCCCCCTAAACCACCTCGGCAATGTGTGCTCGGGGGACCCGTCAGTGTGAGCAGAAACCCGCTGGGCTGCGGTGTCTGAGGCAGGGCAGGGGCGGTCCTTAAGGCTGTGGGTGACAGCGCAGGGAGGGAAGGGAGGAGGTACCGGAGGGGGGAGGGGGCGGGGGCGGGGGGAATGCTCAGGTTTCCCTCACCTACAGTGGTGCAGATGGTCCTTCTGCAGCACTCAGCTCCGACCAACACCTGGCAGAGCGGTGGGTCTCGTTTATGAGTATCTCCCATGAAGGTAAGTTCCAAGTTACCACATTCTCGCTTTCATGGATTATCTTTTTGGTGCTTATCAAAAAATGTCACTGCCGCCCTAACCAGTTTGGCTCGATGGATAGAGCTTTGACTGAAGGGTCCCAGGTTCAATTCTGGTCAAGACCATGTACCTTGGTTGTGGGCACATCCCCAAAAGGGAGTGGGCAGGAGGCAGCTGATGTTTCTCTCTTCATCCATGTTTCTAACCCTCTATCCCTCTCCCTTCCTCTCTGTAAAAAAAATATTTTTAAAAAATGTCATTGCCAAATCCAAGGTCACACAAATTCTCTATTTTCTTCTTTGTTTTATATTTTACATTTAGGTCTATACGTCATGTTCCTTTAATTTTTGTATAAAGCATAAGGTATATGATGACTTTGTTTAAAAAGTTCCCCTCTATTCCTAATTTGCTATCTTATCTTGAATGGATATTAAATTTTGTCAACTTTGGGTGGTGAATACACAATATAATTTACAGATTGTGTAGTACTGTAGGTCTGAAAGCTATATAATATCATTAACCAACGTTCTCCCCCCCAATAATTTCAATAAAACAAAAATAAAAGATGCCAACGAGAAAGAAATTTTTTCATAATTTCACATTTACTGAAGTACATTAGAAATCATGTAAATATAACCTCCTATAGCGAGTGAACACTGCAATTATCAAAAACTAAAACTACACTTTAACTGCAATGCTATTTCACTAACAGGAAATAAAAGATACCACGGAGATACCTGCACCCAGCATTCCAGGTTACACTCCCCGCCTCTGGCCCCAGAAGCATGTGGGGGAGTGGAGGGAGGCAGCAGAGTTTGGCAGGGATGGCGCCTCTTCAGCTGGGAGCGGGGCTCCGGGCTGAGCGTCCCCCTGGAACCGGGAGGTCCAGCTCCATGGGGTCCGGGCTGGGCCCGCTGAGGCTCCATCCCGGCGAGGGGCGTGCAGGAGGCAGCTGGTCGGTGCTTCTCCCTCACCCCTGAGGCCTCTCCGCCCTCTCTGGGGTCCATGTGTGTGTAAAGCAGAAGCCGCTCTCCCTCCCCGCCTGGAAGGACCGGGACACCCGTCCGCCCCTCCTCCCTGCACCTCTCCTGCGGGAGTGAGTCCTCACGGCCGCCCGGCCACCCCCGGCCGCCCGGTCCCCCTCCCCGTCCCGCGAGGCATCCACGTCCCCGGGCAGAGGCCCCTGGGAGCGGCCCCTCCGGCGCCTGGGTGGCCGGTCTCCCCGCGCAGCCGCCCGGGCCTCCCTCTGCCGGGACGGCCAGGCCCAGCCACCAGCCTGCGGGCGGCGCATCGGGAACGGCGGCGGGGGCGGCCGGGTCTGGGCAGCCCACCCCCGGGAGCGCCAGGCGGGTGGCCGGGCTCAGGCTCCCGGGAGGCCGCGGGGCGGGGACGGCCGAGCGGCCAGGGCTCGGGCACCGGGCATCAGCCGGGAGGCCGCAGGCAGAGACGGGGCCGGCGGTGCCATCCCGGCCCCGGGACCGCGGGCTCGGGCAGCCCCGGGGCCTCCGGGGAACGGGACCCGCCGGCAGCAGCGGCCGCGCTGTGGCCTAATCCCCGGGCCCGGGGGCTCCTCCTTCCTCCGGCGGCAGGAGCGCGGGCCCCGCGGCCGGCACTGCGGGCATCCATCGCCGTGACTCCGCCCGGGAGGCCGCGCGGGCAGAGGGGGAGGAGGGAGGACCCGGCCCAGTGCCGCCCGGAAGCCCGCCGCCAGCCGGCGGGGCTGGAGTTCTTCACCCGCGGGCCGCCCCGCCCGCGGCCTCCCCGCGGCCTCCCCGCAGCCCGCCCCGCGCGCCGCCGCCGCCGCCGGCCTCGCCCCGGGGGCCGCCCCGAACCACCTGCTCCCCGCGCGCCTCCCCCGCGCCTGCGCAGAGCGCCCGCGGGAGGCCGAGGAGCGGTCAGTGCGCATGCGCCGCCCTGGAGGTCCGGGGAGCATTGGACCCAGGTCTGAAGCGGGCCGGGACGCGCATGCGCCGCTGCTAAAATCGGTTTCCTCCCTTCAGGTCAAGCCGGAAGTCGAGCCGGAAGTTGCTGGGCGTCGTTTCCCTCCCCTCCCCGACCCTCTGCCCCGCCGGAAACCGGAGCTCCGGAGAGAGGTTCCGGGCCGGCCGGGCCTGGCGGCGGGGCCAATGGACACCGAACCTGAGAACGAGCGGTCGGCCGGACACCCCACGCTGGCCTCCTCCTGGGACGCCACGTGCGGGGCGCTGGGCCGGAGCCTCCGTGTCCGCGGAGCCCAGGACTCAGACTGGGAGGAGCTGCTAGCGCCGCCTGCCTCGGGGTGCGCGGGGCCGGCGGGCGCGGGGGCGGCTCCGTGGCGGCCACGCTCCGGGGAGGTGTGAGGGGACGTGGGGCCGGGAGGGGAGAGCGTCCGACCCAGATACGGGAGCCCAGCCGGGGCCGGGCTGTGCGGGGAGCCGGCCGGACCCGCGAGGGGTGGGGCGGGGGCGGGGCGGGGGCCTGGCCTCGGGGTGGCAGCCGCTCCCCCCTGCCCTCCCTCAGCCCTGCAGGCCCCTGTCCCCGGCCTCAGCCTCTCCCCCCGCGAGCAAAACCCTCCTGTGCCCCAAAGGCGGACACTGTCCCAGCCCTCGGAGCCTCCCTCCTGGAAATCTGGAAAAAGGTCCTCTGTCTTCTGGCCTGTTCTGCTCCCGCTCCTGCACAGAGCATGGCCCTGAGCCTTATGGTAACCGAGAAGTCACTGCAGGAGATGGAGGAAGACGCCCCTGATCCAGGGCGAGAGCAGGAAACCCCTGTCTGAATGCCCGTTCCTCAAAGGAGGGTGTTTCCCCATTGTCTCCTTTCCTCCTGTTTGGTTTAGAGAGAGGATGGCGGGAGGGAGAAGGGGAGGGAGAGTCAAAGAGAAACACGCAGGTGGTTCCCACCCTGACCTGGGCCTAAGTTGAACCTGCAACCAAGGTCCATGCCCTGGACCTGCGACCTCAGTCCCTGCGCTGATGCCGCCGCTGAGGAGCCAGGCCAGGGCTGCACCACACTTTCTCTGAGAATCTGCTGAGCATGTGTTGGCTGCTGGGAAGGTGTGTGACCCCAGAGGCCAATGGAAGTCAGCCCCGGGCCCGATCGGTGGGGCAGCAGCAGGGCCGAGGCCACACTGTGATTCTGTCACTTCCTCCTCAGCCGGGACCTGGTGAGTCTGAAAAGGAGCCCCAAGAGCCCCGATGGAAAGCCCTGCTTCCTCTCCCTGAGCTGCGCCCCGAGTGGAGGTGAAGAGATCGTGTCTGTGGGCATTTTGAGTTCAGCAAGAAACATGGAAGTGTACTTGGGCGAGGAGTACTGCGGCACCAGTAGGGGCGGGAGTGTTGGGAACGTGCTGGACTCCAGGTTTGTGACTCAGCGAGCAGGGTGCTTCTGAGGAGGGTTTCTGTGGTCCCAGCTCTGGCAGCACCTCTTGCTTCTCTGACATCGGCCTCAGACCGGAGTGGGAGGAGCTAGAAACACCAGGAGCCTGGGAGTGCAGGCCGGGGTCCTGGGCACAGTCTGGGTCAGCCCTGTTGCCTTAGCAACTGGAACCTGAGGACTGGTGGGAGGGCGGTGAGCTGGGAGGGTACCAGCCAGCACCTGGAAGAGGTTTCTTCTGATTCCCTTAGCTCACAGGGTCCGTTTCCAATAGTATCTGCCCATCAGCCTGGGGCTTTGAACATGCCTCCTGAAGGAAGCCCTTTGCAGACAGTGCAGGCGCCCAGCACGGCCATCCTGCACGCCTACCCGGGGGCTGTGCTTTTTTATTTCAGAGTGGAAGGGAGTGGGAGAGAGAAGCATCAGTGATGAGAGAGAATCCCTGAGGGACTGCCTCCTCACTGCCCTCTCCCAGCCCATGGAGAAGCACTGTCCTGGAACCCTTATCTCTAAATGTGACCGTGCACAGTGAGCATGTGCCCAGCGGACGTGGCTAGTGGTTGAGCATCGGTCCACCCATAGCTGGGAGGCCACAATTGGGTTCCTGGTCAGGGCACAGGCCTGAGTTGCTGGCTCCATCCCCAGTAGAGGTCAGTCAGGAGGCAGTCCATCAGGGATTCTCTCTCATCATTGATGTTTCTCTCTCTCCCTTCCTCTCGGGAATGCATTTTAAACATTTAAAATAATTTCTCAATTTTAAAGAGTGATAATGTGTGAAAACAAAAAGTCCAGTTTTATTTTTTATTTTCAGCGAACAAGAAAAAATTATTTTATACAAAAATTTTCTAAAACTGGAGCCCGCTGCACATGCTTGTAAAATAAAGGTAAGTCGTGACTAGATCTGAACTAAGTTGGAAACTGCAGTTGTTTTGTTCGGTGCACATGCATGTTATGTGGGGTTAGTAATTCTCGATGTTCTCCCTTAAAACTGGCCCATGTGTTAGCTATGGCCATGCCAGGCTGCGGACTAGGTTAACACAGTTACTGCTGCTGTACTGTCCGGCTTTGAGAAACTCAGTTAAAAATCATTTTTATTTTGTCATAAAAGTTAGGTGCCAAGAAAACCACAAGCAGATGTGGGACCAAAATCCTGAGAGAGAGACCCAGGGAGGGGATTGCAGACCAGGGCAATCACCTAAGTATGTAAAACATAATTTTACATGTGATTGTTTAGTGTGGAAAGAACTTTTTTACCTAAATGGTTGAGTATTTGTCAGACTCTCCCTCCTATTCTAGCGAAACGGAAGCGAACTTGTAGACTATTGATGGCTTCCTGTTACCTAGGTAACAGCAGGAAGAGACCTGCAGTAGGATTATGGCTCCACGTGGTTACATTCCCGAATTTGTGTTTTCTGCAGCTGCTCTCCTTCGGGGAAAAGCCGTGTGTATTCGTCAGCCAGGTGGTGGTGCACGTGCGGCCCAGCCTGGCCAAGCCTCCCGCCAGCTTTGCTGCCCCGGGGCCCAGGGTGGACCTGGAGAGGGTCCACAGCCTGCTGGCGGCCATGGGGTCCACGCTGTCCCCGGGGGCTCAGCAGCTGATGAGTATGGTCAGATTCCAGCAGCAGGTGCGTTTCCCTCCCTGCGTCAAGAAGGCAACATTAAATATGCCAGTGCAGCTTTCCTGGGTGTGCCCGTATCGACTTTAGTATTTTCTGGAGGAAAAACCAGTCAGGTGATAAAAGCCTGGACTGGAGTCCCGTGGCCTCCCTAGCTGTGTGACCTTGGCCCGGTGACCGTGACCTTGGGCCCCTCAGCTTGCTGGTGGCGGTCATTGCAGCTGCCTTTGAGGGAGGGGGTGGGAGTCGGGGACCCAACGGGAGAACGCCCGCCTGATTCTAAATGACTGCCAACTGCGCTCGGTCACTGCCATTGACAGCTCTGTTCCCTGTTCCCTCAGCGCGGCATTCCCCTGGGGGAGCAGCTGCAGGCGGTTTTGGGGAGCGCTGCCTGCCAGCGAGTGCTGGGCCTGCGGGCCTCGGCGCCCTCGGGAGCCTGGTACAGGCCGCCCTGCGCCCCTGCTCCTCTCAGAGCCAGGCCGATGGCGGGACGCGGGACTGAGGACGCGAACGCTCCCGGGGAGGAGAGCGCACGGCCCCCCGCGGGAGGGCCCCCCGCAGCCCTCGGAGGGAGGGACACCGCGCCCCAGAGCCTTCCTCTCCCCGGCGGGGAGCTGGACCTCCAGCCGGCGGCGTCTCTCCTACCAAAGAAGGCGAGTGCCGGCCCCGGGGCCCCCGGCCCCCAGCTGCTGCCCATCCTCCAGGACGTGTGCGGTCAGGTGCGCCATCTCCGCGGGGCCCAGGACGCCACGTGGCCGGGACACGTCCCCACGCCCAGCGAAGGCGGCCTGGCTGCCGGGTGAGTGTCCACGGGGACTCAGCGGAGGGGGCTGACGTGGACACTGACAGGGACACAGCAGGCTGCTGGCTGCAGGCTGGCTGTCTGCGTGGCTGTTTGGTTACCATTTTCGCGTGATGATTGTGTTTGGTCTTTCACTTCGCTCGTAGGATGGGAGAGCAGCCCGCCTGCTCCTACCTGGAGAGGATTCTGTCTAAGAAGCTGGAGCTGATGGAGAGGAGGCTGATGGACCACCTGGAGGAGCGGCTGCGCGCCCTGCAGGAGCACCTCGACCGCCAGGTGGCGCTGCTGGCACGCTCGCTGCTCAGCCCAGGCTCCCCTCCCCTGTCCCCGCCCCCGGGGGTGCAGCTCCCCCACTGTGACTCCAGGGACACACTCTCCAATGGGGAGAGATAGGCGCTCGGGGCGCCGAGCACACACACATTGTGACCTATTTATTGCCACGCAGCCCAAAGCGGGGCAGGTGTTTCTGTCAGTGAGGATCAGCATCCTACTTGCATCAAGTGACCTCAGCGTTCGTCTCCCTGTGCTTGTGACGTGACCCCCGAGCCGCCCCTGAGAGCGGATGACCTTCCTGTGCTTGTGACGTGACCCCGTGACCCCGTGACGTGCCCCTGTGCCTGAGTGTGTGCCTGGTCGGGTCAGGAGTTGTTTGCAGTTGTTCGCTCTGACACAGATCTGTGTCCCCTGGTGGTATTTCCAGTGTTTGGGATGATTAAGGACTTCCTGCAGGGTGTGTGACAGGGTGTGTTTTTGTCTGTGAAAGGCCTTCCTCCCTCGTCTTAGTGGGGAGAGGAACGGTGCTCAGAGGACTTGGTGACGGTTTCTCTGATTCTCTTGCGAAGTCGGACCTCTGTGCCCGCGGACCCGCACTGGTGCTGCCGCCCTGAGCACAGCAGGCGGCTCTGCAGACGGGACACCCTGGCGCCGGCTCCCAGCGTCGCGGTGACGGGCAGGAGGGCCGCCTCGCCCGTGGGGCTGTCGCTGTGGATTTGTGTGGGCCGGGAAGCGGGATGTTGCCTTGTTTATCTGCACCTGCGAACCCTGGCGGCGGAGTGTGGAGGAGACGGCAGGGCTCGGTGCGGCCGCGTGTCAGGAAGCGGAGCTGTGCATGTGCTGAAGGTGCTGTATTTGTATCTGGAATTAAATGCGTCCGTTTTGGAAACCACGTGAATGAGTAGAAGTGCTTTATTTTCCGTGGGTCTCGGCGTGGGAACCCGCTCCCCTTCCTGGTCCTGTGCAGGGGACGCGGGCAGCCGCGTTCACGGCAGGTGTAGCTACAGGTGTGTTTCCTTTGTCCTTCTGGAGAGTTCTGTCCCGTCAGTTCAGTTTTGCAGCCTCCGGTGTGCAGTGTCTTCATTGACGTGGCAGCCAGGCCACCACGCTCAGCGCACGGACCACGGACGCAGTGGATGCCGGTGGTGGAAAGCAGCACTCGCTCCTCCCACACATGTCGGGAAGGAAACAGAGTCGGCAGCAGTGTCAGCATCTCACGGAGCGTTTGCCAGCACGATAGAGCGTGTTGGTGGCTTCCCTGCTGGGCTGTGCAGTCCGCAGGTTAGGACTCGTCTCCGCTGGCAGCAAGCAGCTGGTCCCAGGCCCGGGGGTGAGCCCCGCAGCCCCTACCTGGCCAGGTGTCATCTCTGCCTCGTCCACAGCTCCCCCTGCCTGTGCCTAGGACTCTCCCCTCCCCTTCCCCTCCTGCTGACCTGGACCTGCCCCGCCCCTGCTGTGAGGGCCGGTGCTGCCCGGGAGGGTCCCCTACGGAGACCCTATCCCTCCAGAGCCAGCATCGGGCTCGGGGCCGGGAGAGACAGGCGCCTGGACAGACAGCGGGCCCTCCAGTCAGCACAGGCCACGGCTGGGAATCTGTCCTGAGTCTTGTTGAGTCCAATCGCAGGGTCTCGAGCGCGCCACGCAACCAAATCCCAGCAGGCCTTTCACCGGAACGTTTGTCTCCTCTGGAGACACATTTCCCTGTCACCAAGGCTGCTGGGAAGTTTTCGTCTAAAATCGGCTTTCTGGTGCTTTTGGCTTTCATCCCAAGCACTCAGCACAGTGCTGCCCTCTGTCACAGTCCACGTGCCTTTGAAGTCCTGTCGCCCGCCTGACGCTGCGACGCGACGTCACAAGCCGGTCGCTCGCTCCACGCCCCCAAGTTCAAGTTCATGGATCACTAACGACACCAAACATCCCCAAGGCTGGAGGTTCTTTCAATTCTGCTTTTATTCAAAAGCACACGAACGTCCGGAGGCACATACAAGGGGAACACGATAAACATCTGGGATAAAACATCTGGAAGTAAACAAAAGGCACTCCGCGGGCGCCGTGCGCCGTGTCAGAGCCCCTCGGTCACGTCGCAGAAGCCGGGCGGCAGGGGCTTGGAGTCGGCGCACAGCTGGCACTGGTCGAGGATCTGGAGGTCGGGGAGGCAGCTGGCCGTGAGGGATGTGGCCGCCGTGATCTTGTCCCTGGTGACCAGGGATGGGTAACTTTTTAAGACCAGACACACCGGAAGCTTCGGAGCTCTTAAGGAAAGACAGAACACGGGCGGTTAGAAACCTCCGGCCGGCCGTGGCCGCGTCGGAACCGCATGTCCCGGGCCCCGCTGCGAGGACAGCTCTGCCCTGGCCCCGGCTCCGGGTCACCTGCTCCGAGCCGCCAGCAGCCAGGTCAGACCCTGCCCAGAGGGGCCCCCGGGGCTGAGGCCCCAACTGCGGAGCCCGGGTGGGGCGGGCGCCCCTCAGCGGCCCCGGCCTCTGGAGCCTCCCTTCCTACAACCTCCCTGTGAGCTCGAGGCCCAGCCCTTTCCTGCGGGGAAGCGGCCAGGACTCCACGCTCACTCGCCTCTGTCTCCTCCTGCTGCCCCGCGCCTGACTCCCGGGGCGGCCCGGCTCCGGCTGGCCCCGGTGCCTGTTCGAGTGGGCGGCCACCCTTACACGTCACTCACTTCAACATGCCGGTCAGTTTGAAGAGGAGGCTGGTGACACAGAACATCAGCAGGACTATGGCGATCAGCAAGCCAACCCCGATGGCCGTCATAATCTTGATGTCAAGCATCTTACAGGCGCCTGGGCAGAGCAGTGCAGGTGGGACCGTGGCTCCCTGCCCTCAGCCCGGGAAGGAGCGAGCCCCGCCACAGAGCCTCCTGCCCGCAGAACACGGACGGGTCTCCCAGGGCGGCCGAGGGGCCCAGCCGCCCGGCCACGCGGGATAGAGGGTTTGCTCACGGAGGAAAAGGGGCTGAAATGCAAAGGCAGAGGAAGGAAACGGACGGACGGAGGGAAGGGCTTTCTCCCTCTCGCAGGCAGTAACGTGCAGCTGGCGGTGAGTAACAAACAGGCCGCACACAGTTTTACTCCCAAGACCTGGTCTCCTGACATGCCCTCGCTGAGAGTCAGGACTGCCCCTTGCTGCTCGTCAAACTTAAATTGTTCTGAGAACAGAACTAAGGACACGGCTCCTTCCGAAATGCCATGCTTCCCAGTTCAGCACAAGCAACCCCGCTTGTGCTATTTTCTGGAAAAAGGCCTTTACTGTCCTCACAATTGCCGTGCTGCCTCATGGCTTAAGGAGATTCTAGGAGCCCTCGTCATTGGAAGATAGTGGGCCTTTCTGCCATCTTTCCTCCCAAATCTTCCCAGCAAATTCCATTTGGTTGGAATAAGCAATTGGTCTGATTGAACGCTGACATGAGAACTATGACCCAGGAAGAAAGAATAAGCAATATGGTAGCTGCCCAACAGGTGTGGCTCAGCTGCTGAGGGTCATCCTGGATCAGTTCAATGGTTGACTCCAGGTCAGGGATCATTCCTGGGAAGTGGGCTCAATCCCCAGTAGGGGGCAACTGATGGATGACTCTCTCATTGATGTTTCTCTCTCTCCCCCCCTCCCTTCTCAGAAATCAATAAAAAAAAAAACGTATAAAACGACAACATGACTGCCAAACATCCGCAGGTAAGGCTGGCAGCCAACTAGGAAAAAACGTGTATTTAAAGACTGTAGGAAACCGTTATTTGGTCAAACCCATCGTGTGGTACCACACGGGACCTTACGGAGTGAAAGGCCGGAGGGTCGAGCCTGTGCGGAGCGGAGGGAGCTATCGGTTCATCCTGTGGAGTCCGGTCCCAGACTGAAGAGCTCGCGTCGGAGGCCCAGCCATGGCCCGCTCCGCCTTCCGCGCGGGCTGTGACATCGCCGCTCTGCTCGGCTCCACCCGGAGGTTCTGAATTCTGTCCCATTGTACTTGGAGCTTGGCCCCCAGGAAGCAGACATGCTATTTTGATTCACTTAAGTTTTTGCCTTTTCAGATCGTATTTCCCCTTCTTTTCAGAATTTGATTGTTGACCAAAAGCAAGTTTAAGATTTCAATATTACAATTAAAAGACAGAAATGTGGGGAGGCTGAAAACTCTTAATAGTAAAAGCTCAGTGCGAGCCCCAGCAGGTTTGACTGAGTGGTTAGAGCAGGGCGTGGACTGAAGGGTCCAGGTGCGACTGTGTCAAGGGCACGAACCTCGGTGGCAGGCTCACTCCCCAGCCTCAGTTGGCAACCAATCAATATGTCTCGTTCACATCAATGTTTCTCTCTCTCCCCCACCTCCACTTTCTCTAAAAATTATAATCTTTGGAGCCGAAACCGGTTTGGCTCAATGGATAGAGTGTCGGCTTGGGAACTGAAGGGTCCCGGGTTCGATTCTGGTCAAGGGCATGTACCTTGGTTGAGGGCATATCCCCAGTAGGGGGTGTGCAAGAGGCAGCTGATCGATGACTCTCTCCCATCGATGTTCCTAACTTTCTATCCCTCTCCCTTCCTCTCTGTACAAAATCAATAAAATATAATAAAAAATAAAAATAAAAAAATAAAAGATAGTCAATGGACCGCATGTCCAATGGTGATCTATGATAAGAAAGCTGAGAAATTCCTACCATGTCGTGATGATTTATTCACATTTGTGGCGATGCTGGTGTGAACAAACCTGCTTTTCCAGGTGCATAACAGTACAGCACATGCCTGTGCACAGTACATAGTACTTGATAATGAAATGACTATTACTGATTGCTGTATTTATTACATTGTAGTTGTTTGTTTAATACTAGAGGCCTGGTGCATGGAATTCATGCACTGGGGTTCCCTCAGCCTGTCTGCTCCCTCTCACAGTCTGGGACCCCTTGGGGGATGTCTGCCTGCTGGCTTAGGCCCGCTCCCCCTTGGGGGTGGGGCCTAATCCCACAGTCAGACATCCCTCTTGCAGACTGGGGCTCTCCTTCACTCCTTCCCACCCACCCGTGGCGGAGGGAAGAGAGGCTCCCACCACGCCCCGGCGCTCACCAGCCGTGAGCCTGGCTTCTGACCGAGTGGTGCTCCCCTGCGGGAGCACACTGACCACCAGGGGGCAGCTCCTGAATTCAGAATCTGCCCCCTGGTGGTCAGCGCTTGTCATAGCGACTGGTCATTCCACCATTTGGTCGATTTGCACACTATGCTTTTATTATATAGAATTATATAGGATACTTGTTTAATATACTAGACGCCTGGTACACAAAATTCATGCACTTGAGGTACACAAAATTCTACAGCCAGTCTGCACCCTCTAAGTCCAGAGCCCTCAGGGGATGTCCGACTGCCGGCTGTGGAGGTGGGAGAGGCTCCCACCACCACCACTGCACTCACCAGCCGTGACCCTGGCTTCTGGCTGAGCTCCTCACACAGGGGGAGCACACTGACCACCAGGGGGCAGCTCCTGCACTGAGCATCTACTCCCTGGTGGTCAGTGCATGTCATAGCATCCGGTCATTCCACAGTTGGGCCAAAACGGGCTGTCTGGCATCCCACGAGGGGTCCCAGATTGTGAGGGTACAGGCCAGGTTGAGGGACCCCACATGAGCACAATCAGGAGGGAGGTTGGCCAACCGGGCAGGGACTGCGGGAGAACTCCAGGTATGTCTGGCCCATCCTGCTCAGTCCTGATCAGCCTGACCCCAGCAGCAAGCTAACCTACTGGTCAGAGCATCTGTCCCCTGGAAGTCAGTGCATGTCATAGTCAGCAGTTGAGATGCTTTAGCATACATTAGCATACTGTTTAATTGGTTGCATGGCCAACCAGATGACTGGACACTTAGCACATTAGGCTTTTATTATATAGGATTTTTATTGATTTCAGAAGGAAAGGGAGAGGGAGACACAGAAACATCAATGATGAAAATCATTGATCAGCTGCTTCCTGCAAGTCCCACATAGGGGATCAAGCACGCAACCTGGGCATGTGCCCTGATGGGGAATCAAACTGTGCCTTCCTGGGTCCACACTCAACCTCTGAGCCATGCCAGCTGGGCCTATGTGATACTTTTAATCATTATTTTAGAGTGTGCTCTTTCTAAAGAAAGTTTGATACGAAAGAGCAGCCACATTACACCGGCAGCAGCCACTCGTTTGTTGTTTACTGAGTCTCTTGATTGCATCATTTTCTCCCGCTTGGTCTAGTCTCGTGTTGTTTTGAACAGGAACACACTGTGCAGGTGTGTAACAGGCCACAGGCTGGACCACGGAGCCCAGGTGGGCAGCAGGCTGTGCCGTCAGGCGTGTGTAGGTGCACCATCATGTTCACAATTGGACGAAACCACCCAGGGTGCCATTCCTCAGCGTGCAGTGTGCACGACTGTGCTGCCTGAAGATGATGGCCCTCAGCACCAAGACAGGAAAGGGGAGGGGGGAGGAAAGGGGAGGGGGCGGGATTTTCACATTTACTGGGCAGTAACGACGTAGGGAACATCGGCCATTCTTCCTGTTTAAGAAGACAGAACGTAACAGCAGAAAGAGCGGGGAACACAGACACCGACTCGCACAGACCAGGCTGTGTTGGGACATCATGTCCAGAGCACCACCACTTTATTCCCATTTCACTGTGTCCAGAGCAGACGCACTCATTCTCGGATGCAGATAGACTGCCGTCAGCACATGCTGCCACACTCCTCACCCAACACCGAGCACAGGGGCTGGGAGGACCCGGCTTCGGCGCGGCAAGGGGACACAGGATATCCTCTCATTTTGTGTCAGCCACTAACCCGAAATAATTCTAACAAAGCGGCCGTGTAGGTTTTACTTTCCTTCTGCAGCTACAGTAAGAAAGAACGCAAAACCAATGGCCTACTGGACACTAATGTACAAATGCCAAGCACAACTCGTTTCTTACTGAGACAAATAATTAAGAAAATCCCTAACCATTTTCCCCATATCCCTAAAATATAAGTCCTTTATATAAAACACTGCATATTTCAAATACAGTCACAATACATATACTGATGAACTGAACTAGCAATCCTTAAATATTTAAAGTCTTAAACACAGAAGTATGTATACAATTCTGGGAGAGCGACCAACACTGCAAACAACTCCTACCCGATCAGGCACACTCAGGCATGGGGGCACGTCGCAAGCACAGGAAGGTCATCCGCTCTCAGGAGCGGCCCAGGGGTCACATCACGGGGCACGGGGTCACGTCACAAGCACAGGGAGACGAACGCTGAGGTCACTTGATGCAAGTAGGATGCTGATCCTCACTGACAGAAAAACCTGCCCCGCTTTGGGCTGCGTGGCAATAAATAGGTCACAATGTGTGTGTGCTCGGCGCCCCGAGCGCCTATCTCTCCCCATTGGAGAGTGTGTCCCTGGAGTCACAGTGGGGGAGCTGCACCCCCGGGGGCGGGGACAGGGGAGGGGAGCCTGGGCTGTGAAGCGAGCGCGCCAGCAGCGCCACCTGGCGGTCGAGGTGCTCCTGCAGGGCGCGCAGCCGCTCCTCCAGGTGGTCCATCAGCCTCCTCTCCATCAGCTCCAGCTTCTTAGACAGAATCCTCTCCAGGTAGGAGCAGGCGGGCTGCTCTCCCATCCTACGAGCGAAGTGAAAGACCAAACACAACCATCACGCGAAAACGGTAACCAAACAGCCACGCAGACAGCCAGCCTGCAGCCAGCAGCCTGCTGTGTCCCTGTCAGTGTACACGTCAGCCCCCTCCGCCGAGTCCCCGTGGACACTCACCCGGCAGCCAGGCCACCTGCGCTGGGCGTGGGGACGTGTCCCGGCCACGTGGTGTCCTGGGCCCCACGGAGATGGCGCACCTGACCGCACACGTCCTGGAGGATGGGCAGCAGCTGGGGGCCGGGGGCCCCGGGGCCGGCACTCGCCTTCTTTGGTAGGACAGACGCCGCCGGCTGGAGGTCCAGCTCCCCGCCGGGGAGAGGAAGGCTCTGGGGCGCGGTGTCCCTCCCTCCGAGGGCTGCGGGGGGCCCTCCCGCGGGGGGCCGTGCGCTCTCCTCCCCGGGAGCGTTCGCGTCCTCAGTCCCGCGTCCCGCCATCGGCCAGGCTCTGAGAGGAGCAGGGGCGCAGGGCGGCCTGTCCCAGGCTCCCGAGGGCGCCGAGGCCCGCAGGCCCAGCACTCGCTGGCAGGCAGCGCTCCCCAAAACCGCCTGCAGCTGCTCCCCCAGGGGAATGCCGCGCTGAGGGAACAGGGAACAGAGCTGTCAATGGCAGTGACCGAGCGCAGTTGGCAGTCATTTAGAATCAGGCGGGCGTTCTCCCGTTGGGTCCCCGACTCCCACCCCCTCCCTCAAAGGCAGCTGCAATGACCGCCACCAGCAAGCTGAGGGGCCCAAGGTCACGGTCACCGGGCCAAGGTCACACAGCTAGGGAGGCCACGGGACTCCAGTCCAGGCTTTTATCACCTGACTGGTTTTTCCTCCAGAAAATACTAAAGTCGATACGGGCACACCCAGGAAAGCTGCACTGGCATATTTAATGTTGCCTTCTTGACGCAGGGAGGGAAACGCACCTGCTGCTGGAATCTGACCATACTCATCAGCTGCTGAGCCCCCGGGGACAGCGTGGACCCCATGGCCGCCAGCAGGCTGTGGACCCTCTCCAGGTCCACCCTGGGCCCCGGGGCAGCAAAGCTGGCGGGAGGCTTGGCCAGGCTGGGCCGCACGTGCACCACCACCTGGCTGACGAACACACACGGCTTTTCCCCGAAGGAGAGCAGCTGCAGAAAACACAAATTCGGGAATGTAACCACGTGGAGCCATAATCCTACTGCAGGTCTCTTCCTGCTGTTACCTAGATAACTGGAAGCCATCAATAGTCTACAAGTTCGCTTCCGTTTCGCTAGAATAGGAGGGAGAGTCTGACAAATACTCAACCATTTAGGTAAAAAAGTTCTTTCCACACTAAACAATCACATGTAAAATAACGTTTTACATACTTAGGTGATTGCCCTGGTCTGCAATCCCCTCCCTGGGTCTCTCTCTCAGGATTTTGGTCCCACATCTGCTTGTGGTTTTCTTGGCACCTAACTTTTATGACAAAATAAAAATGATTTTTAACTGAGTTTCTCAAAGCCGGACAGTACAGCAGCAGTAACTGTGTTAACCTAGTCCATGGCCTGGCACGGCCATAGCTAACACATGGGCCAGTTTTAAGGGAGAACATCGAGAATTACTAACCCCACATAACATGCATGTGCACCGAACAAAACAACTGCAGTTTCCAACTTAGTTCAGATCTAGTCACGACTTACCTTTATTTTACAAGCATGTGCAGCGGGCTCCAGTTTTAGAAAATTTTTGTATAAAATAATTTTTTCTTGTTCGCTGAAAATAAAAAATAAAACTGGACTTCTTGTTTTCACACATTATCACTCTTTAAAATTGAGAAATTATTTTAAATGTTTAAAATGTATTCCCGATAGGAAGTGAGAGAATCCCTGATGGACTGCCTCCTGACTGCCCTCTACTGGGGATGGAGCCAGCAACTCAGGCCTGTGCCCTGACCAGGAACCCAACTGTGGCCTCCCAGCCATGGGTGGACCGATGCTCAACCACTAGCCACGTCCGCTGGGCACATGCTCACTGTGCACGGTCACATTTAGAGATAAGGGTTCCAGGACAGTGCTTCTCCATGTGCTGGGAGAGGGCAGTGAGGAGGCAGTCCCTCAGGGATTCTCTCTCATCACTGATGCTTCTCTCTCCCACTCCCTTCCTCTCTGAAATAAAAAAGCACAGCCCCCAGGTAGGCGTGCAGGATGGCCGTGCTGGGAGCCCGCACTGTCTGCAAAGGGCTTCCTTCAGGAGGCATGTTCAAAGCCCCAGGCTGATGGGCAGATACTGTTGGAAACGGACCCTGTGAGCTAAGGGAATCAGAAGAAACCTCTGCCAGGCGCTGGCTGGGACCCTCCCAGCTCACCCCCCTCCCATCAGTCCTCAGGTTCCAGTTGCTAAGGCAACAGGGCTGACCCAGACTGTGCCCAGGACCCCGGCCTGCACTCCCAGGCTGCTGGTGTGTTTCTAGCTCCTCCCACTCCGGTCTGAGGCCGATGTCAGAGAAGCAAGAGGTGCTGCCAGAGCTGGGACCACAGAAACCCTCCTCAGAAGCACCCTGCACGCTGAGTCACAAACCTGGAGTCCAGCACGTTCCCAACACTCCCGCCCCTACTGGTGCCGCAGTACTCCTCACCCAAGTACACTTCCATGTTTCTTGCTGAACTCAAAATGCCCACAGACACGATCTCTTCACCTCCACTCGGGGCGCAGCTCAGGGAGAGGAAGCAGGGCTTTCCATCGGGGCTCTTGGGGCTCCTTTTCAGACTCACCAGGTCCTGGCTGAGGAGGAAGTGACAGAATCACAGTGTGGCCTCGGCCCTGCTGCTGCCCCACCGATCGGGCCCGGGGCTGACTTCCATTGGCCTCTGGGGTCACACACCTTCCCAGCAGCCAACACATGCTCAGCAGATTCTCAGAGTAAGTGTGGTGCAGCCCTGGCCTGGCTCCTCAGCGGCGGCATCAGTGCAGGGACTGAGGTCACAGGTCCAGGGCATGGACCTTGGTTGCAGGTTCAACTTAGGCCCAGGTCAGGGTGGGAACGTGAGGCAACCACCTGCGTGTTTCTCTTTGACTCTCCCTCCCCTTCTCCCTCCCGCCATCCTCTCTCTCAAAACCAAACAGGAGGAAAGGAGACAATGGGGAAACACCCTCCTTTGAGGAACGGGCATTCGGACAGGGGTTTCCTGCTCTCGCCCTGGATCAGGGGCGTCTTCCTCCATCTCCTGCAGTGACTTCTCGGTTACCATAAGGCTCAGGGCCATGCTCTGTGCAGGAGCGGGAGCAGAACAGGCCAGAAGACAGAGGACCTTTTTCCAGATTTCCAGGAGGGAGGCTCCGAGGGCTGGGACAGTGTCCGCCTCTGGGGCACAGGAGGGTTTTGCTCGCGGGGGAGAGGCTGAGGCCGGGGACAGGGGCCTGCAGGGCTGAGGGAGGGCAGGGGGGAGCGGCTGCCACCCCGAGGCCAGGCCCCCGCCCCCGCCCCGCGCCCGGCGCCCCGCCCCCGCCCCACCCCTCGCGGGTCCGGCCGGCTCCCCGCACAGCCCGGCCCCGGCTGGGCTCCCGTACCTGGGTCGGACGCTCTCCCCTCCCGGCCCCACGTCCCCTCACACCTCCCCGGAGCGTGGCCGCCACGGAGCCGCCCCCGCGCACCCCGAGGCAGGCGGCGCCAGCAGCTCCTCCCAGTCCGAGTCCTGGGCTCCGCGGACACGGAGGCTCCGGCCCAGCGCCCCGCACGCGGCGTCCCAGGAGGAGGCCAGCGTGGGGTGTCCGGCCGACCGCTCGTCCTCCGGTTCGGTGTCCATTGGCCCCGCCGCCAGGCCCGGCCGGCCCGGAACCTCTCTCCGGAGCTCCGGTTTCCGGCGGGGCCGAGGGTCGGGGAACGACGACGAGCAACTTCCGGTTGTGCCAGTGGCTACTCAGCAGCTGCGGCCTCGGGCTCCGCGGGGGCGAGAGCGAGTCCGGCGGCGGCGCGGGCGGCGGCCCACGCGCGGCGGAAGGCGGGGCTGGCCGTGCGCTGCGCTCCGGCCTGTCAGTCAGGTCAGGGCCGCGCCGACCCCCTGACGTGAGGTCACCGGGCGCCCCGCGGCCGCGGGGCCGTCTCCGCGGGGCCTCTCCCGGCGCGGGGATCTCACCGCCAGCAGCGCGGCGCCCAGACCCCGAGGCCCGGCAGGCGCCCGGCAGCGAGGACGACTAACCGGAGACTCCCCTTGTCCTGGCGCCGGGGGCCGCATCGCGGCGCCGCCCGGCCCGACGGGCGCACCCGCACCGAGGCCGCCGCCGCGGGTCCCTCGGGTTCAGACGCGCCTCTCCGGGCCCCGCGGCGCCGGGCGTAGCGGGAGCGCGGGCGGCAGGCGGCCCCCCGGCGGCATGAGGGCCGGCGAGGACGCCCGGGCGGCGCGCGGCGAGGGCCCGCGGCGGCCGGCGCTCTGCGTGCTCTGCGGCCTGCCCGCCGCCGGCAAGTCCACCCTCGCGCGGGCGCTCAGCCTCCGGCTGCGGCGCGAGCGGCGCTGGGCCGTGGGCGTCGTCGCCTACGATGACGTCATGCCGGAGGCGTTCCCGGAGGAGCAGGCCGCAGGGTCATTGGTCAGTTTGCCCGGGGGGCGGGGCCTCGGCTGGCGCCTTAGCAAATCACCTGCTGGGCTGCAGGCTTGGAAGGAAGCCTGGGTGGGAGGTGGGGCCCAGGGCTGGAGGGGCGTGAGGTTGGTGTAGGGTAGAAGGAGTTGAGGGCATTTTAAGAGTAATTTAGTATAGAGGCTTATATGCTCGTAGGGGGCGGGTATGTATTGTCCATCGTAGAGTAATCTTATAGAGGCTTATACACTATGCAGGTATGAAGCAGGTATGTGTGTATATTCCCTGCGGTGTACTCTCACGGGGTCATGCAGGTGGAAATCTCCAGGTCAAACAGACTCTTGAAAATCCTTTGGGAAGGTTGTTCTCTCACAATTCCACCACAGCCGGTTTAACATCCAGCCAGGCGCCAATGCAGGCTCGTGGGGTTTAGAGTTCATACCATTTGGGGACCCTTTTTAAGAAAAAGGAATACGCCGGGACCGGTGTGGCTCAGCGGATAGAGCGTCGGCCTGCGGACTGAAAGGTCCCGGGTTCGATTCCGGTCAAGGGCATGTACCTTGGTTGCGGGCACATCCCCAGTGGGGGGTGTGCAGGAGGCAGCTGATCGATGATTCTCTCTCATCGATGTTTCTAACTCTCTATCCCTCTCTCTTCCTCTCTGTGAAAAATCAATAAAATATATATTTTTTAAAAAAAGTGTAAAATACTTAACAGCACATCTCTTTAAAAAAAAAAAAGAAAAAGGAAAGAAAAAGGAATACCAGCCTGGCTGGAATAGCTCAGGGTTGAGCATTGACCTATGAACCCGGAGGTCAGGGTTCTATGGCCTGTCAGAGCACACGCCCAGTTTTCCGGCTCGATCCCCAGTAGGGGGCGTGCAGGAGGCAGCCGATCCATGATTCTCTCTCATCATTGACGTTTCTCTTTCTCCCTTTCCTTCCCTCTCTGAAATCAATAAAAATATATTTGAGAAATTTTTAAAAAAGAATACAATTAATAAAATTGCCAGGGTCCCTCCCAGGACGATAAAGAGGCTGTACATGAAGGGCCTGCGGCTCCATCTTCATTCATTCTGGGTAAACCTGCCTCTGCAGGCCCAGGGGAGGGTGGCACCAAAGGAATTAATGGCTTGTATTTAGGGACCAACTTGTGTGTTCCAAATCCATGCTTCGCTTTAAGCCCTCAAATTCCGCTCTCTGTAGTGAGATGCATCCCCCGGGAGAAACGTGCGAACTCGGAGGCCTCTGGGTAGAGTAGATTTATGCTCCCCATCTCATGCTCACTCTACGGCAAACACTGATTGAAATATTCTGAATACTTTAAGTAGCCATTTTTGTCGTTTATGCCTGAGTGTAGATTGTTAACATAGAAAAAAACATTCAAACCCGTAAAGAGTTTTTGTGAGTTTATTTGAGCCAGACCGTCGACAGTTGCCAGGATTGACAGTCTCAGTGTAGCTAGGCAGTGCTCCGGGGAACGGTGGTTTCTCACCTTTTTTAAAATAAATTACCAACAAAGGAGGAGACCTCAGTGGGTTACATGACAGATGAGGGAGGTGGGAGAAAGCAAGATGGGGTGGGACCTCTGGGATTGGTAAAAAGCAAAATGATAGACACACATGTTTTGCCCAGGTGGGCACAGGATAGTTAACAGTCCAGCTAACACCGTGACAGTAAGAATGAGGGAACATGTCTCCGCCCAGGTGTCATTTGTGAGCCCAGGGGGTGGCGGGTGGTGAGGGAGATGGTGGGGGAGGAAGTTATAAGTAACCTAGATATTTCACAGGTATGTTATACTAGATACTCAGTAAAGGTCAAAGTTGATCTTTGTCAGGGAAGATACTGGCCTAGAACAGGACTACCCACTGTAAATGCTTTTTTAAAATATATATTTTATTGATTTTGTACAGAGAGGAAGGGAGAGAGATAGAGAGTTAGAAACATCAGTGAGAGAGAGTCATCGATCAGCTGCCTCTTGCAACCAAGGTACATGCCCTTGACCGGAATCGAACCCGGGACCTTTCAGTTTCCAAGCCGACGCTCTATCCAATGAGCCAAACTGGTTTCGGCTGTAAACGCTTTTTAATTAAAAGGTTTTCATTTCAGACCATTCTTTTTTTTTTTCTTTCTTTTTTTTATTAAGGTATTATATGTGTACTTATCTTATCATTGTCAGATCATCTTTCATGGTCACTTTAGGTCTCCGAGTTTGTAAGGCCGCCACACAGGCTTTCCCTGAGTTAGTCAGGTTAGCATTTGTCCCCTTTTGTCCAGAAGATGAATTCACATAAATAAAATACAGCTATGATGTGATTCTGAAACCGGACAGTCAGGGGGTCCGGGCTGCCTGTCACACTGGAGCCAATTCAGCAGAGACAGGGGTGAGTCATGTGTGAGCGTTTATTCCAGTCCTGCCAGGAGCATGGGGAGCAGCTGGTCAGCCACAAAACCTGCTGCCTCCCGCCATAAGCCAGCCGCTTGCATTGGGTAGACGGACAAGGTTACACGGGGGAGTGGGCACACCGGACGAGAGGGTGTGAAGAGGGGGCAGTTCCAGGCTATGCGGGCGGGTGTGCAGAGGGCTGGCGCCTCAGGGGCGGCAGGCTGTTAATGGTCCCGTGGCCCTGGCAGCTCCCGCCGTGGGGGATGGGCTGCATTTCCAGCTGAGCTCCCAGTCCCTCCTGCACCTCCCACCCGGCTCAAACGTGCTTTCTTTAATCAGCAAAGCAATCACGGCTAGCAGAGCATGGTTAATGTTTGTTATAATTGTAGCTGGTCCCCAATATTCTTATTTCTGCCCTAACGGTTTCACTCTGTATATACGCAAAAGCACAGCACATCTGGTGTATGGGAAAGTCTGGGTGCACAGGCAGGGTCCCTGTGGAGCTGTGGGAGGCGGGGCGCGAGGACAGTGCGGACAGACGGACGGTGCGGACAGACGGACGGTGCGTTGGTCTCTTGCAGGCGCCCAGCTGGAAGGCGCTGCGCCAGGAGCTGCTCGGGTGCCTGGAGGGCTTCCTGCGGGCGCTGCTGCACCAGGCCCCGCTGTCAGCGCCATCCGGGGGCACGGGGGCCCTGTGGGGGGCCTTCACCGCCAGCCTGCAGGCTCAGGGCCTGCTGCGTCCCGCCCCCGCCCCGGAGGGCCCGGCCCACCTCCTGCCCACCCCTGCCGCGGCAGCCGGACCTTTACTGCTGATCCTGGACGACAACTTCTACTACCGCAGCATGCGGCTGGAGGTGTACCGGCTGGCGCGGCGCTGTGAGTGAGGCCCCGTGCTCGCCTGGAGCAGGTGGAGGGGTGGATGGGGGCAGTGACCTGGCTCGCGCGGGCGGCCCTCCTCCGGGGGCGGGACAGGTCCGGCTTCCTCCACCCGCGGGGGAGCAGGCACCACTCACCGCGGCCCGTGGTCTCCAGACTCGCTGGGGTTCTGCCAGCTCTTCCTGGACTGCCCGCTGGAGACCTGCCTGCAGAGGAATGGCCGGCGGCCCGGGGCACTGCCCGCAGACACCATCCGCCTGATGCAGGGGAAGATGGAGGAGCCCAACCCCCAGAAAAACGCCTGGGAGCTCAACAGCCTCACCATTGGGAGTGCCACCTGCTCGCCTGAGGCCAGGTACCCACTCCCCCCCAGAAAGTTCCTCCCCAGGGGCTCCCCCCACCGGAAGCTGCTGCCCCCACCCCAAGGAGCCTCTCCCCCCAGGTAGCTGCTGCCTCCCCCGCAGCCCTGCGCTGACCGTTTCTCCGTAGCTTGGCCGTGGACTAACGCTCACAGGAGGAGGCACAGTCCCCCCACACCCCCACCCCGCAGGTGAAGATGTGTAACATCCTCCTCCTCCTCCTCCAGCCCCGAGCTGACCAGCCTGCTGCTCGCTGCCCTGGAAAACCCAGTGACCTACGTGGAGGACAATGTGGAACAGAAGGTGTGTCTCTCTCAGGGCCAGGGGTGCCCCCTCGCTGTGCCCAGCCTCTGGGTCACTGGGAGGGCAAGGAGGGGGCGCTCACCCAGACTGACGGCTCTGTGGCTGCCCCCTGTCTTCCTGGCGAGCCCACCCGTCACTCACCTGCACCCTGCCCCGGCACCCTGCCCGCGGGTGGCGCTCACGGGGAGCCTGTCCTCCGGGCGGGGGAGGAGCAGAGCCCACGGCCTCGGAGCCAGGCCCTCCTGAGCGCCCGCCCCTGTCTCATCAGGAAGCAGACAGAGCCGTCTGCTCCTCCAGCACGCTGCACCAGGCCGACCAGGCGCTGCGAAGGATCGTCTCGCAGACCATGAAGGAAGCGAAAGGTACGCAGGTCCTTCTATGCCGTGCGCGCTTGGTCACTACCGCCAGAGAAAAACCACAGCGAGGCCCAGGCCAGGCCCAGGGCACCCAGTCAGAGAGGTCAGTGCGGGGAGGGCTGGGGAGGCCGGCCTCACAGCCACCGCGGGAATGGACGGCAGCGTTACCAGGGCACCCAGCAGGGCCACTCTTTAAAAATATACATTTTTTTATTGATTTCAGAGAGGAAGGGGGGGGGGGGAGAGAAACATCCATGATGAGAGAGAATCATGGATCGGCTGCCTCCTGCAAGTCCCCACTGGGGATCGAACCCACAACCCAAGTGTATGCCCTTGACCAGAATCGAACCTGGGACCTTTCAGTCCGCAGGCCGATGCTCTATCCACTGAGCACACCGGCCAGGCCGGCAGTGCCCCTCGTAGCACACACACCCCTAGCAGCATCACTCCTAACAGCCGGAGGCGGAAGCACCCAGATACCCATCAGCTGGCAGCGGCTTAGAGAAAAGGTGGCATCCACGTAGCACAGGCCATTCGCCAGACAGGAAAGCAGCCCTGACGCATGTTACATGGCGAGCCATGAACACGTTAGCAGCATGAAAGCAGCCCGGCAGCCCCAGCCCCGGAGCGTGAGGCTGGGACACCTGGATTCGGCCACCGGATTGGTGGGGGCTGGGGGCCGGGGGCGGGGAGGGAGCAGGACGGTGATAGTGAATGTGGCGCAGTGCTAGGCTGTGGCTCTGGTGCACGTACGGAGCACCCCACAGCCACTGCGTTGTAGTTGACATGGAAACTCCATGTGGGCTGGACGGGGCAGACACACACTCCCTCCGGGAGAGAGCTACAGGATGGCGGGGTGGGCGACAGGGCAGACACACACTCCCTCCGGGAGAGAGCTACAGGACGGCGGGGTGGGCGACGGGGCAGACACACACTCCCTCCGGGAGAGAGCTACAGGACAGCGGGGTGGGCGACAACGTTCCCAAAGCGGGTCCTCGTGTGTCTGCGGCCTCAGGGCCTCAGTGCAAGCCTCCCCTCAGGCTCGTCTCTGCTGCCGCAGCTCCCTAGCGGTCGTTTATAGGGCTTGTATCCCCCATTAACGGGCCTTGTCTATACCACCGCTCAGTTGTACTGATGGGGGTCTGACTGCTTGTCTGAAGTAGCACCATGACTGTGACCATGACCGGGGCCGTCTTGGTCTTAGATGCGTGCCTGTGGCCTCCCGACCTGAAGCTCCTGGCGGCGGCGCTGAACCGGCTCCGAGCGGAGGTGCTGAGGGACCTGAGGCTCGGGGGCAGGGCAGGCCCGTGCTCGCAGGCCCCAGGCGTCCCGGACGCGGTCGCTCTCTTTCGGGATGAGAAGGACAGCCTCATGCGCAAGTACCTCTCAGAGCAGCATTAAGACGCCACTTCCAATCAGAGTGATCGTGGGCAAGATTTCGCAAACCGATTACAGTTCTGCATTACTGCACCTTCTCTAGGCCGATGACAGGAGTGGCCAGACTTATTGTTCACAAAAATCGGGTCCATTTGTGTAACAGAAACGACTGGCCATCCACTTGTCACGTGTGACCTGGACAGCAGCCTCAGCGGCTGCCTCCCTCATGTGCCGGGACCCGCAGGGCGGGGTGAGGCAGGAGGCACCCCGGAAGGATGTTTAATAAACGGGAGAAGCTGGGAGGAGACCAATCTGGATGTGTGGAGCTTCTGGTTTTAAGTCATGTGACAGATCTACTCATGGGTAAGGCAGTCTACACATTCCAACTAATGGAGCCAGAAACCTTGTGTTTTAATTAACGTTTTAAATCCTGGAAAATTACTAGACAGTTAATTGGATCCTGATTCTCAAAGAAGAAAAATCGAAATCATTAGGAAGTGTTAGTTTTTTATTGTGTTACAGTGGCAGAGCTTCTTGAACAGCATGAGCCACACCCTGGGCACCGGTATTTCAGCGCTGATCGCTTTCTGGAATCCCTAGACAGGTTTTTGCAATCAGACACATTTTGTTTTGCATACAAAGTATGTCCTTTACATCAAAGTATATATTAACAAAAACACGTTCTAGAAATCTATAACCCTCTAAAACTACTTAATAAAAAAAATCCTTAGTAGGGAATTTTAAAAAATAATACAGCCATTTGGTAAATATTTTTGCAGAACTTAAAAGGAGGTTTCTCTCTGAACATATATTTAGCTATATTCCCTTTGTCAAACAATTCTGCAGGTGAATGGCACACACCTTTTTCTAAATAAAATAGCAGGAAAATAGCCAGTGAGATTTTTTCAAAGTAGAAGTCTAGCCTTGACTTGAATTTCAAGAAGTTGTAGCTACACACTACATTAGTGAAATCAGTTATTCCATATTCATTCCTTTACAGTTTCTTAAAAAAATATTAGTGGAGATAAATTATCTACCAACTTTAAAAATCTAAACTTAAGTTCACTGAACAAAAATAAATTTAGTTTCAGAACATTGCCTCTTAACAGCAAAATAAACATTTCATGTTAAACTTTCCTCAACACCTCATTTCTATAAAACGGGATTAAATATAAAATGGGATATACATACTCAGTACTTAGTGGAGGATACATTTAACACAGAGATTTAAGTGAAACCCTAAATCTTTTAAAAAACAGGACATTACAGAGCGGCTGAGACAGGTTCACTTCAAGGACTTGCGTGCATTAAGTAACTGGCTTTCCAGCATCACGCATTGAAACAGCAACTGCGCTGTCTCGGGGACATTAGTCATACATTTGAGTTTGCAATTATGAAAAAAGTCTACATTGAAAGCAAAACGTACCTTCAAAACATCTATCTTTCGTTGTCAGAAAAAAATATAGCTGTCACTATCTGGCCCAGAATGTAGTTAATAAACTTGTTTTACAAGAGAGTTCTCCCTTTGGTTTAATGGAGACCTGCATTTCCTATTTTTCATATTGCTTTTATTTGAATAAAGTAAAAGTGAGGGGGAAACAAGCTTCCAAATGACAGCACCCTCCTGCTCTCTGGGAATGAGTGGATTCGGGCGAAGTTGTGTATCTGGAAAAGGCAGCACTGACCCTGGTCTGCGCGGCGAGCAGAGCGAGAGCGAAGCAGGACTAGGTTTTGGCCGCAGGAACTTCAGGATTGAGGGAAGAGGTGGAGTTGGAGAAGCCCTTTGAGATGCTGCTTGGACAGTGCCATTGAGATTAGCTGGCGGAACACTAGCTCACAAGAGCTCCTTTGAAAGGCTTTCTAGCACTGAGGGCAGATGACCCACTAACTCGGCCCTTAGGGCTTTTGTGGACATTTGCCATCGACATTTCCCTTGTAGGAATAGTGTACTTTTTAGTTAATAAACGCTCAATCATTAGGGCGTTCTCTTTACAAACCTGTTAAGTAACACTTTCAAGCTTCAAACCAAATTAAAAATAAAATGTTTGCAAAGTACATAGAAACCAACAGTTAGAAATAGTAAGTTTATTGTTTGACCAAGTGCGCTTCAGGGTAAGCGAGTTATTACATAATATATAAACAGCAACCTCCTATTCAAAATTCCTCTAGATTAATTAGCATGTCTTATTTCTGTAAACAAGTTAACTATGTCTGTCTGCATCCGCTATCTGCCTTCACAGTAAGTCCTTGCCCACCACGCCGTCAAGGCAGCCAGCTCCCGTGGCTCTGTCACTGACAGGAAGACTGGTCCACGCAGTGGGCACCACCACGTGGAGTCACACTAAGTGTCATAGGGCCAATTCTGAAGAGGAGACAATTCGTTTTGGATGTACACTTCCTTTTCAAAACGTCCTCCGCCTCACCTTTCCCCACATGTCCCTACACACACAGTGGAGAAATTATGGACAATAAATGGGCACAAGGCAGGAAACAGGACGGTGGGATTCTGTGAAGAACTGTTTCTGGGAACCAGATGGGATTTGCACTTACCTCTTTGGTCATCAAAGGAATGGGAGGGAGAAGAGAACAGACAATGTCCTTGTCAAGCTCACCTGACAGTAATGGTGTCAGATGAAAGGTTTAAATACAGGTTCAAACTAAAAGAACAAAAAGGCATCTTCATAGATAATCACCCTGATACTTCTAGCATTCTTGTGTATTTACTTGTGGTTTTAAAAATAAACTACATGTATAATAAAACGAATCCAATGGAAAATTAATGCATTTTTAAACAAGGGATTGAATAAACAGGTTTTCAAATATTAAACTCCACTTTCAATGTAAAGCCTTGTTTCATTTCTTTTCAGAACATTCCTCTCACACTTTTATAACTTTATTTTAAAGGAATTAACTGTTTTTACATTATGGGGAAAAAAAGAAAGGTTTTCTATATACTGAAATAGCTTTACTTCTATCAGTTGAAACTATCAATTCAACTTAAACTAAGTGAACTAGATAGAATTTCAACTATCTAAAGAGCAATTTTAAAGGCAATTCCTCTGCTAAACATGGAAATAAGTTGTAACAACGTTGGTGAGAAAGTAATTTCTCTACCATTTTTAAATATGGCAGAAATGCCATCTAGCTGCGTATACAGTGAAACACCACCAGGATCAAGCTTTGAAGTCTACATGGACCATACATATGGGGTTTACATGAATACCTGTAAGATTAAGATTGCACTTCAATCATCAAATGTCTAAATAAAAGGAAAAAACAGACACCAATGTGTCCAACTATTCTTATAAATGACCCTGACCAAATTTTTATGTGGGGGGAAAAGGAAAACATTTGTTTCCATTGTCAACTTTGTTTTCTATAAATATAACGTATAAACTTTAAATTAGCATATTAGGGATGGTCCTCCCCCAACAAAAACCAACGATAAAACTAAAAAACGCACAAAGCCAAAACCAGGTGCAGAACAACGTGACTGCTGCGGTCAGTGCTGGTTATGCTGCCCTCGTGCGAAGTGGCAGGCGAAATCATACTTGTTTTTGCACTTGCAGCCGCATATGTTGCACTGGAACGGGTTCTCGTAGCCGTGGCAGCCCATGTGGATGGTGTAGAGGATGTTGTCGGCGAAGTACATGTCGCAGTGCTGGCAGTGGTGCAGGAGCTGCGGGTCCTGGGCCGGCAGGGTGGGCGCGGGCGTGCTCGGCTGGCTGTTGCCGATGCTCGGGGTGCTGGTGTGGGCGCTGGGCTCGCTGCTGGGGCCGGCCCCGGGGCTGTAGTTCCTCTGGCCCTGGGGCGGCCGGGGCTCAGGGCTGGGTGGGGAGGCGCCCTGGGGAATGCTGGCGGCCACGGCGGACACCACGGCCTGGGCCGAGGGCTGCTGCAGCAGGAAAGGCTTCTCGTCCGGGCAGGGCACGACCTCGGGGGACGCGGGGTTCTGGCTCTCGGGGGGCAGGCTGGACAGCTGCCCTGCGAGCGTGGAGAGCTGGTTGAGAGGGTTGTCGACCAGGAGCTCCTGTGGGTCCCGGGGCAGGCCCCCTGCCGAGGCGGTCTTCGCCATGCTTTCGTAGGAGTCTGTCTGGATGCTGGGGATCTCGTGGGTGAAGTCGCTAAGGTAGTCCGGCTTCTGCACCACCATGGAAGGCGGGCTCAGGTTGATGAGCGCTCTCCTGCTGTAGCCCAGGTTGCCGGTTTTCTTCTGTAAAACACCCCACATTTTCTTGCTGCTTAAGGAAGACCTGGCGCCCTTAATCGGCACCATCTTATGCTTGCGCCGGCGGTGATGGGACAGGTTGCTCCGATCGCTGCAGCGGAAGGAACACAGTTCACATTTATATGGTTTCTCCCCCGTGTGGGAACGCATGTGTGCTTCCAGGTGGCGCTCGTAAGCAGAGGCAAAGGGACATAAGTGACATCTATGAGGCTTTTCACCTGTTTAGAGAGAAAAGCGGGAGAGATGGCCAGACAGGGGTTGAGAGACGAGAAGGATCGGAAGGAAGATGGCCGAGGAAGGGGAACTTTACCGGGCCTCACTTCCTGGGTGGGTGTTGTTATGCTATCACTCCCCGTCCATTCAAACCTCACATCAACCTTCGTTTTCAAACGATCAGAACTACTGATACCACAGGCCACCCACCTCCTGGGCCCTCCACCGCACTCCCCGCCTGCTCCGGTACCTGTGTGGATTCGGATGTGCTCGATGAGCCGGGCTGTTCCCTTGCTGGCATAGTTGCAATACCGACACTTGAGCTTCCCATCGAAGGTCCTTTCGAACCCGTCCACTAGCATTCCTGAGTTTTCATCCAGGGACACTTCCACAGAGGGGTGGTCCAGGCCATTCTGGTCGCCATCTGCCCCCGCTATAAACAAAGGACGGCAGAGAGTGTGCATCTCAAGAGGAACGCAGCATGCATTCTAGTCTGAAGCGGCCCAATACCTTGCCTAAGAGCACAGCTCACTGAGCTTCCTCACAAAGCCACCAGTCCTGCCAGGCTTTGTGGCCAGATCGGGTGCTGCCCTTGTCTGACAAAGAGGAGACAGAGGGGAGGAAGTAGTGACGGCAGCTACACATGTTTACGTTCTAGCCACTTCTATCTATAAATACAATTGGAAGTCATGAAAATCTCCCCAGATCCTAAATGCTTACTTGAGCCTAAACCAATCAATGCCGAGTTGCCTTGTTCCACCAGTCTGTACAGATGCCCTAAATCCTGGGTTGCATTCAGGATCCTAATCCTCTAAGCACATAAAAAACATTGTATTGGATTCCTCTGATGTTAGACCTGCAAGACTGAGAGCTAAAGATGCTTGGCTCTTGGCTCTCAACCCAATCTACTTCTTTGTAGAAGGAAATGAGGGCAAGCGCTCACATCAGGAAAACCAGCAAATGGCGCGAAGAGGCCTGGTACCCGAGTCCCCGTCCCGCAACCTGCACACTAGCGTCTGCAGGGACCTGCTTATTCCAGCTTCCAGGGAAAGCACTTCCGCCCCATCCCCGGGAGGCAGCAGTGCTCCGTGGGAACTCCAGCGGCACCCACCCAGGAGAGAGTGGTTCTGCTGCTCCAGGACCCAGCACCGCCCCTGCCCCGGAGCCGGGCTCAGCACCGCCCGCCCGTACTCCCCCAGGTCAGGGACCTCTGAACTGAACGGGTGTGCGAGTCACCGGGGAGTGTGGACTGGCTGACATCCCGCACTTCCCACAGCTCCTGTTTTATCTAAAACTCTGCAAATTAACTCTGCTGCCGGCCCTCAACCACAGGCTATCAGCCATCTCGGTCAGGGGCCCGCACCTCTCCCTACAGGGCTCAATGGCAAACACTTCAGGCCATGGGCTATCTGGTCCCTCCCATAACTCCTCACCCTGCGCTGGCAGCACAGCACGGGAAATGTAAACAAGCAAGTGCGGCTGTATTTCAATGAAACTTTATTTCCAGAGGCTGCCGTTTGAATTTCATGATTTTCACATTACAACATTCTAATTTTTCCCAACCATCTTTCAAGTAGAAACCGCTCGTAGCCTGCGGGTCACACAGAAACAAATGGCTGGCGGGCCAGATGGGCTCACAGGCTGTCGTGTGCGGACCTGAGTGAGGTCAGAACCCAGGTCATGTGTGGGAGCAAACAAGACACAGTCTGTCTGTCTGCATGGCCGCTGCTCTCTCCGCCCTGCTTCTCCTCCCCATCGCTCTCTCTTCATGTGAGAGAAGGAACCAAAACCCCCCTTTGTTCCAGGCCTAACACAGCACCCCCGGTGGCCGAGGCCATGTGTGAGCGGACGCGGGCCCGGGTGCCTGGGTCCCGTTATCTGCAGAAGCTGGAGGACGGGGGGCAGGAGCCCCGGCACCGTCCGGGACCGCGAGGCAGCCGGGGTCTCCCTCACAAAACTCGGACGTGTTCACAGAGAGAAAGGACACGGCCCTGGCCGTGTAGGAAGGACGGAGCGACTCCCATAGGGGACAGGCCTGCGTTTCGGAGGAGGAGGAAGAGGAGGAGGACGAGAGGAGAGGCTACCTCCCTGAAGGGCCTCTGCTTCCTTGTCGCCGCTCACGGAGCCCGAGATCATGTTCACGTGGTGCGTCTGCTGCGTCAGGTACTCCTGGAAGTCCTTCACAAAGTCCAGTGGCTCTGGCTTCTTCTCGCCCATCTTGTTTGCTCCGTGCGGGCTGTCTTACAGTCACGGTTCGTTGTGCCTGGGGAAACGGACACAAAGGGACAATACTTGGGGGATCCAGTACGGGTTAAACAGCAGTGACAAAGCACGGCTGCAGGCCCTACGCAGAGCAGCAGGGGACACGGTCCCTTGTCTTTACACACGTGTCCCGTCTGGGGGCGGGGGAGACACACAGAATGGTGGGAAATGAACATATTTCATACTGGCATCCACTGGGATTTGAACCTAAGTCTCAGAGGATGGAAGGAAATTACAGACAGGAAAAAAATCAATAGGCTCAGGACTAAAAGTTAAATCTAAGGACTCTGCAAATTAACTGATATATGGAAATGCCTCTAAAACACTAATAAATTTTAAAACCTTTGCAAAAATAACATAAAAATCTACTTTGGAAATCAGCAATTTATGTTTTTATTGAAAGAATCTTTCCTACTGGCCATGAATTCAACACCTTGGAGCTTGTTAGCCAAAAAAAACTTACACAAAATTTCAACGTGTAAAATGATGTCATCAGAAAAGGAAACATATTTAAGAGTTAACCACTTTTACCATAGATTTGAGAGGTATATCCCAAGCCTGATCTACTCTTTCTGTAACTAATATCTATATTAATAAAAGGGTAATGTGCAAATTGATTATGACATCGGCACAGTAATAACCGAACAGTAGACTGCATGGGTGCATGGGGCAACCAGGCCTGCAGGGGGTGAAGGACGACTAAACGACTGACCAGCAGGCTTCGTGGGTCAACCAGGACGGGGGGAGCGGAGGGGCAGTATGGGCGACCAGGCCAGCAGAAGGGGACAATGAGGGGTGACCAGGCCAGCAGGGGGCAGCTGGGATGACCAGGAAGGCAGGGGGATCTAACCACCTTTCTTCCAAGTCCGTCTTTTTTCTAAGTTCTAGGAGAATTTTGAGAACACATGATTAGGTAATAGAACCTATTTTATTGACACATTTGTCTAATCATAGAATACTTCGCAATGTACTAATGCAATAACTAGGGGTTGGGTAGGGCTGTACCATAAAAGTGACTGCAGTTCCATAGATGTGCTTACTTCCATACAAATAATTATGGTCCTTGAAAAACTTACTCGGCCACAGAACAGACATCAGCTGAGAAGTCTGACAAATTAGGTTTGGTTTGTGTAGGGAATTAGAACACATTTCCTCCAATTACAGAACTGTCAGAAAAACAAATTCCTGAAGGGGGCACTGGGAAACCAGGAAACATAACAGTAAGACATAAATAAGTACAAGTTATTAGGAGAAATTCAAAAGCGGAGTTTACACAATCTAACCTTTTCACCCCAAATCAGTTCCTCCTTGTTCTCGCCAGTCCAGCATCGATGAAACGCGGAGTAATTGAAGTTTACTCTGGAGACACACCACGGGGCTTCCCACGGCCATGGAGGGAGGTTCAGCTGAGATGGAAACGCCACAGGGAGGTCTGCAGAGAGAAACAGCACAAAGGAACCCTCTGGAGGAGGAGGGGTTTGCACCTGCAGGTTTAACCAGCTCACGGAATACCCTGGCCGGTCTCCCGAAAAACTGTCAACAGACAGCAAAGACCACAGAGCACGGCTTCCACAAAGGCTCCCGAGAGTCCCCCAAGAGTAACACGCGCTCCTGCGACTACTGTCCTTTTCTCAAAGGGTGGGTTGGATGTTGGTCAAAGCCTCTTAACATCGCTCTAAATTCAAGTATTAATTTCACCAGTTCACGTGGCCCTGCTAGGAGGGCCGGCCCCCTCCGGCTGCAAACAACACACAACCAGGGACAGGCCTGCGGGCGGGGGTTCGAAACGCCCACCTCCACCCACCAGGGCACATCTGGACTCCACCTGCCCCCACCCCAGGGCCTTCGGGGGAACCCTGCACCCTCGGGGCGGCAGACACCCAGCGCCGCCGCTCGCTGTAACCAAACCCCGAGAGTAAGCGCCGAGGCCGGGGCGAGGGCGCGATGCCCGTGGAACCACGAAAGTCGTTAGTGCAGACACTTTAAACGCGGCCTCGGCGTTCAGTTCCTTACACGCCGCCTGTCCCTCCGTCCCCCGACCCGGAGCGCCCGCCCGCCCGGCCCGCGGGCCACTCACCGGAACCAGCGGCGCCCGGAGGGGCCCGGCCCGGCCGCAGGGAATTCAAACCCCAACGCGCCCCGAGCGCGGGGAGCGCGGCCGGCCGCTCGCGCCCCGGACGGTTCCTCCGGAGACTCAGACCCGCGGGCGCCGCGCAGCTGCCGCTGAGGGTCCGCCCCGCCCCGCCGCGCCTCGCCTCGCCGGGGCCGCCGCCGCACGCGTCCCTCGGGCCGGCCCGGCCCGGCCCGGGCGCCGCTCCGGAGGGGGTTCCAGTGCTCCTCCCCGGCCGGGGCGGCACCGGGGCGCTGCGCTCGCCGGCCCCGACCCCAGGCCACGGGCGCCCCCAAGCCGAGGCCCGGCCCCGCCCGCACGCCCACCTGTCAGAGCGAGGCCGCGCCAAACCCGGGACCGCCGGGCCCCAGCACCGCGCCCTAAGCACCGGGGCCTGGACGGGCCCGGGTCGCGACCCCACCGGCCCGTCGACCACGCCCGCTGCCTGCCGGGCTGAGGTCCGGGCGAGTCAGCCGCTCAGCCGCCCACCCGGCTCTCCCGTCCCGCCTCGCCCCTCGAGCGTCCCGCTTGGCCGTGTGGCCCCCGGCTCGGACGGCCGCCGGCTCCTTACCGCCTGGCAGCTGCCCCGAGTCCCCGCCGCCGCCATGTACGTCGCCGCTGCCGCCGTCACCGCCGTCGCTCCCGTCACCGCCGCTGCTGCCGCGGCCGCCGCCATGTTTGGTGCGTCTCCGCTTCCTTCCCGCCCCGCTGCTTTCGTCAAATCTCGCGCGAGCAGGGAGTAGCGCCAAGGCGGAAAGGAGAATTGTCTCTCTCGGGGTTCCGTAGTCGAAGGGGCGTGGCCGAGGGCGTGGCCGGTGGGCGGGTGCGGAGAGGGCGGGGCCGGGGCGGGGCTGGCCCGCGGCCTGAGGCGCCGGCGGCGGCCGGGGATTAGAGGGATTCGCTGGAGCTCCGACGCCCGGAGACGCCCGGCCTGCGGCTGCGATGGAGGTCGCGGCGGTGCGGCTGCTGCGCGGCGGCGCGCTGGTGAGTGCCCCGCGGGGCGGGGCGGGGCGGGATGAGCGTCGGGGGCGACCTTGGGCCCCGCGGCAGGGTTTTCTAACGGGACCGGGGCGCCCGCCCCTCCGCGGGCCGGGGTAGACGGTTCCCCGCGGCCGGCCGCGACCTGGGTCCCCGGAAGGCGGGCGGCAGTGGCGGCCGGTGGGAAGGGGCTGGGCTGGCCGGACGGACCCCTGTGGCGGAGCCGGCTCCCTGCGTGGCGCCGGAGGCCGCGGGCCGGGTGTCCTTGCAGCGGTTGGGCCCGGGCCCGGCGTCTGGGGCCCGCGGAGGGAGACACTGCGGAGATGGCAGCTCGCCGTCCGGGCCCCTCTCCCCAAAGGTTCTGTTCAACCTCCCGTCCCTCCCAAAGGGAAGATGGTCACAGCGTGACCCGGCTCCTTCCGAGCGAGCGGAGCCCTGCCCTCCGCTCCCCTCCCGGCCGCGGTCCTGCCCCACAGTGAGGCGGGCCGCCGGGTCGGTCAGACCCACCGGCCAGGAGAGAGCGCCCCGGTCCCCCTCCCGCGGCTGGGGCAGCATCCTCCTCCGCGGCCGGGGGCAGCATCCTCCTCCGCGGCTGGGGCAGCATCCTCCTCCGCGGCTGGGGCAGCATCCTCCTCCGCGGCTGGGGCAGCATCCTCCTCCGCGGCTGGGGCAGCATCCTCCTCCGCGGCTGGGGCAGCATCCTCCTCCGCGGCTGGGGGCAGCATCCTCCTCCGCGGCTGGGTCAGCATCCTCCGGATGGGCTCGCCTCGCACCCGGGCCCTTTCCCGCCCGCCGGCCGGGCTGGAGCTGGAACCCCGCCCCAGGGGCACCCACCTGTCGCGCCCAGTGCTGCTCGCTGCACCTGCGCACCTGTTGATTCTTCCAGCGCCCGGCGTCTGGCTCCTTACATTGGGTACCCGGTTCCCGCAGCCCGCAGCCCTCTGGCAGGCTATTCAGACCCCCCACACCGTGCACGCACACACCGTGCACGCGCACACACACTGACACACTGTGCACACACACACACACACACACACACACACAGTGCACACACTTCCCGTGTCCTCATGGCCCTGGGGCCTTGCTGACTGCGACTGTTTACTTTTTACATGGTCTCTTATTTGCTCGAATGAGGTAAAAGTTCTTCATCCAGCCGAAACCGGTTTGGTCCCAGGTTCGATTCTGCTCATTGGCATGGACCTTGATTGTGGGCACATCCCCAGTGGGCGGTGTGCAGGAGGCAGCTGATGGATGTTTCTCTCTCATCGATGTTTCTAACTCTCTATCCCTCTCCCTTCCTCTCTGTAAAAAAATCAATAAAATATATATATTTTTTAAAAAGTTCTTCAGCCGCTGCCTGGGGCAGGACTCTGTTTCATTAGGATAATTAGTTATTTGGCACTTAGGGGTAATTAAAGAAATGAGTCATATAGTGTTAGCAAATTATCTCAAAGAAGCACGTGGCTGTGACAGCTGTGTGGTCCTGGTTTTTAATCGCTGTTGAGTGGTTTAGCGGAATCGCCTGGGTTCCACAGTTTGGCTGTGTCGGGGCCAGTATTCCTGGAGCACACTCGGACGTGTGGTGGCCTGTTCTCCGCTGCTCTCGCCGAATCAGGTAGTTCTTGCCAAATCAGGTAGCTCTGGCAACCGTCCAGTAAGGCCGCCTCCTGTCCCAGATGCAGAGCCGTAGTGAACACCGTGAAGCGGCCGGCTCAGAGTCACTCAGCTAGGAAATGGGCGAGCAGGTGCCGCGCAGACGGGAGGCCATGGACTTCTGTTCGGGTCCGCTGGTTGGTGGCCACGCTTTGTCCTTCCTCCTTTTGTAAGCGTTCGCCACGGCCGGGCTGCTGGCTCTGCACCGCGGATAAGCACAGAGCCAGTTGTTGGGTTTGGCCCAGGCTCCGTCCCTTCCTGGAGGATAATCCCGGGCCTGCCTCTCACCTCCGGGCCTTGGCTTCCTGACCCATAAACGGTGGACGTGGCAGCGCCTGTGCCCACAGGGGGTTGTGAAGATTGAATGAATGATGTGCGTGTGAGGCACTTAAAATAGTGCCCCGCACAGAGGTCGATGTCCTTAAATATTCTCTCTATTCTCGCCAGGTGTGAGCACCGTGGCAGACACTGTAATGAAGGCCCTGACACTTAGCTCTGAGAAGTTGCTCCCTTGCCTGGCCAGGGTGTGGCTCGGTTGGTGGCGTGAGTCCCGGCACCAGGAGGACCCACCCTGGTTCCCTTCCCCGTCGGGTCACATGTCCCGGATGCAGGTCAGGGCACATGCTCAGTTGCAGACTTGGTCTCCACCCTGGGTGCTTCTCATGGGTGTTTCTATCTCTTCCTCGCCCTCCCTCTCTCTGAAATCGATAAAAAGCATATTTAGAAAAATTAAATAAGTTTATCTGTTAGTGGAAAGATTGGAACTGTACCCACCCGGCCTCACCTCACCCAGACGGGTGCCTGTGGCTCGGAGCAGGGCGAGGTGCCAGGGCCATCGGGGAGACAGGCTCTCCGGGGCTGGGTGTGGCTCTTGGGACGGAATGGAGGGGAGTCCTGTCTGGAGCTGGGTGAGGCTCTTGGGACGGGAACAGAGGGGAGTCCTGCAGCGGAGGGGCTGGGCGTTGTGAGGGATCTGGGCTGTGAGACCGGGAGGTCCTGAGCCTGCAGCTACAGCATTGTGGCTGGGCTGGTTGAACTGTGGTCGCAGCCAGAGTCAGGGAGGGTGGAGAGAGCCAGGCCAGGTGACTTTCGGCCCCTAACACGCCCTGTTACTCCCCTTGGATGCTGATGCAGAAATAAGTGGTAAAACGGCAGTTTTCTGAGCGTTGTCTCGCTCTGTTGAGACTGTGCTTCCAGGCAGATGGCTCACACGCACTCCTGGGAACCCGCCGGTGACCGCGGGCTGTGTCCTGTGCTGCCTTGGTCTCGCCGAGCCCGTGCTCCACCCACACCTTCCACCGGCGTCTCCGGTGCTGGCCTCTCATGTTGGCGAGTTACTCCGTGTTCCCGAGTCTGCCTGTGTACAGGCCGGGACGTGCCGTTAAACTCTAATTTGTTTTTCTCCTTCTAATCCGTCCTTATCAACCTGACTTTCAGGCCTCCAGGAGAACTCACAAGGGTAGAGTGTGGCCGTCAGGGAAAGCTGGGCAGTCCCTGGGCGAGTGGAAGGGGGGTCTGAGACGGAAAACGGAGCGAGACCAAGCGGTTTGGGCCGCCTGCAGCCGCTGGCGAGTCACAAGACCGGATCCCCGAGGACACCTGGGAGCCGAGGGCCACGCTTCAGTCGCCCGGCCGGCCTGGGTCAGGGAGATCCCACTCTGCCGTCTGTGCCCCTGGGCGGCTGGGACAGGAGAGAGCTGCTGGGGCAGGCGGAGGGGAGGGGCCTCACCCTCCAATCAGAAGGCAGCTGCCCTGGGACTTGCCCGACCAGATGACCAGATGTGAGTGCAGGAGCAGGTGCCTGGCGAGAAGCCACCCAGAGCAGAGGGGGGTTTGGAACCTGGGCTGCTTCCCGGGGAGGAGCTATAAATCTGGGGGGAGGGAGGTATAAGCCCCTGGAGCCCCCTCTTCCCCCTCCCCCGCCCCCGCAGTCTGACTCCCCGAGGCTGCTGTGCTTTATGCCGTGTGTTCCTGAGTCCGCTCATCCGCCTGCTTTGCTTCAGGGCTGCTTTCTGTCTCTCGTTAGAACTCCTTTTCCTGAGAGGAACAGGAGCCAGCCGAGGAGGGGGCCCCTCCACCTGACCCCGCACTCCTGACCACTTCTCGGGCTGTGTCAGCCCTCCCTGGTGTGCGAGGTGTGAGCAGTGCACCTCCTGGCAGAGTCAGGGTCTAACGTCATGGTTACCACTGACGGGGGGGAAGGGGGGGCGCACACCCCTGTCTGCAGGGGAAGCAGACCTGTGCTGCAGCAGCCATCTCCTGGGGAAAGTGGGGTGGCTCTCCCTGGAGGTCAGCACCCCTTTGTCATGTGTCTGCTGTGGCCTCACGCTGTAAACACTTCCTGTGCTGACGGCCAGGAGGAGGTACGGCTCACACTGTGGCCAAAGTAATGAGGTTGGCCAAAGACTGACCTGAGCATTCGGCAGTCGGGACCTCAACCGGCTTTGTGCCGTGGGTGAGGCACCCGGCAGTGTAGAGAAGTGTAAAAACTTTTCTCAATGTTTCAAGCCCTAGCCGGTATGGCTCAGTGGATAGAGCATTGGCCTGCAGACTGAAGGGTCCCGGGTTCGATTCTGGTCAAGGGCATGTACCTTGATTGCGGGCACATCACGAGTAGGAGGTGTGCAGGAGGCAGCTGATGGGTGTTTCTCTCTCATGGATGTTTCTAGCTCTTTATCCCTCTCCCTTCCTCTCTATAAAAAATCAATTATATATATATATATATATATATATATATATATATATATATATATATTATATATACATATATATATTAAAAAGGATGTTTCAACAAGTGTAAATATATAGGGTGACAAAGCAAGGAAGTGGCAGTAAAGTGGGCAGTGAGAGCAGTGAGGGGGCACTGAGAGGGTGGGGAGGGGGCAGTGAGAGCAGTGAGGGGGCGGGGAGGGGCAGTGAAGGGGCAGTGAGAGGGCGGGGAGGGTGCAGTGAGGGTGCAGTGAGGGGGCAGTGAGAGGGCGGGGAGGGGGCAGTGAGAGGCAGTGAGGGAGCAGTGAGGGGGCAGTGAGAGGCAGTGAGGGGGCAGTGAGGGGGCAGTGAGAGGCAGTGAGGGGGCAGTGAGAGGCAGTGAGGGGGCAGTGAGAGGGCGGGGAGAGGCAGTGAGGGGGCAGTGAGAGGCAGTGAGGAGGCGGGGAGAGGCAGTGAGAGGCAGTGAGGGGGCAGTGAGAGGGCGGGGAGAGGCAGTGAGGGGGCAGTGAGAGGCAGTGAGGGGGCAGTGAGAGGGCGGGGAGAGGCAGTGAGTGGGCAGTGAGAGGCAGTGAGAGGGCGGGGAGAGGCAGTTAGGGGGCAGTGAGAGGGCAGGGAGGGGGCAGTGAGAGGCAGTGAGGGGGCAGTGAGAGGCAGTGAGGGGGCAGTGAGAGGCAGTGAGGGGGCAGTGAGAGGCAGTGAGAGGCAGTGAGGGGGCAGTGAGAGGGCGGGGAGGGGGCAGTGAGAGGCAGTGAGAGGCAGTGAGGGGGCAGTGAGAGGCAGTGAGGGGGCAGTGAGAGGCAGTGAGAGGCAGTGAGAGGGCGGGGAGGGGGCAGTGAGAGGCAGTGGGGGCAGTGAGAGGCAGTGAGGGGGCAGTGAGAGGCAGTGAGAGGCAGTGAGGGGGCAGTGAGGCAGTGAGGGGGCAGTGAGAGGCAGTGAGGGGGCAGTGAGAGGGCGGGGAGGGGGCAGTGAGAGGCAGTGAGAGGCAGTGAGGGGGCAGTGAGAGGCAGTGAGGGGGCAGTGAGAGGCAGTGAGGGGGCAGTGAGAGGCAGTGAGGGGGCAGTGAGAGGCAGTGAGGGGGCAGTGAGGGGGCAGTGAGGGGGCAGTGAGAGGCAGTGAGGGGGCAGTGAGAGGCAGTGAGGGGGCAGTGAGAGGGCGGGGAGGGGGCAGTGAGAGGCAGTGAGGGGGCAGTGAGAGGCAGTGAGGGGGCAGTGAGGGGCAGTGAGGGGGCAGTGAGAGGCAGTGAGGGGGCAGTGAGGGGGCAGTGAGGGGGCAGTGAGAGGCAGTGAGGGAGCAGTGAGGGGGCAGTGAGAGGCAGTGAGGGGGCAGTGAGAGGGCGGGGAGGGGGCAGTGAGAGGCAGTGAGGGGGCAGTGAGAGGCAGTGAGGGGGCAGTGAGGGGCAGTGAGGGGGCAGTGAGAGGCAGTGAGAGGTAGTGAGGGGGCAGTGAGGGGGCAGTGAGAGGCAGTGAGAGGGCAGTGAGGGAGCAGTGAGGGGGCAGTGAGAGGGCGGGGAGGGGCAGTGAGAGGCAGTGAGGGGGCAGTGAGAGGGCGGGGAGGGGCAGTGAGAGGCAGTGAGGGGTGAGTCTGACCCAGCCCAGCCCCTGGACTTCGGTTCCGGCCGCAGGGTCCCAGCCCCCAGGCGCGGTCACAGTGACCAGTGTCTGCCAGGCGCCTGTGGAGCGGGAACAGATGGCGTTCGGAATGAGCTGCATCTGGAACGTTCTCTCTGCTGGCCGGCAAAGTTGGCCCCTGGAACGCGCTCCTTTGGAGAGCTGCTGCTGGTGCAGGGCTTCTGTCCCCACAGCACGTTTGCTCGCGTTCCCCTGACTGTGAACAAAGGACGTTCTGACCCTACCATGTGTGCGCGCGTGTGCATGTGTGTGCGGTGTGTGTGCACGGACGTGTATGTGGTGTGTGTAGGCATGTACGCGTGTGCCTGTGTGCTCCCTACTCAGCAGGGACTGTTTTTACAGCTGAGACGGACCTTCCCAGCCTGCCTGCCTGCTGGGAAGAGCCCGCCCCGGGCCCTCCGGGCCTCCCAGTCCCAGGCGCTGCCGCGGGCGGCGGGCGGCCGGCTCCCGGGCGGCCCCCTGCAGACGCTGTCGGAGGAGGAGCTGATGATCCAGAGCGCAGGTGAGCGGCCGGGACGGGCAGCCGCACGAGGGCCGGGCCAGGGGGCGGATCTGCGTTTGTGAAAGGAATTGTTTGACGTGGATTTAAAATTCTTTTTGGAAAAGCAATGCCCGTCCCAGCCGTAGAGTCAGATGTGGTGTGTTTCCACAGCTAGAAGGTTTGCCCAGGAACAAGTGGCTCCTTTGGTCTCCACGATGGACGAAAACGCCAAGATGGAGCCAGCAGTGATCCGAGGCCTGTTCCAGCAAGGGGTAACGCTTACGTCTCGGGGTTCTGTCCCCGTAAACACGTCCGGGTTAGAGGTTGGGGTGCTATGGACGTGGAGGGTCTGTCACATAGCGTCCGAGCTCTGCGGGGAGCCACCGCCTCGGCCCCAGCCCCGCTCCTCGCTGCTTCCACCCGGAGCCCCTCTCCGACCCCGTCCACTCCCTGTGCTGTCAGCTCGGTGCCCCCCACTCACCACACAGCAGCCAGCACCGGACGGCGGTGGAGGGGGTCAGAGCACCGCCCGCCACTGTCACCAGCTCCGGGGTGAATTACGGCTCCACGGCGCGGCCCTGGAGGCTGAGGAGCCGGGCAGCTCCTGGCGGGGAGGCTGTGCCGAGGGAGAGAGAAGTCCCCACGAGCAGGTGCCCTCCGTGTCCTCCTCTCCGCTCAGCCCACCGCCCGCCCCTTGGCGGGGCCGGTCAGGGTGTTGGTGGCCGGTTCCCGCGCCCCTTCCCGGTCTTCCAGCATCCTCCCGGGAGTGTTGTGGTCACAGGTGGGAGCAGGCAGCGTGGCAGTCGCTATGTCGCCCTCTCAGAAGCGTGTGCTCACATTCCACATGCGTGGGTATAACCGCATTCACACGACGCACAGCGGGCGGAGCGTGCTCACAGCTCGCCCGTGGCTGCCCTGAGCCCTGCTCTCCGCAGTTCATGGCCGTGGACGTGGACGCCCGGTACGGAGGGACCGGGGCCTCCTTCTTCTCCCTCGTGCTGGTGGTGGAGGAGCTGGCCAAGGTGGACGCGTCCGTGGCTCTGATGTGCGACGTCCAGAACACGGTGGTGAACGGGCTGCTGCGGAAGCATGGGACGGAGGAGCAGAAGGCCGCCTACCTGCCCCAGCTGGCCACGGCCACGGTGAGCCTGGAGGCCGCTCCCGTGCCCGCGCTCTGGGACGACGTGGCTGTGTGTGGCGTGTCTGCTCCAGGCCTGGCCGCGGGACCGGCAAAGCCCCTGGTGCGCTCTCGCCGCTAGAAACACACACTGCCCTCGCTTCCACTCGGAAAAAACAGTAGTTATTTTTTTACTAGAAGGTATTTGTGGTGCCCTCACTGAGGTTTCACATCCCTCACGCCGTCTTTCTCCTGGAGTCGAGCCGATTCACTTACACTTCCCATTGGACATGTGTGCTGGGCCCCGGCCTGCCTTAGACGGGGGAGCAGGGAGTCCGGAAATACTGCCGTCAGGGTGCCGTCTTGGCCCCGCACGGGAGGGTGTCTGCTGGCCTGAGCGTGTCCCTCGGAGCGTGAGCCGGAGCGTGTCCCTCGGAGTGTGAGTGGGAGCGTGTCCCTCGGAGTGTGAGCATAAGCGTGTCCCGCGGTGTGTGAGCGGGAGCGTGTCCTGCGGAGCGTGAGCATAAGCGTGTCCCTCGGAGCGTGAGCATAAGCGTGTCCTGAGGAGCGGGAGCGTGTCCCTCGGAGCGTGAGCATAAGCGTGTCCCTCGGAGCGTGAGCCGGAGCGTGTCCCTCAGAGTGTGAGTGGGAGCGTGTCCCTCGGAGCGTGAGCATAAGCGTGTCCCGCGGTGTGTGAGCCGGAGCGTGTCCTGCAGAGTGTGAGTGGGAGCATGTCCCTCAGAGCGTGAGCCGGAGCGTGTCCCTCGGAGTGTGAGCATAAGCGTGTCCCGCGGTGTGTGAGCGGGAGCGTGTCCTGCGGAGCGTGAGCATAAGCGTGTCCCGCGGTGTGTGAGCCGGAGCGTGTCCTGAGGAGCGTGAGTGGGAGCGTGTCCTGAGGAGCGTGAGTGGGAGCGTGTCCTGAGGAGCGTGAGCATAAGCGTGTCCCTCAGAGTGTGAGCCGGAGCGTGTCCCTCGGAGTGTGAGCCTGTGCGTGTCCCTCAGTGTGAGCGGGAGCGTGTCCTGTGGAGCGTGAGCGTGTCCCGCGGTGTGTGAGCCGGAGCGTGTCCCTCGGAGTGTGAGCCTGTGCGTGTCCCTCGGAGTGTGAGCCTGTGCGTGTCCCTCAGAGTGTGAGCCGGAGCGTGTCCCTCAGTGTGAGCGGGAGCGTGTCCTGTGGAGCGTGAGCGTGTCCCTCAGAGTGTGAGCGTGAGCGTGTCCCTCAGAGTGTGAGCCTGTGCGTGTCCCTCAGTGTGAGCGGGAGCGTGTCCTGTGGAGCGTGAGCGTGTCCCGCGGTGTGTGAGCCGGAGCGTGTCCCTCGGAGTGTGAGCCTGTGCGTGTCCCTCGGAGTGTGAGCCTGTGCGTGTCCCTCAGAGTGTGAGCCGGAGCGTGTCCCTCAGTGTGAGCGGGAGCGTGTCCTGCCGAGCGTGAGCGTGTCCCGCGGTGTGTGAGCCGGACCGTGTCCTGCCGAGCGTGAGCGTGAGCGTGAGCGGTGCTCTGTCCCCAGGTGGGGAGCTTCTGCCTCTCGGAGGCCGGGGCCGGCAGCGACTCGTTCGCCTTGAAGACCAGAGCCGAGAAGAAGGGGGGCCACTATGTCCTCAACGGGTCCAAGATGTGGATCACCAACGCCCGGGAGGCGGGGCTCTTCCTGGTGATGGCCAACGTGGACCCGAGCGCGGTCAGTGCCCAGCGCCCGCCCCCGCTTCCCCCGCCCGCGCCAGCCCCAGGCCTGTCCCGCAGTCTGCCTCCTCCCACGGGCACGTGTGTGCCGCCCCCCTGGGGCACCGTCTCCTGGTGCCGACACAGGCATGTGCCCTGGCCGCCACGTCCGTGTCGTCTCGTTTCTCATTCCCGATTTAACGGTGAGAAAGCCAAGCACCTGCTTAGTTCATTTAGCTTTAAGGTTAATTTATTCAATTGGAAAATAGACATTCAGCAAAATAAACACACGTTAGCTTTTGTCTTTTCTCCAACGTGACATTTAACGGGATTAAGTGTTAAGACGTTGAGGTTTTAACGAAGTTGAAGATGAAGCGTGGAGTCCCATGATCACGTGATTCTGTGCCTGGATCAGGAACAGCCCGGGTTCGGAGGCAGGAGGAGCGGAGGCTGAGACAGCCGGCCTCTCTCCCCGGCCTCCCTATGCCATGCCCGCCCCCGCGGCTCGCTGGCGGTCCTGCCGCCTGCGCCGTGGGGAGGGGGTCTTCGCAGCCAGTGTGCTCACACCCGCCTCCTCCAGGGCTACCGCGGGATCACCTGCTTCCTGGTGGACCGGGACACGGAGGGCTTCCACGTGGGCAAAGCGGAGAACAAGCTGGGCATCCGGGCCTCGTCCACCTGCCCACTCGCCCTCGAGGACGTCAAGGTGGGAGTGAGCTCCAGCGCGCTGGCCGGTGTGCCAGCTCCCGCGGACGTGGGTGCGGGGAGGCATTCCCCCGTGCGGGGCAGGGTGCAAGGACTAGGGCGTGCTCGGGCGTCACGATCACTGCGCTGTCCCGAGGGGCTGGCCGACAGGGAGCCTGGCTGCCCGCAGCTCCTTTTACACAGGATGCTTGTGGCCAGAGCTCATGCCGTACAGCGAAGGCCACCAGGGGGGGGTGTTGCTCAGGGAGACAGAGAGCACCAGGCAGCCCCTCGGTTCTGAGTGGAGTCTTTTAAAAACGAGGGTCAGACTTAGAGGGAGAGGAGAGAGAGAGAGAGAGAGGCAGTGAGGGTGGACTTTAGAAAGAGAGAGAGGCCGTGGGGACGGACGAGAGAGAGAGAGAGAGAGAGAGAGACGCCGTGGGGGCGGGCCTGAGAGGGGCGGCGTCAAGTTCTCTGCATCCCATCAGGCCTGGCCTGGTTCAGAGCTGCACTGGGACTGGCTCACCGCCTTCCTTCTGCTCGCTCTCCCCTTCCTCCCTCTCCACCTCCCGCTGTCCGGACCCTGGGGCTGAGTGCCCCTTTGGCTGAGTCAGGGTGGCTTTTGGAAACGATGAGTGAACACGATCCCCCCTCCTCCCCACCTCTCCAGGCGCCCGTGCACGTGCTCAGATGCGTTATTGGGGTGACAGCCTCCACGGGAGCTCCCACTGCATCCGCAGGGAGTCCGTGTTCTCTGTGACGCCCTGTTGCCCATGCTGGGCCCTGCGGACGGGAGCGGGGGCGCCTGGTTCCTATTCCTCTCTCCCCCTCCTCTCTGAAATCAACAAAAACATTTTTATTTTTGCACGCTGGCCCATGCACCCCACCCCCATGCACCCCCAGCCAGCGCCAGCCAGGACCACGCTATTTGAGCACATTCATGAGTGCATGCCTCTGGCCTGGCTTTTTCTCCAGGTGCATTTTGTATTGTGACACTTTGTTTTTTTGTTTTTAAATATATATATTTTATTGATGTTTTACAGAGAGGAAGGGAGAGGGTCAGAGAGTTAAAAACGATGAGAGGGAAACATCGATCAGCTGCCTCCTGCACACCTCCTACTGGGGATGTGCCTGCCACCCTTGACGGGAATCGAACCTGGGACTCTTGGGTCTGCAGGCCGACGCTCTATCCACGGAGCCAAACCAGCTATGGTAACATTTAAAAGAAAAAATACACACACACACAGACACACACACACACACACACACTAAAAATGAGTTACGTGGAATTAAGCGGAGAAATAACGCTGTTTTCCCAGGTCCCAGAAGCCAACGTCCTGGGGCAGGTGGGCCACGGCTACAAGTACGCCATCGGGAGCCTCAACGAAGGCAGAATAGGCATCGCGGCCCAGGTGGGTGGCGCCGCGCCCTCCGCGCTCTCCGGGCGGTCAGGGAGCACCAGGAAGGGAATGCAGTGCGGCCAGCAGGCGGGGAGGCGGGCGGACACGGCCCCCTCCAGGCCTGCCGGGCCCCGGGCTCCGGGCTCCGGGCTCCGGGCTCCAGGCAGGAGATAACTGAGGATCCTGCAGGGACTCAGGGGGCCGCCTTCTGCTTCAGAGCGTGGACTGTGTGGCTTTTGGAAATGGTGGGTGGACATGGCCATTTCCCGGGGCCGCATCGACAGCTTCCAGACTGTGTGTAGGTAGGTACAGCTTTCCACGTTAAGCTTGGCTTTTGGAGCATGGAATGCTCCCGGGAGAAGGCTCTGCATGAAGAAAAGTGGTCTGGAAGTCTGTAGTGAAAGTCTCTGGTCGATAGGTGAGGACGTGTGAGCTCTTAGTTTTGCGTGAGTTCAGGTGACTTTCGTGAGTGAGATGCTGGAGGTAGAGTAGCTCTGACTGGATAGATGTGTAGGGTGAGAACCATCCAGTTACCATATTTGCCCTGTGCCATGCATATTACATTTCCATTAAGTGATACCAGTTATTTCTCAGGCTAAGAAAATGAATGAAGCCTTTGATTTTATTATAAGTTACCTCATTTTTGTAGGATACATTTATTTGGAATATCTGGAATTCAAAAACAGAAGAACTTTTAAAAAATATATATATTTTATTGATTTTTTACAGAGAGGAAGGGAGAGGGATAGAGAGTTAGAAACATCGATGAGCGAGAAACATCGATCAGCTGCCTCCTGCACACCCCCCACTGGGGAAATGCCTGCATCTAAGGTACATGCCCTTGACCGGAATCGAACCTGGGACCCTTGAGTCTGCAGGCCAATGCTCCATCCCCTGAGCCACACCGGTTTCGGCTGGAAGAGCTTTTAGATATTGAAGATGTGATTCAGCTGTTGGGTTACTGAAATGTTGTGGCATTACTGGAGGTTTTTTTCACCGCCGTTCGGTTTGCTAACAGAATATTCTTAAGTCGTAGCGCTTCTCCCCACAGAACTAGACAGCATCTTCCCGAAGAGAGTTGTCCTCTGTCCTGCTGAAAGGCTTTCTGCGGTTCCGCCTCACAGACACGGAGCTGATGTGGGCGCCAATGGCCCAGGTCGCCCACAGCCTGGCCAGCGGTCAAGGTCAGGGAGCGGCTGCTCCTCGGCTGATACCGCGGGCGCCTCGTAGGCACCGAGGCTCAGGAACGGTCTGGAGGGGTCCGTCCTCCACCCTCTGCTGCCACAGAGAACTTGCCTTCCAGTGAGAGCACTGGCAGGGAAAGCATTTCGCAGCGGGGGAGGGGGCCTGTGTTAGCAGACAGCCAGCCATTTCAGTTTTCACGTCGACAGGAAACTCTGTCTGAGGCAGGGGTCCTCAAACTTTTTAAAGTGGGGCCAGATCACGGTCCCTCAGAGAGCTGGAGGGCCGGACTATATGAACTACTAATTCCTACTGTAACACCTCGGCTGCGCTCACTGCCCAAAAAACCTGGCGGGCCGGATCAGACTCCTCTGCGGGCCGCATGTGGCCCGCGGGCCGTAGTTTGAAGACGCCTGTGAGGTGACGTGAACTTCAGTCCCAGGGCGATGGCACCGTCTGAGCTCCCCTGGTTCTCTGGAGCTCTGTCATTTGCTTTGCCCGTAATTCTGGCACAATCCTCTGTCCCCAGAACGCCCAGCGAAAGGCTGGAGGGGAAGGTGATGAGTTCTAAGGAGACGCCGTGTTTGAGGGCGTTTCCGCCAAAGCTTAGCCTGCGATTCGCTCCCTTTTCTGACCCGCGTGGCGTGCCACGCTGATATGTGACTTACTGACCACGGAACGTGGATTTGGGGACCGTTTCCGAGCTGGGGCCGGTTGGTAGGTGCGGACTTGGTTAGCCAGGAGGAACTGCGGCTGGGCCGGCCCACGTGCTGGGTGGTCCTCCAGGGGGGAGCGCCTGCTCCCGAGTTCAGTTCTGACTCCAGCTCTGCACTCCGCCATGGGGGGTCCGACGCCCGGCTTGGCCACTCGGCCCCGCCCAGGCTCGGCTCTAACAATGGAAATTCTGGTCTTCTTCCCGCAGATGCTGGGGCTGGCCCAGGGCTGCTTTGACTGCGCCGTTCCGTACGTTAAAGAAAGGATGCAGTTTGGGAAAAGACTGTTTGACTTCCAGGTACACACCCTTAGCGTTTCTCCTGTGCGGTGCCGACTCCCTGCCTTCCCGCTAGTGAAGACGGGGTGCACAGCCGTGGGGTTGCCCTCGGGCTCCAGTGGGAGAGCCTGAGGGCCGGCTCTGCACGGCTGCCTGAGCTCCGGACTCGCGTCCGTCACTCCTGGGCTCAGTCCCGGTCCTCCCTGTTCCTGGCATCAGGCCTGAGGCAAGGCCCGCACCCGGGGCTCCCGGCCTCGTCTGTCAGGTCACGGTGAGGCCCGTCCTCGGGGCTGCGGGGTCGGACAGTGTTCGGTGACCGACAGTGAGAGGCCGAGACTCGCTCTGTCCGACCCGGCTCATTCGGCACAGAAGGTGCCGGAGAGATGCTCCCTGTCCCGTGTGGGTGGCACGGGCCTGGCTCTCAGCGCTCCCGGCAGCCAGGGGACTGGTTGGGGCCCATAGCGGCTTCCTCTCCAGCCCGGCCGCCCTCAGCAGGTCCTAGCAGGTTGGAGGCTAGAGGGCAGCTTACGGAGCTTAGCCAGTCCATCCACGGGGATGCAGAGGGATCACTGCGCCGTCCGCGTAATCCCCGTGAGCTGGGCCCGCTGCCTCCCTCGAGGTGCGTAGCAGCCAGGCATCATGCAAGCACACGCACTGCACGCATGCAGAGGCCCGGGCTGGGGGTGCAGTCAGGTCAAGGTCTGCAAAGTGGGAGCATAGCAGGCCTGCCCGGGTCTCTGCAGTCACGTGACCACCACCATCCTCTGCACAGAGACCGAGTTCCCAGGCTCCCTGCAGTCACATGATCCCCGCCATCTGCACGGAGGCTGAGTTCCCAGGGCCAGGCAGGTGGTACCAGATTTACAGGGTCTGTGGCCCCAGCTTCTGGTCAAATGGTCACAGTACGGTCCTCCAGGACTTGCTCTGAGCCGGCCGCCGCCGGACAGCAGCAGAGGGCCAGGCGCAGGGCAGGGCTGCGGGAGGCTGGTCCCTGGCACACAAGAAGCTGTGGACTGTGGACTGTGGACTGGGGGCTGGGGGGGAAGGACCAGGGTGACGTTTCTAAAGATGCTTCTTAGAAAACCTAAAAGTTTGATCATGAAAAGCAGCGTGTCAGCTTCTTGTCTGTGTGAGCCTGGATTCCACTTGGTCGTTTTGAAAAGCTGGGCTCCCATCAGAGCAATGGGCTGGCTCCGCCCGCGATGGCGTCATGCCCCGCAGGCCGCAGGCTCCTGGAGGGAGGGCAGCTGCAGGACCACACGTTCTAATTCCAGCAGATGAGAGTGTAAACTCACCGTTGGCTCCTTTGGAACTTGTCTGCCCTCCACTTGAACATACTGAGGGTTGAAAGCCACTATTGAATAGAGGTGGAACTTTTGAAGTTAACTTGGTGGTGACACAGGATTCCGTGAACTTGGGAAGCGCGCTGAGCAGCACCTGCCGGGCAGCGGCAGGTTGTGCAGTGTTTGCACAAAAGGGGGGGAGGGAGCTCCGGGGTGGCGTCTGTCGCCGTCGGCGGGCCAGGCGCCTTCTCTGACGCGGCCTCCTGTCCAGGGGCTGCAGCACCAGGTGGCCCAGGTGGCCACCCAGCTGGAGGCGGCGCGCCTGCTGACCTACAACGCCGCGCGGCTGGTGGAGGCGGGGAGGCCCTTCGTCAAGGAGGCGGCCATGGCCAAGTACTACGCGTCCGAGGTGAGTGCTGCGGCTGCTGCTGCCGAGATTCGAGAAACAAGGAAAGCGCAGGCGCCTCCGCAGGAAAGGCTTAACTCTGTGAGGTCCCACGTGGAAGCCAAGGCCCCAGTTCAGGTGGAGGCCCCGTACACCCCAAATCAGCCTCATCGGGTGCTGGCTCCACCTCGGGGGAGCGAATGCCCCGGAGACGCGGGGAAATGGAAACACCTGGAAGGGGCTGCCCAGGTTTGCGCCGTGTTCACACAGACGTGTTCCGTGCTGTGCAGACGTGTACCGTGTTACACAGACTTGGACCGAGAACCCGGCCAAGCCCCGGGGCTGCTCTTCCAGCCTCAGCAGTTTGTCCTCCTTCCTCGGCCTCACATGGTCCTGGAACCCTTCGTTCCCCATTAGCTCCTGTCTCCGCCTCCCTGAGGCCAGCCTCCCAGACCCCGTGTCCACGCCACCCGCCACCCACACGGCCCGGGAGTGGGAAGGGGATCTCACGGGCACCCCCGCTGTGTGGCAGGTCGCGGGGCTGACAACCAGCAAATGCATCGACTGGATGGGCGGCGTGGGCTACACCAGGAGCTTCCCCGTGGAGAAGTACTTCCGAGACGCCAAGATCGGTAAGGGCGGCCGTGCGCTCGCTGCTGCCCCCTGGTGCCCGGCTGCCCGGGGTGGGGCAGGGGGCTCTCCCACCACTTCCTCCAGAGCCTGGGCTCGCATGTTCTGTTAAAAGCACCAGGCTGCCTTTGTAAACACCTCGCAGGCCTGGTCACACCACAGCCGGCTCCGCCAGCCGGCGCTCGGCTGTGGGAGCCTCCGCCCCTCACCAGACGGCTGGGTCCAGCTCCCGGGCAGGGCACCGCCCAGGCAGGTCGGGTCCTGGGGGGCACGTATGGCAGACGACCCATCTGTGCCTCCCTTCCTCTCCCTGAAGGTCAATGATAGAACGTACCCTGGGTGAGGATTTTTAAAATCTGCCGTAACTCTCCTTTTACTAAAAGGCTGGTGCCCACGAGCCTGAGCGTCCCAGGCGGAGGCAGAGCCGCCGTGCGATGCGGGTTCTGGGGCCGGAGGCTCACTCCCGGGCGGAAGCTGTCGTCCCGCAGGCACAGCGCCCCCTCGGCGGCGTGCTGAGGGGCCGAGGGGCCTGAGCACAGCGCGCAGGGGCAGGTCTGAGCTGAGCCCTCACCCGCCCCGTGTTTAAGGTACGATCTACGAGGGTGCGTCCAACATCCAGCTCAACACCATCGGGAAGCACCTGGACGCACAGTACTGAGCGGCCGCCGCGGGCACCCGGCTCTGCCTTCGGGAGCCGCACGGTTCCTGCAGCGCAGCGGCCGACGGAGCTGTGGTTGTGGGTCTTGGCCGACCTCTCTGTGCCGCCCCCCGGCTCTGCCTCGGGCACAGGAGCCATTCAGTCTGGGAGGAACGCCCCCTCTCCTTCGGAACCGTCCCGAGGCGGCTCTCCCCGCATCTGGACGCTGGGCACCCGCTTCTGTCCCCAGTCCCCCCGGGCACCGTCAGCCGTGTTGGTGAGACATGGACGTCTCCAGGTTTGAGCCGTCCGCAGCTGCTAAACGTGCAGAAATGGCAGACGTTTTCTGTGGGGCCTGGACACCTTCTCGTTGTGAGACCCTGAGTCACAAACACCAAGAAAACGTTTTAACAAAATAAAGCGAATCGGACACGGCTGTGCGTCTCCGTGCGGAGCCCCAGCGCGGGCTGGCCATCAGTGCCCGTCTGTCACCGTCTGTCACCATCGTGTCACTGTCCTGCACCGTCGCCGTAGGTTTCTCCTCAGACGGGAGGTGCTCCTGCTGCACCGTGGCCCCGTGGTTCTCAGGAGGGAGGTGCCTGCCCCCAGGAGCCATGTCCGTGACGTCACTTCCTGTGACGGAGGAGGACTGTACCTCCACCTGGAGTCCTCCACCCGGGGCCCACCACCCGGGCCCTCCACGCAGGGCCCCATCACTCGGGCCCCACCCCTTGGGCCCTCCACTCGGGCTCCACCACCCGGGCCCTCCACCACCCGGGCCCCTCCACCAGGGCCCACCACCCAGGCCCCACCACCACGCGACCCCACCACCACCCGACCCCACCACCACCCGGGCCCCACCACCCGGGCCCCACCACCCGGGCCCCACCACCACCCGGGCCCCACCACCACCCGGGCCCTCCACCACCCGGGCCCTCCACCACCCGGGACCCACCACCACCCGGGCCCCACCACCCGGGCCCCTCCCCCCGAGCCCCCTCCACCACCCGGGCCCTCCACCACCCGGGCCCCACCACCACCCGGGCCCCTCCCCCCGAGCCCCCTCCCCCCGGGCCCTCCCCCCGGCCTCCAGCGGACCACGGTGTCGGAGCCAGTTGCCTTCAGCGGCCCAGGGCGACCTTGCTTGGAGCCGAGCGCGGCTCACCACAGACCCGCCGGAAAGGATGCATGCGTGTCCCCGGGCAGGCGTGTGGGAGGCGGGCTCTGGGAGGCGCCCCCGTCGGTCCATCCTTCTGTCCGCGGCAAGGCGGCTCTGGGGCTGGTGGCGGGCTGTGAGGCCGCCTGTGGCTCCCCCGCGTGCAGGTGCCCCTGCCCTTCCCTCCTCACACGTGGGGCCCCTCCCTCTGCCCGGCGTCCGCCTGGGCTGTGGGTTTCCTGCCTAAGACCCATGGCAACTGCCCCTGGACGGAGCACCGGGACCCGAGGCCCGAGGCCCGCAGCCCCACGGCCCCCCGCCCCCGCGGCCCCACAGCCCCCCGCCCCCGCGGCCCCACGGCCCCCCGCCCCCGAGGCCCGCAGCCCCACAGCCCCCCGCCCCCGCAGCCCACGGCCCCCGCCCCCACTGTTCCGAGGAGTAATTACATTTTTCACAAAGAGGCTGAGCTGGCGGGACGTCCCCTCGCGTGCGGGGTGATGAGCGTTTCATATGGATCCCATTGTTCCGCGGTAATTAAATTTTCATGGATGAGAATGCTGCGTCCGGCGAGTGCTGGTTATTATGGATTTTAACGTTCTGAACGGCCCTCTCGGAAGGTCTTCTGTTCCTGGTTCTCCCCAGCTTTTCTCGTCTCCTAACTCTCCTTTTGTGTTTTCTATTTCTACTACCGTCTCCCGTGACTCTGACCCACAGGGTTTTAAGAAATAATTGCATTCAAAGCGTTCGAGAGCAGAAAATACAATGGAGGCTCCGTTCTGGCAGGGAGAGGCTGGAGGGCAGGCTCAGCCGGTGGGCGGGAGCTGCGCCCCGAAACCAGCTCAGGCCCCAGGAGAGGAGGCGGCACTGTTCCCCGAGGGAAGGAGGGCCGGGGCCTGGAGCCAAGGCCTGTCAGCCCGGCCTGCAGGTGCGGGTGGCAGGGAACCACCTCGGGACCCGAGCCCTGGCAGTGCCCGGCGATGCCCATGGTGAGAGGAGCGAGGAGAGCCCAGGCGAGGCCCGCAGCCCTGGCCCGGGAGCCCGCTGCGGGGCGGCCGCAGCCACGCCCTGATGGGGGGAGAAGGGGGAGGAGGGGGAAAAGGAGGGGGAGGAGAGGGAGGAGGGGGAAGAGGAGGGGGAGGAGGAGGAGGAGGGGAAGGCTGGTCCATCCACAGGCCCAGCACATCAGGGCGGGGGGCTCTGAACTAGGAGGCGCTGCTTCTCTCTGAAGGAGGGAGGCAGGGGCTCCGGAAGGGAGGGGCCTAGAGCCGAACAGCCTTGTGGGATCGGCTGGTCTGGGTAAGAGAATCTTTCCCACCTGCTGCAGACGGACTGATGTGCCCCGGTACACGTGCGGAGTGGAGGGAGGGCTGTGCTGGGCGGGCCGGGGGGTGCGTGGGCGATGGGGGTTCGCACAGGCCCCCGCCCCCGGAGAGCAGCTGGCATGGGAGCAGCCCACCCAGCCCGCCACCGAGCCCCGCGGCCCCTGACCTTGGACTTCCCAGCCTCCAGAACCGTGAGTGACCAGCTTTTGTGCTCTAAGCCTCCACGTTCACCCCAACAGACTGTGACGCCGCCCACGCCAGCCCTGAGAGCGGAGGCAGGGCCAAGGGCAGTGGAGCCAGGCCGGCCGTCCTGCTGGAGCTTCGACGTACAAGCCCTTTCCTAATGGCTTCCTTCCTCTCCTCGCTGCCTGCGGTCCCGGGGGCGGCTGGAGTGGCTGGGGACACTGAGGCACGTTTTGGAGAATTGGGAGGAGGCGGGGGGGTGTACAGACTCACACACTCGGCGGATCTGCGGCAGGTGAGCCTGGACAGAGGGGGTCCAGGCTCGTTCCACACCCCCTCAGCTCCACCCAGTCCCTGGGCCCAGGCTGTCCCTGTCTGCCCCACCCCCGGGCCATCCAGGCTGGGCCCGCGGTGCCCGTGACATCACAGCGACGGCCTCTCCCTCTCCTCCGCCGTCTGGTCCCAGTCGATCCGGAACCAGCCCTGCGATCGGCGAGCTATTAACTGCCGGCTCCCGGCCTGTGTCCCGTCTCCTCCGATCAGACCAGCAGCCCACGCGCAGGTCCGGGCGCCACGTGAGGAAACTTCCGGAGCCACGTCCGTGCCAGAGCAGCGCCCGCCGCCCGCCAAGGGCAAGCGCCTGCTGGGGTGGGGGCTGCGTGGGGAGCGGCGGTGCTGAGGCGGCCGTGGCTCCGCTCCGGGAGGATCTGCGTGACATTCGGGTCAATCAGTGCAGAGAGAATGGCTCTCGCCGCCGCCGTGCGTGTCCAATCTCGGGAATGGGGTCCCCGATGGGTTTCTGCGGCCGCTGTCATTCCCGCAGACGCCTCGGCCGAGCGGGGTGCCGAGAGGAGGGGGCGTTTCCACGCCTCTGCCTGGCCCGCCGGGCGCTCCTGCTCCGGGAGGGAAATTGAAATCACCGAGCCCATGAGGCATTGCAAGGACATCTTCCCAGAAGGACTTTCTGTCTGGGGGGCGGGGGGAGACAGAGCATCTGCCTGGAGGACACACATACAGACACACGCAAGCATATACACACAGGCAGACGCCACATATGCAGACACGCATGCATGCACCTAGCACCTGCACACACATGCAGACACACACGCGCGCACACGCGCACACACACAGTCTTTCCGGAGCCCACTTCTCCAGCGGCCCGGTGGGGTTCCAGGGCCGGGCTCTTTCCCGGCCATGGCTGCCCCGTGAGGAGTTAGGTCCCTGGCAGGCGAGCAGGAAGCCTGAACGAGAAGGGAAAGGGGCGTCAGAGAGAGGCCAACGGCTCATTTCCCGAAGCGGGCTGGCGTGCGCCCCGCTGTGTTTGGGGAACACAAACCGGTCCATTCAGGGCGGGAGAACAGCAAGTCCACCTGGGAGCCGGGGGCCGGGGGCCGGGGGCCGGGGGCCGGGGGCCGGGAGCCGGGAGCCGGAGGCTCAGCGCCCATGTGAGCTGAGCTCAGACACGTGCGCCGGGCGGGGGGGCAGAAGAAAGGCCTTTATCTGCGTGCGGGACTCGCCGGGGCCTCACTCCGGGAGGGTAAGGAGGACTTTATTTCCCGTCCGCTCACTAGGATTTCCGCGTCTAAAGGGCAGGAGGTGGGCGGGGCAGAGAGGGCTTTTTATTCACTTCCCACTCCGTGTCCTCGCGCCGTGCCGGCCGGCGTGTGCGTGTAATTGCTACCTTTGATGAGAGCACGGCGATGCGGATCACACGTTACACGGGAAACGTGTTCCTCTAAAGACGCGGCCGGGCCGCTAATTACCGCCAACAAGCGTCCGGACAAAGGCGCCCGCGGGCGGGCGGCGAGGCGGCCACAAAGCCGCCGCTCGGCCCCAGCGGGCGCCATTGTCCATCACTGTCCGGGGCGCCCGCCCCGCCGCCCAGGCCGGCTCTCCGGGCGACAGTGCCGGCGGGAACCCGCCCGGGGACGGGAGCCGGCTCTTGTGAGCCGCCCTTTCGGAGGCAGTGAGCTCAGAGGGATGCTGAGCCCCCCAAAAGTGACTTTCCGGGGTCCCAGCCGCCTCCTTTCTTCGGGTTCGGGGCGCGGGGGGCGGCGGCCGCCTCCCCGGGGACACAGCCAGCACTTCCCACACGGATTCCCACCCGCACACGGAGCCCGCGGGGGGTGAGGAGGCCCCGGTGCGGGCTGCACCTATGCCGGGGGAGAGGGGCGGGTACCCGCTCACACCCGTTCTGCACCCCCCCACACGCACACGCGCACACACGCACATCAGCCTCAGGGAGCCCCCAGGGAAACGCCAGGCCAGTCCGGGGGATGCCGCTGTGGGCAGGGCTCGCGGCCACCGCTGCCCGCAGTCCCCCAAGTCACCGCCGGTGCGGCCCACGGAGAGGCCTCTCCGCGTTGTGCAGCCGTCGGCCTGGCGCGGAAGGACCGCCGTCTCTCGGACTGTGATGCCCGAGGGCCTGGGAGGCAGAGGTGCTTTGAGAAACGGTTCCCAGGTGCCGGTCCCCACCCTGAGCCCGCAGCCCGAGTCCCGGAGGCGCGTCTGCGGGAGCCCCGTTCCAGGACGCTCTGGCTGAGTCGGAGCTGCTCTTGGGCCTGGCCTCGTGGCGCAGGGCTGAGCGCCGACCTCGGAACCTGGAGGTCAGGGTTCGATTCCCGGTCAGGATTCAGGCCCGGGTTGCAGGCTCGATCCCCAGTGTGGGGCGTGCAGGAGGCAGCCGATCTGTGATTCTCTCTCACCGTGGATGTTTCTCTCTCCCCCTTCCTCTCCCTTCCTCTCCGACATCAATAAAAACATAAAAAACAAAA